GTTCCACCTGCTTGTGGTATGTGCAGGAAGACGAAAAGCTCAGGCAACACGTAGAAGCCCATGGTGCGGGCAAGTGGGCGGAAATCGCCAGGATCCTGCGGCCGCGCACAGATAACCAGTGCTGGCGTAGGTGGAAGAGCCTCAACTCGGGGGTGGAAGTGGCGAACTACAGGAAGAGCGTCCACAAGAAGAAAAAGGTAGCCAAGCGTTGCTCTCATGCTGTCTCGAACGAGCCTCACGTGAGTCTTGTGCGTGCAGGGTCTGGTAAACAACTTTGTCGGACGGGAGAAGGAGCGCCCGGATCTCACAATCGGTGATTTTCCGGCACAAGACGACGATGACGAGGAGCCTCCGGTAGCGTTGATTCTGCTCCCCCCCCATGCTGATTTGTTGACTCACGCTTATCTCCTATATCCAAACAAACACCAGAGGCGCCCTCCATCGCCCACACCGAACCCCATGCCCGCCACGTCGCCGACGCCACTTCATCTTCAACTCGACCTCCTCAGCAGCGGAGATTCGTCGAGCTTGCCTGCACCGCCCCTGTACACGGCCTCGTCGTCGTCTACATCGACTAGTCTAGTAATCTTGCCCATGGAAGAGTCCAGCTCAACAAACGCCGGCGGCATCGGCGAAGAGGAGGAAGGTGAGGAAGAGGACGAAAGCGTGGGGAGGAAGAAGGGCGGCGCCAGCACGCGCGGAAGGAAGCGCAAGGCTGTAACGAGGAAAGCGCCCGCCGCCGCGAAGAAGGCGAAAACGACGAAGAAGACGCCAACCAAGCGGGCCAGTGCCAAGACGGCATCGAAAGAGACGCCGGCGGATGGCGATGCCGCCTCCACGCCCGCTCCCGCGCCCCGAAAGAGAGGGCGGCCGCGCAAAGTGGTGGCCTCCACCTCCACCTCTCCGCCCTCGGAGCCGGCCACCGAGAGCCGCGGTGGAGACGAAACGCCGCCGACGACCGTCACAACGGCGACGGCCGCGGCCGAGAAGCAACAGACCAACGGCGTCGAGTCGCCCACCATGAACGAGGCCCCGGCGCCGGAGAGCACGGCAGCGGCGGAGAAGACAGCGGCAAGCGATTCGCTGCGGCGGTCGGCCAGAGTCCCCAAGAAGCGGAAGGCGTACGGACACGACTGATGAATGACGCGAGCGAGCGAGCATCATGTCAATAGCATCGATCGAGATGAAGAGGGGACGGCCATAAGAGGTGACTCCCCTCTCCCTCACTCCACGCCGGCGTAAAACCACTCTCTGTTTTCTTTTTCTCTCGATTCATTTCCTTGTTATTTCTTGATTTGCTTTTCTGGTGTCTGGAATTTAGTCGGATAATTTATAAGGCGCACCGTTTCGGTCCACTGCCTCGCCCGCGAGGAAAAGTGGGCCATCGGTCGGGAGAAGGGGAAAAGACTCCACTCGACCTAGGAAAAAAGGGGAAGGCCGGGATCTTGGAAGAAGAAAGATTGGAGAGAGGAGGGACGATAGGAAGAGTTTGCAGTGACACGTGTAGAGTCCCAACACTAAGGCTCTTCTCTCCAGTGGGGCGCCAGGTATGCTGTCATAGCCGATTAGCTAACATCGAACTTTTACGGTATCGACCAAGCGATATTGACGCTGGACCGGCCATCTTTTCCCCCCTTCACCTATTCCCCCTTCTCCCTATCTATCGCTCTTTTTCTAGCATGTCGCAGCGCGGTATGATGAAAGATGGGTCGCTCAGCAAGTCTCCCGAGTTCAAGGAACGGGAGGCGCAGTATGTCAACACGCAGTCCAAGGTTCGCCCCATCTCGCCCCAATCAACTCTCGATTACCTCCCCAATCCCCCCCCCCAAAGTGACGCAGTGATCGGCTTGGTGTCGCCTTCACCTAATTCGTTCGATCTGTTTCCTACATTACTACGCACACAGGCCTTCAAGAACTGGGCCAACTACTACTTGAAGGAGCGAAACCTCCACATCGAGAATCTGGACAAGGATCTCACGGACGGTGTGCTGCTGATCAACCTCGTGGAGGTGTTGACGGGTCGGTCGGTGGGTAAATACACGCACAAGCCCAAGCTCAAGGTGCAGAAGATCAACAACATCAACCTGGCCCTCGGCGCCATTCGGTCTTCTCGCGCCACCAACATCACCGCCTCGGCCGAAGGTACCCACCAGCTACCGCTTCCACTCCCCTCTACCCCCCCCCGCGTGAGCCGTCAGCCTCACCAGGCGCCGCCCGCGACAGAAATCCACGACGGCAACTCCAAGCCGCTGCTGGGCCTCATGTGGACGCTGGTACACGAGTTCCAGCTGCAGGCCTCGGATGAAGAGACCGGCAAGTCCACCGGACCATCGGACGCCCTGGTACTCTCCCGCCCGCCCACCTGCCCACCCTTTGGGACTGCTTTGCCGGTCGTGGGTGGGGGTGTGCCGCTAACGCAAGGGGCGACGCTTGTAGGGCGGCCTGAGGGAGTGGCTCGCGAATGAGATCGATAGGGAACCCTACAACCTGTCCTTCAACGCATCCACCATCCGCAACGACTTCACCAGCTCGTACGACCAAGTTTCTTTTGCTTTTTTCTTTATCGTTTCTTTCCTTCCGTTCCTGACTCGCTCCGCCCTTTCGCGCAGCTTCAAGGACGGCAAGGTGTTGAGCTACCTCGTGCACCGCGCCAGGCCCGGCCTCATCGATCTGAACAGCGTCAACCAGGTTTGTCCCTCCCCCACCAACCACACCGCCCCTTGTCCACGCCATTCGCGGCGAAACGAGCGTTAACCTGTTTCCCCCCCCTCACGCGCCGGTGGTGATCGCAGGGCTCGGCAGCGGACAACCTGAAGCGCGCGATGGCCCTGGCCGAGAAGGAGCTGAACATCCCCGTCCTCCTCGAAGTCGAGGATTTCCTCCAGGGCACTGATGAGCGCATGCTGGCCACCTATGTCTCCTACTTCCGCAACCTGATTCGCAACAACCGTGAGGTGCGTGCCATCTTCGTTGTGCGCGTGCGCGTGCGGTGATTGTGCGCCTATGTGCGTGTGCGTGTGCGTGTTAACATGGATGGTGGCTGGCGCGAGCAGGTGGCGGAGATCGCGTCGGCAGTGTCGCAGACGCAGGGACGGGTGGACGACATCAGCCAGAAGCAGGAGAAGACCAACCAGGAGCTGGAGGAGAACAAGAAGAAGATGCGGGAGCTCGAGGAGATGGTCAGGAAGCTCAGCGCCGACGGCGGCGACAAGGACAAGCTCAAGGACAAGTACCAGAAGAAGATCAAGGAGCTCGAGGAGGAGATCTCCGCGCTCAAGCAGACCAACCGCGACTCGGACAGAGCCCACGCCCTCGAGCTCGAGAGCGTCAAGAACAAGATCGAGAGCCTCAAGGACAAGCGCGACGCTGCCGCCGAGGTAACGCCCGACACCACACACACACACGCGCGCGCGCGACACACGACACGCCACGATACTGATATGCTGCGCAAACAGGCGGCGCAAAGGCAGATCCGGGATGCGGAGGACAAGGCCAGGTCCGCGCAGCAGACCCTGATTCAGGTTGAGGAGCAGTACGCGCGGATCAAGCGCGACAACGAAGGGGTCAAGCGGAGGCTGAGCGACGCCGACGGCGCGCTGGACAAGCAGCTCCAGGCCAGCGAGGAGCTGCTGCGCAAGCTGCAGGAGCGGGACCGCGAGGTCGAGAAGCTCACCGAGGAGAAGAAGCAACTCGAGAAGAGGGCCAAGGCCGGCTGGGACGCCAAGCAAAAGAGTACACGCCACGACACACACGACACGACACGACACGACACACACCGCTGACCGCGCGACCATGTAGGCGACGAGGAGTGCGCGGAATCGAAGAAGCATTACAAGGAGAAGAAGCAGAAGCTCAAGGCCGCCAAGGAGGCTCTGGAGAAGGACAAGCAGGAGCTCTCCATGCAGCTGGAGAAGATGAAGCTCTCCGGCGGCGATGCAGCCAAGGAGCTGAAGCAGGAGAAGGCCAAGCGCAAGATCGCCGAGACCGATCTCGAGCGCGAGCGGTCCAGGAACGCCGAGGAGAAGGACGAGAGCCTGCGCAAGGTCCGACGCCTCGAGGACAGGTAGACGCCGCACACGCCACCGCACACGCACACGCACCACCGCACGCACACGACACACGGCCCAGTACCGACTCGCTCACCTGGTTGGGGGCCGACAGAGTGGCGGAGCTGGAGACGGACGTGGCGGACAAGGACAAGGAGCTGAAGCGCAAGCTGCAGGCGCTGGACAAGGGCACGGGCATGGCGCAGAGCCTGCACAGCGAGCTCGACAAGGTCAAGGCCAAGCTGGCCGAGGCCATCAGCGAGAAGGACGCCGCGACCGAGGCCGAGGAGATCCAGCTGCGCGAGAACGAGAAGCTCAAGGTCGCGCTCGATGAGGCGCGCGAGAAGCTCGATCGCGAGAAGAAGCGCAGGAAGACGGTCGAGATCCAGCGGTCGTCGGACAAGGACTGGGAGGCGGAGGTGGCCGCGCTGCAGGCCAAGATCGCCCAGCTCGAGAGCGACAAGGAGGCCCAGCGCCTCAAGATCGTCAAGATCGAGGGCGAGCGCGACGAGCTCAAGAGCAAAATCCAGAAGCTCGAACACGCCGCCGAGAAGAACGAAGTCGTACGTGCCCCGCGTCGTGTGTGTCGTGGGTGTGTCGTGTGTGTGTCGTGTGTGTTCATGTGTGCCGTGTGTGTCGTGCGGTGCGGTGACACTCACGAGTGGTTTCCACAGACTGCAAAGGAGCTGGCGGAGGACAAGGCGAGGCTGGAGGCGGCGAACCAGGAGCTGGAGGCGCAGAGGGCCGGGATGGTGGCGGCCACGGCCACGGTCGAGGGCGAGAAGGAGCGCCTGCGGAAGGAGAAGGAGGCGCTCGAGTCCAAGATGAAGGAGATCGCCGAGGCCAAGAGGGTCGAGGAGGAGCGCGTCAACGAGCTCGACAAGAAGCTCGTCGGCCTGGAGCAGATCAACGACCGCAACAACTCGAAGATCGCGTCGCTCGAGGCCAAGGTCAACGAGCTCGAGAAGAGCGAGGACAAGATGAAGGAGCTGGCCGTCCAGGTCAACGTCCTCAAGGAGGAGAACACCAAGAACGACGCCACCATCACCGATCTCGAACAGAAGCTCAGGGTACCTCAACCTCGACTGCGCGTGCGGTGGTGTGTGCGGTGCGGTGCGTGCGGTGATGCGCGTGTGTCATGTGTGCGGTACTCACGGCGATGATGGGAATGGTGAGCAGGCCAAGGAGGCTGCCGATGACGAGGTGATCCAGGACCTGGAGCGGAAGCTGCGGGAGAAGGACGCGGCGGTGGCGACGGAGGACTCGGAGCTGGCCGGCCAGGTGAGCGCGCTGCAGGCCGACAAGGACCGGCTGGCGCTCGAGGTGGCCGACAAGGACGAGCGCGTCAAGGAGCTCGAGAAGACGGCCGACGACCTGGTCAAGGAGTACGAGAAGGAGAAGCAGCGCGCCGACGACCTGGAGAAGGAGCTCGAGGGGCAGCGCGAGCACAAGGACCAGCAGGACAAGCGCAGCACGCTGCGGGCGGACAAGGACGTCAAGCGCAAGCTCAAGGAGATGCAGGAGCAGAAGGAGGAGGTCGAGGTGAAGAACAAGGAGCTCGAGGAGAAGGTCGAGGAGCTGACGGAGGCGCAGGCGAAGGTGCGGGTCGAGGTGGACGAGGTCAAGAGCAAGCTGGACAAGGCCAAGCGCAAGAAGGCCCGCATGAGGCTCGAGCTCGACCGCGAGCGTATCAAGGCGCGCGATGTGGAGCGCGAGCGCATGCAGGAGCGCAACGCGGCCGAGGCCAAGGTGCTCGAGGAGGAGCTGCTGCGCGCCCAGAAGCAGTCCCACGAGCAGCTCAGCGCCGCCGAGGAGCGCATCCAGCGCGACACCGAGCGCATTCGCTTCCTCGAAAGCCAAGTCCAGGTACCCACACACCACACGACACGCACGGCTCGACACGACACGCATGGCACGACACGCACGGCTCGACACGACACGACACGACACGACACGATACACACAGCTCTACACACGACACGCATGGCACGACACGACACGACACACGCTGATCTGGAATGGGGCGCAGGCTCTGGAGCACGAGGCGGAGAAGACGAAGGAGCAGCTGGTCAAGCTCCACGCGCTGGAGGAGGAGCTGACGGAGCTCAAGCGGAAGGTGGAGGAGGACAAGAAGGTGAAGAACATCACCAAGGTCGAGCAGCAGGTCCAGGAGAAGAGCGAGGCCGTCATGGACGAACTCGAATTCGAGCTCGAAGAGGAAGAGGCCAACGCCCCCGAAGGTATGTGTCGTGTGTCGTGTGTCGTGTGTCGTGGGCTGATGGCGGTGGCGGTGATGTGGTGGTGGTGCAGACGATGCGATCAACGTCAACAAGAAGGAGGACACACTGACGTACCAGGAGCTCTGCGAGCTGAGGCAGGAGCTGGAGCTGCGCCTGGACGAAGAGCAGGCCAACAACAACGAGCGGGAGCTCCGGTACAAGAAGGAGCTGGAGAAGCTCAGGCAGGAGCTGGAGATGGAGCGCAAGGAGGTGATCCGCCTCGAGGTGCAGCTCGACAAGGCCTCGGCCGCCAAGGAGGTCGACGTCGACAACGTGCGCCAGCAGATGACCGAGAAGGTCGAGGTACTCAAGCAGGAGCTCAAGCAGGTCAAGGAGTCCGAGAAGATCGCCGAGTCCCGCGTCAGAGAGCTCGTACGCAGTCTTTCCCATACCTCATACACACGACACACGCCGCACACCACACGACACACGACACACGACACACGACACACGACACACGACACACGACACACGACACACGACACACGACACACGGCACACGACACACGACACACGACACACGACACGGGCATGATGACTGATAGGGGTCTGCGCAGGAGGGCCAAACGGAGAAGCTGCAGCTGGAGAAGGCCAACGAGGTGCGCGAGGCCAAGCTCAGCCGCAAGGCCACCAACGACTACCGACTGATCATGGAAGTCGAGGAGCTCATCCGCCAGCTCTACTTCCACCGCGGCGCCGCCATCCAGTTCGACGAAATCGAGGTTCGCGCGTGTGTCATGCGTCGCACCGTGCGTGTCGTGTCGTGTCGTGCCATGTATTGAATCTCGTTGTGTGTGTGGTGTAGGAGGAGCACCGCGAGAACGTCAAATTTGTGGAGATTGTCAACGACCTGCGCAAGCAGGTGGACCACGTAATCGAGGACACGACGGACAACTACTACCGCGACCCCATTCCCTCCGCGGCTAACGCGGACAACGTGCGGGACTACGTGCTCAAGCTGCGCAAGTTCCGCGAGGACGTCAAGCGCGAGCGCAACGACTTTGCGCGCGCGTGCAACAAGCTCGGCACCCAGTACGAGAACAAGTCCGTCCTCGAACAGGACGTCGTACGCCTCTCCCTCCCCACATCACCTGTCTGTCGTGTGTGCGGTCATGTGTGTTTCTCACACGCACACGCACACGCACACAACACACACACACACACACGACACACACGTGGTGCAGACGAGGTGGAAGGAGACGCTGCTCCGCATCGTGCAGGAGGAGGAGGAGACGATCACGCCCGACAACAAGCAGCTGCTGGAGGACATGGAGGAGGTGAGGCGTCTGCTCAGGGACGACGACAGCCAGCGCGATGAGGTGCGGGCCTACAGGAAGGACAAGGTCTTTGCCCGCCTCAACGTCGAAAAGAAGATCGACGACCTCAGGAAGTTCATCGTCGAAGAGCTCCACTGTACGTTGACACACACCACACACACACACACACACACATACACACCACACACTGTTTACTATCAATCACACAGCTGACGACACGACACGCGCACCACCGCACACGGCACGCAACACGACACACGCGCAGTCAATGAGAACAAGCGCCTGAGGGATCTGTTGATGGACCTCAAGGATGCGAACAGGCGGCTGCAGGCGAGCACGTTCCGGTCGGTGATGCACCAGACCTTCTACATCAGCCGCGAGCAGAGGGCGCGCATCGCCAAGGTGGTCGGCCTCATGATCCAGCACTTCCGCGTCCTGTTCAAGGTGCTCCTCCTCTCACTTCGCGCCCTGTTTGGTGAGTGCGCTCTAACACGCGACACACACACGACACACACGCGACGCACGACACGCGCGACACACACAGGAGCACGCGACGAGCACGGTGAACGAGCAGGTGCACCCGATGGTGAGGCGTCCGATTGGCTACCTCGAGAGGCGAGGCATCCGCTCGAAGGACATCCTGGGCGCTGTTCGCGTTCCGCCGGCCAACAAGGTCCAGGACCTCAAGGACGGGTTCTACTCTGGCGAGGTACGCACACGACACGACACGACACGACACGACACGACCGATGTCTATACGACGCGACACGACACTCATGGCTGAGTGTTTGTTGCGGTTGTTGGGTTGTGCCCACTCAGGCTATGGACATCCCGGAGGACACGGATCCCTACGTGGTGGGCGAGCTGCTCAAGGAGTACTTCAGGGACCTCAAGAAGCCGCTGTGCACCTACAAGCGCTACGAGAGCTTCGATCGCGTCAACGGTAGATCTTTACAACCGCTGCCTTTGGTAGCTGCTTTGATTTCATCTTCACTCATCGTTCGTTTGTTTGCTTCTCTCTTCTTTCTTCTTTCTCTTCTTCTCCAGACATGCCGTCCGCCAAGCAGCTCCGTGAGCTTCGCGCGTGCATCGATGACCTGCCCAAGGTCAGAAGGTACGGTGGCGCCCCTTTGGCATTTCTTTCTTCTTCATCGCATCCACACGATTGGCGACTGACCCATCTTTTTATTATTATTATTCGATCGGCTCCTGTAACAGGGCGACGTTGACGGTGCTGATCGGGTTCCTGCACAAGGTGAAGGCCCTGTCGAACGTCAACGGCATGCCGAGCGAGAAGCTGGCCGAGGTGTTTGGTCCGCTCCTGCTCCGGCCCCTCCAGGACAGATGAAACCGTTCGTGAGTGCCAAGCCGGCCCGAGAACAAAGCGGGGAGAGGAAGCGAGAGAGGAGGGTCATTGAGGGTTGGCCAGAGCAGCAGCAGCAGCAGCAGCAGCAGCAGAAGAAGGTGTGCATTTTGGTAGCAGTCTCCATAAATAATTGGTTGTTTATTTTGTAGAGGCAACACACCGCGACCGTGTGGGATCAGTGTGTGTTGCTCCCATTGCAAGCTCCAACCAGGTAGGTGAGAGAGGTACAGCATACAAGAAGAGGTCGATTGTTCATTTGTCATTGGTGAGGTCGATCATGACCTTTTGGTAGGCGTCGCCGATGAACCGGATGCGCCGGATGCGCGTCCTCTCTTTCCCGCCCATGTTGTCCTCCACAAACACACTGACCGTGTCCACCTTCTGGAATCTGAAGACAACGCACGACACGCACAACACGCACGACACGCACGCGGAACATCAGCTCTCGTACGGAAAGCCAACAGTGAAGCTTCTCGACCAGCTGGTAGGGTACTTGATGAGCTTGAGTGGAATCTTGAGCACGTTGTTGCCCTCCTTGACCAAATCTTCTTCCGTCAGGGTGACGGTCTGCGCGGGGATGGCGTCGCCTGCGTCCTCGAAGCTGAGGTGGGGCTCGTTCACGAAGAGCCGCACGTTCTTGGGCGCCGACCCTGTGGTTGGCGCAATCACGAAGACACGGTGATCGTGTACGTGTGCGGTGTGTGTGTGGTGTGTGTGTGTGTGTGTGAGCAAGAGTAAAGCGATTTTGCGTGTTCCTCGGTGTCAAGTCAACGCACCGTCGTCAAAGACCTGCAGATGAATCTCGTGGAGCTTGAGCCGGGGCGTGAACTTGACCAAGAGCAGCAGCTGCTCATCTACGTTGCTCTCCAGGTAGTCATCCTGCAAAAACCACAGCACAGCACAGTGTTCTTGTCGATCAGTGACGCACTCGTGTGATCGTGTGCGGTGTGTGTTGTGTGTGTGTTGTGTGGGTGTGTTGTGTGCGTGCGTGCGTGTACCTCTTCTGACTTACTGGGTTCGGCCTCGCTATCTGTTGCTTTTCGTTCGATGGTCTCACTCTTCTCGGCGGTGGTGTCAACGAAGGGCCGAAAGAGGGCCGGGAAGCGGTGGGTCGTGCTCTCGTTGAGGCACTGGCAAGCGTCCCGTACCACCCAATCCCCCACGTCTATTTTGCACAGCAACTTGGGCTGCCTCACCACAAGACTCCCAGCAATGAGTAATCATCCCCTTCAATTAAAAAAAAAAGTATAGAAATAATAGTGGGCACGTACTTTTTTGACAGGCGCGTCGGCCACGTTCTCGTCCAGCTCCAAGGTGGTTGCGTGCTCCCGCTTCATGTGTGGCAAAAATTCTATTTCCTCCTCAATTTCTTTTTCCCGATCAAGGAAGAAAAGCAAGGAATGACGAATATGTGAGTAATGCTGTCGGAATGAGGTGTGGTTGGGCCGTGCTGCGATACAGCGAGTACTACACGCAAACCAGCATCAACTAACAACATGAGAAGAACAGCTGCCACTCGCGCCGTCCAGACCACTACTTCGTTCACCCGCACTGCCGCGGTACGTCCACCTCTCGCCACGATTGGCGCCAACTGCGCTGCAGATCTACAGCCAAATTTTGATAATGCACAATCTTCTGCGATCACACGCGATCAAAGGTCGATGCGTCGTGTTGCCACTGGACACTGAACGAATTCGTTTTGTTAATCTCTGGCAGGGTGCGCGTTCGCTCTTTACTCTGAACGACCCGCCGTACCTGAAGACCGGCCTGACGCCCGCCATCTCGGCCAACACCCTCAACTTCCACTTCAACGGCCACCACAAGGCCTACCTCAACAAGACCAACGACCTCATCAAGGGTATGGCCCTCTGCTCTCATCTGGCTGGCTCGGCGTGTGTCGCTACATTTCTTTTCCTCTTTCAAAAGAAAATAGCGAGGAAAATGCTGAACGTGTGCTGTGGGTGTAGGTACCCCGCTGGAGAACAAGAGCCTGGAGGACGTGATCCTGGTGGCCAAGACGACCAACAACGCCGCCCTCTTCAACAACTCGGCCCAGCTGTGGAATCACTCGTTCTACTGGGACTGCATGGCCCCTGTCGGCGAGACCGGCGAGATCTCGGCCGAGCTGGAGCAGCTCATCAAGGAGTCCTTCGGCAGCGTCGCCGAGTTCAAGAATAAGGTGCGTGTCTGGATCTTGTTCACGTTGCTGTGGGTGCGCAGCATCATCGTCGCTGATGTATGTGTACATCTGTGGCGGTGTATTGAATGCACAGTTCACCGACAGCGCTGTGGCCAACTTTGGCAGCGGCTGGACCTGGCTGGTGAACATCAACGGTAAGCTGGAGATCCAGAACACCTCAAACGCCGAGTCCCCCGTCACCCTCCGCGTGAAGCCCCTCCTCACCCTCGACGTCTGGGAGCACGCCTACTACCTCGACCACCAGAACCGCCGCCCCGTACGCCGCTATCGTCATCCCACGTGGTGCTGATGGTTGTTCTGACGGACGTTCTTTGATCTGCTGCAGGAGTACATCAACAAGTGGTGGGACGTCGTCAACTGGAACTTCGTCAACAAGCAGCTGAAGCAGTAATGACGACCACCGCGTCCGGGACACGCCTTGTGGCCACGAGCTCCTTCTCCTTGCCAGTTCGCCTTCGATTGAATGGAGCTGTGAGCAGCACTATGGGTACACGCGTAATGAAGAGACGAGGGCCGTGGTTTCTCGACTACATGTTGTCCTTGCGCTCCCAACTTCGCTTGTGGTCGAACCTCCAGTGGAGAGGTTCCTTCTTGCCCTTCTTCTTCCTGGCCGCGTGTGCCTCCTGCTGGCGTTGGCAGAGGTCGGTCGCGTAGGCCTGCCGCTCGCGCGCCCTCTGCAGCCGGGCCTGCGCTTCGAGCGCGCTCTTCTCGTCGCTGATCCTCGCCGCCTCGGCCAGGTCCCCGGCTTGCAAGGCCGCCTCGAGACTCGCCCTGAACCGCTTCTACACCGACACAAGATGAGACGAGACGAAGCTAACGTACGTAGTGCAGACAAGAAGAGAGAGGAGAAGGTGAGGCTTGCCTCGGCCAACTCGATGGCGCGCAGCTCGGATTCATGGAGGCATCGGTCTGCGGCGGCAAGAAAGGGCTTCAGGGCCTCCCACTCTGCTTGCTTGTCGTCCTCTTGAAGCTTCTCCACCTGCCGACTACACTTGGTGGGCGTTGCACGAAGAGGCTCGGGGACTACCTCCTTCCTGGCCCTTTTTGTAGACCTGCCTTCTGGCGGTGGCGTGTCGTCTGGTCGTGCTGAGGCACCACCATCTTAGACAGAGCGAGAAGATGTTAGGTCGATCAGGACTACCTTGGCTGTCAGCGGCTCGCCTCTTGGCCCGCACTGCCTCCAGTCGCTCTCTCCTTGCCTTTTACCATGGGGTCCTCGTCCATTCCAAGCGAGAGCCTATCTATTTATCTGTTTATCTATTTATCTCAAAATGTATTTTTATTCCTGCTTTCGCTCAACTCGAAATTTCACGACTGAAGACAGGTTTCGGACAGCGTCGACACACGAATTGTCGACAAACTTATTTTTGGGCTGCTCGTATTTATCCTGGGTGCAGCGATTTCGTCCTTTCTCTCTTTTTCTTCTCCTCTCGTATCGTCTATCCCGAACCATGGGTCGTGTCATCAGGGGCCAAAGGAAGGGTAAGGGAAGCGTCTTCAAGGTATGTCGTCCGTCTCCCCTTCCCTCTAGGCTATGCCTTGCTTCCCTCCCTTCCTTCGTTCCCTCGTCTTTGGAGGTGATTTCTGCAGTTGGATTATCGATTATTAATGTTGAATCCATTCTTCGTGAATGTAGTCGCACACCTTCCACAGGAAGGGCGCCGCCCAGCACCGTAAGCTCGACTTTGCCGAGCGCAAGGGCTACATCAAGGGTGTGGTCAAGGATATCATCCACGACCCTGGCAGGGGTGCCCCCCTTGCTAAGGTTCAGTTCAAGAACCCCTACAAGTACGGCCTCGACAAGGAGCTCTTCGTCGCCGCTGAGGGCATGCACACTGGTCAGTTCGTGTACTGCGGCAAGAAGGGTACGTTATCGGCAACCGTTTCTATGCATTTCCCTTGCATCACCATAGCTAACGCGTTGTTCAACACTTACAGCCCAGCTTTCCGTCGGTAACGTCCTTCCCGTCGGCTCGATGCCCGAGGGTACCATCATCTGCAACGTCGAGACCCGCCCCGGTGATCGTGGTTCGCTCGCCCGTACCTCTGGCAACTACGCCACGCTCGTCTCGCACAACCCCGACGAGGGCGTGTCCAGGATCAAGCTGCCGTCCGGCGCCAAGAAGGCCATCTCCTCCGATTCCCGCGCCATGGTTGGCATCGTTGCCGGTGGTGGAAGGATCGACAAGCCCATGCTGAAGGCCGGTCGCGCTTACTACAAGTACAAGGCCAAGAGGAACTGCTGGCCTAAGGTCCGTGGTGTGGCCATGAACCCCGTGGACCACCCGCACGGTGGTGGTAACCACCAGCACATCGGTCACGCTTCGACCGTCAGGAGGGACGCCCCCTCTGGTCAGAAGGTCGGTCTCATCGCCGCCCGCCGTACCGGTCGTATCTCTGGCTCCAAGAAGGTCACCTTCAACGAGGAGTAAATCCCTCTTTGTTGTTCTCCTTGCCCTCGTTCCTGCCAATAAAACCCCTAATATACAAAACAACATCAACTATCGCTCTATCCACAAATCACGCCCATCCACTCGACGCCCTTTTTTTAATCATCAATGAAATCAAAGGGCGCGCAAGGAAACAACACGCCGCAAAGGACCATCTTCACAGACACCAGGAGGATGAAAATGATGGGTGAGTATGTATTTGGGCAGCAAGATGGTAGTGTACAAAAAGCTGGAGGCGGTTGCGCCTACCGTCGTGAGCGTGGTGCGGACGCACGACAGGCATAATAAATTAACAAATAAATAGGGCTCAGTCGCGAGACGACGCGGTTGAAGTTGACGAGGAAGAGGACGATGCGGGTACGGTGGCAGACGATGATGAAGCGGCTGACGAAGAGGCGGCAGAGGTATCTCCGCCACACGACAGCGCCGATGACACTGGAGATGACTGCGGAGAAGGAGGTTCCTCCACGATCGGCGGCAACGTGCCCGGCTTATCGTCCGAGATGGGGAGGGAGAAGGACTGGTAGCTCGTGTGGGCCGTGCTGAGGTTGAGGAACAGCTGCGGCCACGCCACGCTCCCACGATCCATACTTCCCAGCCGGTCGAAACTGCACGCCAGGGCAAGAAAGGGAAAGAGAGAGAGAGAGAGATCAGTACAATCATCGATGACGTCATTGAGCTGTTGGTTGGCGAGCAGAGCAGACTGGGAGGAAGTGGTGGTGGTGCGTTACCTTGCCCGCGAGAACTCGGGGAAGGAACTGAAGGAGCCAAACGAAGCCTTGTGCAGGAACGAGGCAGATGGGAGCGGGATCTCCCTGTCGCGCTCCGTCGAGAACGACATCTGCACACGAATCCATTCATTGGTCAGGCAACTGCATGCTCGTGGTGTGTTGCGTTGTCGGCGCACCTTGGGGAACGTGTAGCCGCCAGCGGTCTGGATGAAGCCGTTGGCGCTGGTGAAGGAGTCACGACCGAAGCCGCCGAAGCTGCCCATGCCCAGCGAGAACGAGGACAGCGACGACGACGGGAGGGAGGGCTTGGGCGATGTGATGCCATCCACGCGCAGGGCGTCCAGCAGGTCCAGCGGTGGCAGGGAGGGCGTGCGCGAGAGCGCCGTCGATGGCGAGGCCGATGACGACGAAGCGGAAGCGGCAGAGAGCGAAGGCGACGCAGCGGAGGGCGTCGACGAAGGAAGCGGCGGCGATGACGGAGTGACCGACGACGAAGAAGAGGAAGGCGGGGACAGGGTGGCTGGACCCGAAGACGACGTGGAGGAAGAAGAAGAAGAAGAGGAGGAGGAAGACGAAGTGGCGGCGCCCGCGGGCTGACCCCGCAAGGGGGACGACGAGGACGACGAAGCCGATGAGGAAGAGGAGAGGCCAGAGGGCGGTGTCGAAGGGCGCTCGCTCGACGCAGCAGCTGCAGTGTCGGCCAAACGGCGCTGCTTGTGGGGTCGCTCCGTGATCGACGTGAACATGCTCGGCGGCATCTTCCCCAGTATGCTGGGCCTGGATGTTTGAAGTTTCAACAGCAAAAGGGTAAGCGCCAGACAACCAAAAGAACGACGCGCGCGCACGCACACGAGTAAACGCAACGCACCGGAACTTCTCGCCGGACAGGTCGGGGTTGGATCGTGGTCGCAGGAACAAGCCGTCGGCCGGCAAGAAGTCGACACTGCCCAGTGGAGAGGACCTATACCTGCCAAAACATCGGTAAGAAGATGCGCTCGGACGGTGTGTGGTGTGTGTGTGTTGTGTGTGTGTGTGTGTGTGCGGTGAACGTACTCGCCGCGCTGGGAGGATTCGTCACCGGCCGGGTAGCGCGAAGAGAGCGCTTGCTCGGGCTGAGGGAGGGCCGAGTAGGTGGGGAGGGCAACGGGCCGCATCAGTTGCAAGGTCGCCAGCCGGCGGTCGAGCACGTACGTCAGGTACTCCTCCATGAACATTCGCAGCGTGCGGAATGCATCTGCGCCACAGCGACGGAAACAATGACGTGGGCGTGGTGAGCTACAGCCAAGGCGGCGAATGCCGTGTCACGGGAACGTTACCCAGGCCGGGTCCCTTGCGCGTTGTGATGTCGCTCATGATGAAGTTGTGGAAGTAAGACCACCTGAGCAGCAGCTGCTGCGCGCAGTTCATGACCTGCATCATGTCCGTGCCCTAATGATGAGGTAGAGTAGAGTAGAGAAGAGACGTCAGGACAAGACGAGCGGGACGAAGAGGGGCGAGTGGGTGGATGGGTGCGTACCAACAGGAAGCGGGTGGCCAGGTGGAAGATCCATTCAGCAAACTGCTCCAGCGAGTAGCGCTGCTGCAGGATTCTCTTGAAGTCCTCTTGCACTGTTATTTTGGAAAACGAGGAAAAGAGAAACACTGGTGAGTGAAGGGCGGCGGAGCCTCGGCGTGGTCGATGTGAGAGAGGGAGCTGGCGGTGTGGTACGTACCGGAAGTGAGGAGGTCGATGGTGTGTGGCGACTCGTCGGCGCCGCAGACCCACGAGATCGAGGTGAGAATAAAGTTGAAGTCGACCTTCTCCCAATCGCGCAGGACCAAGGTCATCTGGTCGGGGCTCATGAGCACCTGACGCGCGCAGCACGAAATATAGTTCATGCAGGCCTCGCGCCACAGCCGCCCAGCAAAGTTGCGACCGACTGCGTGGAAGGACCAATCAGCACGCCGTAGCGTATAACAAGCTGTAGCTACCGCGAGTCTGGGCGGCACCTTTGGTCTTGCGAGAACTGAGCTCAGGGGGCTGTCCTTCGAGTGCGCGAGAGATGTAGGTCTCGAACTGGCGGCTGAACTCGCGCAGGGCCTGGGTGAAGGAGAACGAGACCGACGCCAATACGTCCGGCACCAGTGCGTCCACGACAGCCTGCACACCAACGCGAACGTGAGCGTGCGTTCCCATTGAAGAAGAACATAATACCTCAAGGAAGAGAGAGAGAGAAAGAGAGAGAGGGCGCATACGGCGTAGACGATCTCATCCTTCTCGGCGATTTGGTCGATCACGCCTTGGCACGAGATGACCGGATGCATGTGGGCGGGAAGCGACTGCCAGAAGTGTCGCATAACGCCCTCCACTTCGTTGAAGTTGTGGTCCGCCATGACGTTGAGCAGGTGCTGACAGTGGGATCTGTACATGCCCATGAAGGCCTGTGCGTGCTCGTACCGCACACCTGGCGAGAGTTGGCCTGCGACCGGAAGTTGACCGAGAGAACTGACGTCAGATGGCATCGAGGCAACCGCGAGCGCAACCGCCATAGAGAGAGAGAGAGAAGAGGAACATACTCGGCTCAAGGGGAGGAAACTCGGGCAGCTGGCGCGCGGTTTCTATGTGTGGGTTCGGCAGCGGTATTCTGTTGGTAAGGCATGCAATTAGCATTGATGAAGAAGACGTGGGCATGAAGAGGACAGGGCGGTACATCGAAGACGAGTTGGCCATCGCGGTGTGCAGGGGGTAGAGATGTGTTGGCGCCGTGGGCGGCGGAGGCTCACTCGTCAACTACACGCGAGCGGCGGCCGTGAGCACACACGGCCTTGAGCGCAACGGAGAGAAGTAAAAAGAGAAGGGGCGTTACCGCTGGGGTGGGGCTCATGACTTCGACCTTTAGCCGAGCCTTCTTGGCGGGCGACGACGACGCAGAGTTCGACGCAGCCGGAGCACCCGTTGGCGACAGCGAGGGCGAAGGGAAGGAGGCGGGGGACTCGCAATCCGGTGGCACGGGTGCGTTCTTGAGTGGCGACGTGGTCTTGATGCGGATGCCGTAGTAGTGGTACTTGCTGTTGCCACGCGTACCCAGGCGCCTCGTCTTGAGATCGGGGAACACGGAACGAATCAGTTTGCCTGCGATGAACATGTATGGTGAGAGTGCAATGTGGTGTGAGCGTCACCTACACAAGAAAAGCACCGGCAGGAGGGCAAGGAGGAATACCGAAACTGGCAGCGTTCACAGCCTTGACAGAAGCGTGCGTGCAGAAGCTGTAGTAGTGGGAATACATGAGGCTGCGCGGCACGCTGCTCTTGGGATCGTTCTCAAAGTTGTCCTGCAGCCTGTTGGTGTGCATGCGTGTGCGTGCGGGAGATCAGATCAGCATAGAGCGGGTGATCACGAGATTGAGCTTAAGAAGGTGAAGAAGGTGAAGAAGAAGGCGATACCATTGGAGAATGAGGGGAGACTGAGGCTTGGGCGTCGGGCGGCTGCCGCTGCTGTTCAGTGCGGCGCCCTTCCCCTTCTTCTCGCGTGCAGGTGGCACTGCTGCCTCGATGATCGACTCGAGTGGCTGCTGCCCTTCCCTCGCGGTCGGCAACGCGCCGTGGGAGTAGACGTGGTGGGTCGGCGGGCCCTGATGCTGCTGAGCGGGGTGGGCTTGAGGCGGGTACGAGCCGTACGAAGGTGATGTGTGGCGAAGAGGCGAGTGCTGAGTAGGTTGCGGCGGCTGCTGCATGGCATGGCCGTTGTGCGCTGCCAGCGGATGGGGCGTGGGGTGAGATCGACCATATTCGTCGCCTCCGCCCATGAAGTACTTCTCCTGACCGAACGGGGCCACCATGGGTCCCGAATTAGCAGAAGAGGAAGAGTCAACGCCGATTGCACGGGAAGGAGGTAAAGGCTCGTTCACGTAGAACCGACCGATGCTTCTGGCGAGCGATGGAGGGTAGCCCTCCGCAGAATGTTGTTGAAGATGGGGGTTCTGATGTTGCGGCGATGTTTGGTGAGGATTGGGGTGGGGCTGTGAAGCAGGCGGCGCTCCGTAACCCCCGCGACGATTCAGGTCGCGGTGATGTTCATCTTCCCTCTTGTTTTCCTCCTCTGGTGGCCGCTTGGTGCCGCGACGTCGAGACGGGGCTCCACGCCCACCGTCATCGGCCACCTGCATAGCGGAAGGAAGATGACGATGGAGGGCAGCCGTTGGAGGGGAACTGGTGGTCTAGGTTTGAAATGGTTTGGTTGCTCTTCGTTGGCGATTTCTTCTGAATTGGCAGAATGAAAATGCGTCCAAGCTCGTGAATGGATGTTTAATCTCTCGCGATCTGTTGCACTCGCCAATTCCCTCGCTAACCTCTCCTCCTTTCCTTTGGCCTCAGCTGCCGGGTGCGGTTGTCTGTTGTCAAGTAAGAGCTGATTCTCTTTTGATGCAGAACTGCACGGCACATAGCCCTGATTTTCGCCCCCACCTGCTGTCACCGGGCCAAAATCAGACCTCACCCCCCGCGGAGAACCGACTAGCCGTTGCGCTTTTCCTTTTCGCGGTGTTGACCACTGGAATGCCAACCATTCTGTGTGCCCCTCGTAACCGGCTGCCTTGAATTTTTGTTCCACTTCTTTGCCATCCCCCTGCAGCCGTCCTATTTATGGCGTGCCACTGTAACGTCATCGTTACCGTGGCGAAAGTACTCATTGCGCGACTACCCGGTTCAGCACCAAAAGTTTGCTCTTTTCGGCGCCAACGTTGGTTGGCTGGCGCTCGATGTTTGGGCAAACGAGAACGGCAAGATGGAAGACACCAAGCAACATCGCGCAGACGAGACGTCCCGGCACTGCGAAAGGGCTTCGCAATAGGATGAAAGGGAGGCTGCAGGACAAGCGACGAGACTAGAAGGTTCTGGGACGTTGCTTGTTGCCAACACTTCTGAGCAGCAGAAGAAAGCGCACTTTCGCCCAATTGGGGAGTCCCGGGAGAGCCAGACCAACAACCGAGAGCTTCGCAGCACTTGTGACTGCATTCAGCAGTGGGTTCTCTCGAGCTACGCTCTGCTCACGGTGGCATTCTCGGTGAAAGCCTGGTGTCTGACCGCCGCGTTGGCCTCATCGGCACTGCCGCTGGCATCTTCGCCGTTGCCCACGCTGTAGTGCGGCGGCAAGGAAATAAGCATTGCTCGCCGTTCACGCCGACCAGCGTGAGTTGTACCGCAGCGCGTTGGACAGAAGAAAAGAAAGAAGAATCCTATTTCTACGAAGAAACCATTTTGGCGCGAAAGCAGCAACGAACAACTTGCCTAACAAAACGCCGCCAACTCTTTTGCCCCACAACAAAAATCACACACAACATTTGATTTTGATCTCGATGGCTGAGTCTGGCAATTTTGGTACGTGACTTAGCCATTGCGACCCACGCACAATGACTCATTCGCCCTCTTTTAGGAATCATGGAGGGGCTCTACTTCACGGGCCGCAAGGAACTGCTTGAGTGGATTAATGGTTTTCTTGAGATTGAGTATACCAAAGTTGAGCAAGTAGCTTCGGCCGCAGCCTTCTGCCAGCTTATGGACGCTCTCCACCCAGGTATGCCCAAATACAACCTTTAGCAAGAAGTCAATCTAAACGCTTTCATTCAGGAACGATCGCCCTCAGCAAGGTCCGTTTCAACGCCAACCAGGAATGGGAGTTTGTTTCGAACTTCAAGCTTTTGCAGAAGGCCTTCGATGCCGCAAACATCAAGAAGGTACAACACACTATGGTCCAATCGAACAACAGGACTGGAGACCAGTTTTCTAATGACGATTACCTCCGATGCGTAATCTGGCCTCAGCACATCGATGTCCCCAAATTGATCAGGGCCAAGTACCAGGACAACCTCGAGTTCCTCCAGTGGTTCAAGCGCTACTTCGAGGGCAAGTGGGACAAGGCCGAATACCGCGCTAAGGAGAGGCGGCTTTCCGCCATGAAGGCTGCAGCTGGACCTGCCCGCCGAGTATCCATCAAGCCAGCACAGCCCGTTGGCCAAGGTACCTCCTCCTCGGGACAGGCTTTGTTTGCGTACACCCAGCCTCATGGAATACCCGGACGCGGTCTGTTCAAATGCTCTCGCCAGAGAACAGGGTCCCTCTGGCGACGCGAACCAACCTTTCCGCTCGCAGAGTAGCCGTGGCCGCGCCCGCTGCTGTCCCTTCGCCAGCGAAGCCGCCTGTTAAACGCGTTGCCAAACGCAGGGTGACCATGGCTGCTTCGTCCATTCGAGCAACCACCCCCGAGAAGCCCGTCACGGTCACTCCTGCTGCTCCTGCCAAGAAGACCTCGCCCGTCAAGCGCGCCGTTGCCGCCTCTCCTGTGACCAGGTCCGCCGCTAAGCCTCTGAGGCCCGCGGTACGTACGCTCCGCTGGGTAGCCTTTACGCCTTGACCCGGATCTTACATGGCCATTATCGTCTTAGACGCCTAAGTCTATTCTCAAGAAGCCCGTCTCCGTAGCGGCCCCTGTCAATGGAGATGTCGCCTCTTTTGGTACTCTTGCTATCTTTTCTGTTGCACTCACTTCGAATGGTTGGAACTGATCCGTTCTTTCGTCACAGTCGAGAGGCAGGTGGACACTCTCAAGAACGACCTCTTCCAAGCCGTCGCAAGCCTGCAGAGAGAAAGAGATGTCTTCTCAGAGAAGCTCAAGGTGCGCATGAATCCACACAACAATTCCTCTGCAAGAGACTCTTTCAGAGCTTGCCTGACCTGCATCCTGCATGCATCTATCCTTTCAGGCCATCAAGATGATGTGCGAAGAGGACGAGAGCTCGGCAGAGACCATCCAGCGCATCCTCACCATCATCCGCATCGGTACCGACGAGGAGGATCAACCCCAGCCGCAGCCGCAGCTCGAGCAGGCCGTCAACGCCGATGAAGATGAAGACGACGGCCTCGATGAACTCGACGAGCTGGATGACATCATCGCCTCCAGTGCCCAGCAGCCGGAAACCGACGACGGCGGCGAGGAGGCGCCCGAGGCCACCGAAGATGCCGGCGACGAGATCGCCGACGATGACGAAGACCTCGACTTTGTCTGAAGGCCACGCGAGCCACCAGTCGCCGGTTGGGCCTTGCCGCCTGTAAGCGGGTTGCAGGCCATGTCGGGACTGGGCCGAAAAGAAGGAATGCAGAAAATGCAAAGCAGAAATAAATGTAAATGTTTTAAATAGCGATGATGTTGGGCAAGAACTCGAACGAAGCGGAGGAGGAAAGCGGGAGTTCTCCGCGTGCAGGTCGTTGTTTGTTGCACCAGCCGGCTTACCGCAGCTTCTCCTCCTGCTTCTGGGAGGTGATTTGTTGTTCTTCGTGTGCCAACTGGATCACAAACGTAGATGGCAGGAGATACAGCGGTAGGCGCATCCTACTCTACCCCCGTGGCGGCGATTTTCATCTACAACCTCATCGTTGGCGTCGGCTGCCTGACTCTTCCTCATGCCTTTCAAGCGGCTGGAATCGTGCGTTTCTCTCACAAAATGTCGCATCAGTAATTATGATTGTTGTTAATCAATAATCCAATTCCTTCCCCCCTACTGCACTCTCCCAGGTCCTGTCTGCCGTGTTCCTCCTGTTTATGGCCTTTTTGAGGTATTCTCCATTCAATCCCTGACGTGGAGGTGTTTCTTCTAGCGTTGCGCACGCGGTTACCAACTCCCACCCACCCCTCTCGTCAACGGCAGCTTTATGACGGCAACCTGGGTGGTTGAAACCATGGCGGCCGCCAACGCGCTCCTGGAAAAGGACCGACTGGTAACCTCTACTGACCGAGAGAAGCAATCGCTTGTGGATAAGGTGAGGCCCTGGATTGCTCAGCGCTCGTGCTAACGCCGTACGACGCACAGGATGATGAAAAAGCTGGTCTGCTCGACGACGGGGATTCCTTCCGAGTGCAGGACTCGGACACTGACATCACTATCACGGGAAGCGTTAACCAATACAAGGTTCGCTCCCTATCCTGATGGTGCCCCGCATGCTTGTCCAACCTCCAACGCACCGCGACTCATCTTTCGGGCTTCTACATCACAATCCGTATAATCGATCTCGACAGCTGAGCAGCGAGTATTCGTTTTCGACCAACGCTCTTCAGCACGACCAGATCCGCGTGAGGGACGTCCACGACTTCTTCCACCTGGATCAGCGAGTCGAAGTGGGCATGATGGCCGATATCTTCCTCGGCTGGATTGGCCAAAAGTTGTTCTACGTCATTCTCTGCGTATGTATACGACACCATCGTAACCACCGGGGCTTGTGCTAACTGGTCTCTCACGTAGGTCTACCTGTTTGGTGATCTGGCCATCTATGCCGTTTACGTTCCTCGATCCCTCGTCACCGTGACGGGTAAGCACTGCCCTTGTGCGTGCGGTGTTGTGTGCGTTGTGCGTATGTCTCATCCCTAAAATTGCGTTACAGGCAGCTTCTCGTTGGGCGATTGGCACATCAGCGAACAGGATGCCTACTACATCTTCCTCGCACTCTTCACGCTGGGCACTGCGCCCTTCTGCTTCTTCGACTTTCAGAAGACCAAGTACATGCAGTTCGGCACCATGTTCTGCCGCAACGCCGCCTTCGCTACGTTCGTCACCTCGTCCACACCTACGTTCGCATATGTTCGCGCCAGCTCATTCACTTTCTTTCTTACATACATACCAACAGCATGGTGGTCATCGCCATCATCGCCATCGCCAAGGGAGATGGACCCACCGTGAGCAAGATCGAAATCGCCAACTTCAGGTAATTAGCGTGTCCTGTTCCACGTTCTCGAGTTCAGCTCAGCATGCTCACGCTCTCTCGTTCCAATTCTGCCGTGCAGTGCCTTCCCTACACTTTTTGGTGCCTCGGTGTACGCTTTCATGTGCCACCACAGGTACACCTCTCCACACCACACCGCACACGTCGTTGGGGTTCTCGCATTTGGGTTGTCAAGCTTACGTGAGCACCATTTGGACAGCATTCCCGGTCTGCTGGCACCCGTGGAGAAGAAGAACAAGGTAACGACGCTGTTCACCGTAGATTTTGTGTCTATCTTCATTGCCTACATTCTCCTGGCCTACTCCGCCGTCTTCGCCTACGATCAGTATCCGATTCCCTCTACCTACACCACCTTCTTCAGGGGCAAGAGTACGTCGTTCACTCATTCATTCATTCATTCATTCATTGCCGCACATGTGTGTACTGTATCATGTGCTCACGTCCTCCACAAAACCTCTTGCGTGGTGCAGCCAATGAGGTGGTGGCGATCATCCTGGCCCTGTACCCCGTCTTCACGTTGACGACCAACTTTCCTCTCATTTGCATCACCCTCCGCAACAACATCATCCGCTTCGTGCCCGAACGAGGCACGCCGTCTCCTTCTTCTTCTTCTTCTTTCTTTTTGTGGTCTGTCTGATCGTTCTTTTTGTGTGTACAGAGGACGGCGCGTGGGCGTGGGTGAACCGGGTGAAGCGTCCGCTGAGCACCATCGTCGCCCTCACCCCGGCGATCATAATCGCCTTTGGCACCTGCGATGTGTCTCTGCTGGTCTCCATCACGGGCTCCTACCCCGGTCTAGGCATCATGTTCTTCATCCCCATCGTACTCGTCTTCTTCGCGCGACGGTACACACAGCCACCCCTCCTCTCCACCACAAAGTCACTTCACAACCACTCACACGTGTCGTGTGTCGTGCGTGCAGACGAGTGAGGCAAGTGTTCGGCGAGAGCGGGTCGTACAACAAGCACCGATCGCCGTTCCACCACTGGGTGTGGTTGGCCCTGGTGGCAGCCATCGCGTGCGGCTTCCTGGGCTTCACCATCTACAACATGATCCGCGACGCCATCGACGGCCAGCTCGCCAGCGGCAGCGGATCCTGCTCTGGCTAAGCCACTCCAAACGAAACGAAACGAAACGAAAAACGAAAAACGAAACGAGGCTGGCGCGTGTAGCGGAAGTTGAGATGAAGAAGGAGAGGATGAGAGTATGTCACATGATGGCCGGGGGGGGGGACAGAGGAGAGAATTAGGCGAAGACGGGCAGGCGAAGCTTGCCGTTGGCTTCGAGGAAGGCGTAGGAGACGCCACAGAGGACCGTCAATCCGACGCCCGCCATCGCGGCCTTCAGCCAATACGAGGATCCGCTGCTGCCGCTGGCGGTCCTGGCAGCCGACTGCATCGCCTTCATCTCTTCCACCTGTGGTGCGCGCGCGTGCTTTAGTCCACGTCCATCACGGTGCAGAGAGAGCAAGAGAGGAGGCATGGCAGGAGGTTGTACCTCTGCAGCGATCTGTTTCACGAGCTCTTCTCGCTCATCCATCAGCTGTCGCTTGCGCAGCTCCTGCCATTCGGGAAGACGAGAGTCGACTCGATGAGAGTCAAAAGACACGCGTGGCATGAAGAGATGATTGGGCGGGGGGTGGCAAGACCTGGCTCCTCCTCTTCTCTTGCATTTCTCGTTGGATGGCCTTGATCCGCTTATCCAGCTGATCCACCAGGGCTTGCCCGTTATGCGCCATTCGCTGTTCGTCTTCTTCTTCTTCTTCTTCAACTTCGTCCTCACTAATCGCACCACATGGGAACAGTGAGAAGGCCCAGCCTACTGCGTGCCCACTTCCCAACCATACAGTGCACGTACCTGCTCTCCTCGCGCTCCTGTTGCTCGAGCTCTTGCTTCAAGGTTTCAAGAGCCGCTCTGTTGCATGCAGCAAAGATGAGCAGTGCGGCAGGTCTGCTATCGAAGAGGTGGGTGGGTAACGTACATGCGCTCCTCTTCTATTTGCTTGACATGCAGCAGCCGAGCCTTGAGCTCATCCACCTGCGCCAGCCACACAAAAATGAGGAGGGAACAGAGAACAATCTTGAATGAGATGGAGAGCTCACACCTTTCCAACTGCGAGTTCAGTGTCTGCCATGGCTTGTCCTTCTTGTCTTGCGGGCTCAGCTAACGGAAATGAAACGTTAATTGATTTAATGGCAAAATTAAATCAATTGCTTGACGATTTCCGGCGTGGTGGCGATACCAAAGTGGCCCGTCTCGTCGATGCACTCCCGGAGTGGTCGCAGTGCTCGACCAGTGCACGCGCGACGACGTCTAACCCGCACTGACAGCCACGAGGCGGCCGAAGAAAAGAAAAATAAATCTTCGCTAAATCAACATTAATCCGCACAACATGTTGCTGCGCAGCTTGCGGAGGGGCTCGACTGTGGCATATCGGTCCGCATCACCTTGTGGGCGCTTGGCCAGTGGCTCTCGTCACCTTCATGCCACCACGGTACCACTCGATCACTGCATCTTTCGTTCCATCTTTTTAGTAGTCAGATGCAAGCTGCTGATGTGCTGCATTGCACGTGTGGCGCAGAGCACAGCACGGGGGCTGTCGAGAAGCGCGAAGTGCGGGTGGGTGGCAGCAGGGACGGTGGTAGGCGCGGGGCTGGGAAAGAGCTGCTCTCCAAGGCACGCGCCGAGGAAGCGGGCGAGACCACAGGCAGCGTGTCACTTGACTCCTCGGCCTCCGTCGACTCTCCGCCCATCAACCCCACCTTCCCCATGTATCGGGTACGCCTCTTTAGTGATCCTGTGCGCGTGTTGTGTCGTGTCGTGTCGTGCTATTGGCGAGTCTTACCTCTGGACATTCCGCACAGACGAGAGGCGATGTGCTGTATTGGGTGCAGTACTACTACAGACACCCCGAGGCTGACCTGCTCAAGCTGGCCGTGGAGTCCCTGCTCAAGGAGCGCATGAAGCCCGAGGGTACCATTGTGCACTTGGCCTGGCGCGACATTGCGCCCTCGTGAGGTGGTCACCTGAGCTCAATCCTTGATTGCGTGGTCTGTGCGAGCAGATGGCTGGCTGATGGCCGGCCTCGTGGCGGGCATAATGAAGAATCGACCTGAGTCGCTTTCTCACTTTGCCGTTCACGACATCTACAACGTCCTCCAGGTTGCCCATCTGCCCTTTATGCATTTAGTATTCTACTTTTTCCACCCAAGGCATGGCTCACCTCGCCACCACTCGCCACAACCAGGACTTTCGGCAGGCGCTTCTTGTTGGTCTCTGGCTCGGAGGATCTCACGGTAACACACCATCAGACGACGCACACGCCCACACGGGCAGCTAAGAGAGACAAATTACAACATTTCTACACAGGTAAGGAACACCTGCAGAAGCTGGTCGATGAGGTGACCGACGAAGCCACCAAGCAGGTATGTGACTGCTTGTGCGTTTGTGGTAGACGCTCATTGAATCTCTCCTCTCCTCTTCCTTGTCTCTCTGACAAACCAATTCTATTCACTGTACAGACAATCAACAACCTGCTTACGACGCCTCCTCCCGACCCTCTGCTCGCGGAGATGGACATCGTCAACGCCAACATGAACCTCCACGTGCTGGTACCGCCCGACACCGGCTTAAGAAGCGCCACTGCGCCACACGTCTCATGCTCTACACCGCTTCAACTCTATTCTCTCTCACACGCGCGTGTGTTCTGTCCTAGCTGGGAGTGTTCTACGCGACGGGAGACACGGCGGTGGTGGACAAGATGATCGACCTCTGCCGCGACTGGTCCGTCGAGGTGCTGACCAAGGGCGGCCGGGAGGGCGCCGCCCGGTTCTACGTGGCCAAGACCGTCAGGTACAGGCCTTGCTGACGACACTGTGTCGACACAGCAATCAAAACGCACCACTCACGCGCGTGAGCGCGCCCAGGGAGAAGCTGGCGCTGCTGTGCCAGGAGCACGAGGTGGCGCGGGAGGCGTGCAGGCGGGCACTGGCGACCCCGCAGGGCGCTGCGCTCGGGGAGGGCCTCATCCCGGCGCTCACCAACGAGCAGCGGACGATGCTGCGCAACATTCTCGAGGTGGTCGATCGGCTCGAGGCCGAGGACAAGACTCAGCACAACGCGCGCAAGCAGCGCCTCGACGCCTCCATCGAGCGCGCCTTCCGCAAGGAGGGCTCCGAGACCAAGTAAGCCAATAAATAAAAATAAAAATAAAAATAATACGATATAAAACGATTTAAACCTAAATTACAATGCACTGATCTGCGTCGGAGTCTTAGGTGCTGGTGGAGTTGATGAAGGGGAGCACGTTGGCGATGAAGTACTTGTCGAAGCACGGGGAAGTGTAGTCGTTGTGGACGCACGTGGTGGAGAAGCGGTGCAACCGGCCGGTCTCCTGCAGCGTCCTGAGGCCGATGTAGTCGTACTTGTACAGGGGCTGCTCCTCCAGCGGAACCACCGACGAGATCGTGTTGTTGGCGTACACGCCGAACCAGCCGGTCTCGCGAGGAATCAGCACCTGCCGAACACCGCACACACCGCACACGCATCACCGCACACGCGACCAGAGGGTAAGCGAGAAGACAAAGAAGCTCATGATGAAGGGGGTGGGCGCACAGAGTCGATGGTGGAGTAGCCCATGATAAAGTTCTCGAGCGAGAGGACGTTCTGCTTGTAAACGGGGTTCTTCTCCTCCCGCTCGTTGTTGATGTCCGAGAGGAAGATCTTCTCCTGCACGTAGGTCGAGAGCGCGTACGGGTCTGTACGGTGGCCAACAAAACAAAGTGGTCCACAAGTGAGCAAACAACGACTACGACGAAGAATTGTACAACACGACGCGGGGCTGCAAAGAAAGAAGATAGAGACGCACCACGCCAGTAGCCGGCGAAGGAGAAGAGGTCCTGTGCCCACTGCTCGTAGATGCAGCAGTCCGCGACATCGTCAAGCGTGGCGTTGAGGTACTCCCAATGGCCCACCTGCCATATGGATTTTGAGCACACGTGGAGTCGAATAGCGAAAGAGCGAAAGAGCGAAAGAGAGAAAGAGAGAAGCGCGAGGAACAGGGGAGTACCACGGGAACGCCGTAGACGCCCATCATAGGGGCCACCCACGAGATGAAGTTCTTGACGGGCGGATTGTTGCAGCGCTCGAGGTAGCCCCGCAGCAGGATGCCGCCCTGCGAGGTGCCCAGCACGTTGATGCCGCCCGCGAGTTTGGGATCCGCCGCCAGCGCCTTGCAAATCAACTCCACCTTTTCATCGACACGAACACACGACCAACGACACACGACACGACACGACACGACACGACACGACACGACACGACACGACACGACACGACACGACACGACACAACACGACACACGTTCGGTAAGGTGGCGGACTTCTCCGAGTGCACGTGCGGCAAGGAGAACGGCAAAAAGTGCCTGCACGTCGCTTCCGGTGAAGACGGAGCCCTCGGACGAGCCCGTGACCTCGAGCGCGGTCACGTAGATGCCCGGCAGCAGCTGCTGGGCCAGCGCCGCAATGTGGGCCATCCTCGCGCTTGTGTCCGCTATGCCTGCGTACGTTTTGTTTTTTTAAAACAAAATAAACAAAAAATAACAAACAAAAAATTGGGGGGGGGTGTACCGTGCATGAGAACGAGGGGCGTATACTGCGGAGAAGCATCGATAAGGAGGGAACTCCACTGGAAGGCCACGACGAAGACCACCAGCAGGGCCGCACGGGACATCATGGTGTTGGCCTAACTGAACTCTTTGCTCTTGCCTTCTGGTGTACTGTTCACCCGCACCAATCGCCCCTTTACGGCTCATTTTCATTCGTCCAATCAGCGTGCAGGACAGGCCCACCACATACCTGCAACCCACAATGGCAACCTTACCTTTACACCTCCCAGTGACTCAGATGCTCTGTGAATGCACTCAAAAGAACAGCTGAGCGAAGACAGGAGCACTCCTCTGAGCAGATAGCGAATGTGCCAACATTCTTGGCACATTCCAAGCTTCACCCAAGGAAAGAAAACCGCCAAGAAAATGTAGTGAAGCCAAGTTCAGTGCATGGCACTGTGGCTTGTGGCGCGCAGACAGAGCGGAGCCAAGGAGGAGAGTGCACGACGTGGCGTCAGGAGAAAAGATGGACCTGTACACGTTGATGGAAAAGGAGGACCGGCGGCACAACCGTGGGGCGTGCCCGGTGTGCAACGTGGAGCTGGCGTTGGCTGATATCGAGGGCCACGTCAACCGGTGCCTCGACCTCGCTCTCCAGTCCGACGACGAGCAGCTCGCCAAGTCCCTCGCCCGCAGCGGCTACCACCCCCTCGCCACCGCCTCGTCCCCTGCTGCAGGTACCCAACAATTAATCCGCTTTTTTATTTTTATTTGCACACTGCTTATTTTTATTTGTTTATTTTAACGTAAAATGCAGAATTCTGTTCATTCTTTTCTTTTACCTTGTTTGACCCACATAGGAGCTGGCGTGGGTCCGCACGCGGGCGCGGGCCGGCTGCCGCCCAAGCAGGGCACCTTTAGCGCCGAGGACCACGCCTATGCGACCCTTCTCCTCCAGGTTTGCTCCCCCCGCCTCGTGATGCTTGAGAGCCCTTCGTGCAACCCAGTCTTGTCTTGTTAACATGGTTGCCCACGGTCATGGCGGTGATGGTGATGATGATGATGATCAGGAGATGGATGCGGACGACGACGACGGCCAGTCGCAGGACTTCACGGAGGTGCCGCTGAGCGACAGCGCCGAGAAGAGAATGGCGGTGCACATGACGAAGCCCGGCGGACTGGCCCTCGACATGGCCGCCCTCCGGCGCAGCCAGAACGCCGAGCAGGCCGCCAAGGCCGGCGCGCCCACTGCTGGCCAGCCCGGCAACCCCAGCGCCAGGGCACACGACAAGCAACCCAAGGACAAGGGCAAGCAGCGACTGCTGGTCGACGACGACAACGACGACAACCATGACGTTGCTGTTCATCGCGGAAGCAACGGCAAGATTGATGACGATGGCGACGACAGCGACGACAGCGACGACACGGTGTTCAAGGTGAGGCTTGACACGATGAGCAAGGGCCAGCTCAAGAAGCTGTGCCTGAAGCAGCACCGCAAGATCGAGCGAATGCGGTTCCTCATCCAGACGCTGGAGAAGGACCTCAAGAACGTGCGGGTGAGCAACGCGCTGGACGACGACTGGCAGCGCGAGACGCGCGACGAGTGGGAGTCGGAGCTCGCGCACCAGAAGCAGGAGGCCGGTGCGCGCGAGGCCGAGCGGAGGCGGAAAGCCATTGAAGACGCCCAAGAAGCCAAGGCCATCGCCGACGCCCTGGAAGCCGTCAAGAAGTACCATGCATTGCTCACATTTACCATGTGTCTCGTGTGCGCGTGTGCGGTGGTGCGTGTGCGCGTTTCTGACAATCTCACCAACAGACAAGAAGAGGCGGATAGGGAAGCAGCGGCGGCTGCGGCTGCTCAGGAACCGGAGCCGGAGCCGGTGCCGCTGGAGGAGCCCATGGCCGGCAATGAGGAGTGGGATCCGGCCAGCGTGGAGGGCAACGGCCTGTTCGACCTGCCCCGGGAGGTCATGCTCACCGTCTTTGCGCGACTCGCCGCCCGGGACCTGGCCAGCCTCTCCCAAACCTGCAAGATGCTCATCGAGCCGGCCCAGGTACGCCCCCCGCCCACGGCCGCGGCGAGGGTGAAGGTGTGTCTGACGGTCCACATGCGGCACACGCGACGCACACACGTCGACCAATCAGGATCCGCTGTTGTGGAGGCTTCTGTTTGTGAGATGGATCCGCACGGCGAACGCGAAGCGGTGGGGACACGTCGATGAAGCCGCGATTCTGCAGCGCTTCGGTCCTCCTCCTCCTCCCCTGATCGATGCGACAAGCGAGAGCGCGACGAGCGAAAGCGGAGGGGCGACCAGCGGCGAACGTGCCTGGTACCTCCAATTCAAAAAATGTACGCACCCTCCCACCTGCGACAATGCACAGCAACAGCAGCAACAACAACAACGGGTCTGAACATGGGAGAGAGAACGCACTCGCTCATGCACTTGATGCGGTGACAGGCTACGTCAAGTGGCGGTACGCGACCATTGCGGGCAACGGCGAGAAGTGGATGTGGGATCGTTTCCAGAATACGCTGTCGGGCTTCAGCTTCTGCACGCGCACCCAGCAGAAGTGGAAGTTTGAGGGCTCGTACGTCCCTCTTCTTCGCTCTTCGTCGCCCTTCTTCGCTCTTCTTTGCTCACACTGCGTAGGCGTTTGAGAGTGGTGACGGGTCTCTTCAACTACCCGGTACTCGAGTGGAGCGGCTCGACGCTCCGCATCCAATTCAGGCCCCAGAAGGCGTTCCAGTGTCGAGCGGGCGTCGGCATCCGCGACTCCTTCTGGAACCAGGATCTCTGGCGCTTCGCTCGGTACCGTACCCCCCTCCCCATCCATAGCCGCTGCCCGTGCGTTGAGTGCGCCCTCACGCGCGATTCCCCCTCGCGGCCGCAGGACTGGGCAAGACCAACAACAGGAGCAGCAGGAGGCAGAAGCAGCGGAGCCGGAGGTGGAGAACGAGAACGAATCGTACATGGCGATGCGCATCGCCATGGGCGGGCCGACCTCCCTCCGCGCGCCCTACAAGGTGCAGGGCGACGTACCCTTGGCCATCGTGGCCCTCGTGCTCCTCCAGGTCACCGGCCACCTCTGAGGCCGTGGCTTCACCTATTTATTATTTTTTAGGCAATCCACCGGTACAACAGTCCCATTGGGTCTAACCTGGCAAATCTGCCAATTGCACTACATCCCCCCCTCCACGACATCTCGATATAAACATATTTTTAGATTTGGATTATGTACATTTTTAGGGTTTAATAACTAATATGCGGAGTATCTTATTTCACAAATACGGCGACTTTCGGTTGCGCCGGCAATATGTCACTTAGTAGTGGGGAAAGTGGGGCCGCTGGTTGAGCTTGTTGACGAAGACGCTGAAGAAGTTGGGGTCGGCCTCGAGCACCACCTGTACAGGTTGCCGTCGACGTCGTCAATCACGGTGCGGCCCACCTGGTCCCCGGTGATGGCGACGGTCAGGTTGAGCGTCACCTGCTCGACGATGAGCGACGGGTCGGCCAGGATGGCGGCCGTGAGCGGGTCCCACAGCGAATACATCGAAGTCGAGGCCGAGTTGTTCTTGATGAGGGCCAGCAGGTCATGGCAGAAGCGCGCCTCCTTGGTCCTCGCGATCGCGCCGAAGCTGTTGAGCCAGTCCCACGACAGCTGGAACGCATTGGTCGCGTCAAGCGGGACCAGGGTGATCGGCGTGCCCGAAGTGAACACCGCCCGAGCCGCCTCGGGGTCGGTGTAGCTGTGGGCGTACCAAAACCATAAATAAATAAAACAATGGAGTGCTGAGGGAGGTATCGTACATGTTGCACTCGGCCACGGTGTTGGGGGCTTGGCCCTTGGGGAAGAAGAGTTGCCCGGCACGAAGACAGCGCCGCCCATGACGAAGAGGCGATCCACCGCTGGACCAGCCACGGGTTCTGACGGTAGAGGAAGTCGATCGTGCTGAAGGCCCCGAGCGAGAGGAAGTAGACCGGGCCGTCCGTGGCCGCCACGGCCTGGGGCAAGTTGGTGAACACCGTGGTGTAGTTGGGGTAGTAGTTGCGGTTCTCGGGCGGGTGCGGGTAGCGGCGGTTGAGGCCCAGGATGGTGTCGGCCCAGATCTTGCCCTTGGGGAACAGGGGCACGGTCTTGGCGTAGCGGCAGCCGTAGTCGCCCGAGTCGATCTCGGCCGAGGCGTAGGCCTGGCCGGCCCAGATGGGGATGTCGTCGCGGTCCATGAAGTGGAGCAGTCCGAACAGGTTCTGGATGGCTGGACCCATGTTGCAGAAGCCGCGCAGTCGGGGATCAGGGCCGCCACCTCGACGTTGGAGTACTTGAGCAGCAGCTTGATGGCCTGCACGTCGTCCGTGTTGGCGTCGGTGAAGATGAAGACCTTGGGCTTGGGGCCAGCGGCGACGGACTCCTCCTGGGCCATGGCCCCCGCGAAGAAGCAGACGACGCCAAGGAAAAGGCCAAAGACCAACAGATGACGCATCTGGGCGGCCATGGTGGTTGTTGTGCCTGGGCGGGGTTGTGGTGATGGTTGGTGGAGATTGTCTTGCAGTGATTGATTGATTGATTGATAAGCTAATATATTGTGTGGAGACCAGTCTTTATAGGTGTTGCGAGTGCAGGGCATTGGTCCAGAGGCCGGCCAATGCCATCGTGGCGCCCGCACTCACCCCAGAGGCGGGAGTCGAGCGACCATCCCTCTGATGCCCACCTCGATCGGCGTCAGTTTCTCCAACTATGTCATAGGCAGCCAAAATACCAGCATATGTTGCATGCAAACACGTGTTATGGTCCGTCGCCTCAACACCCAGGGCAATTACATGACTTTTTTTAGGTCAGATGGTGCCCATTGGTCTGTTTTCTCTCCGATGGTCTTAGTCTGGCAGCACCTCAACCGTTCAACCAAACACATCTTGACCTCGATTTGGCCAAGCTCCGCCGCCATCCCATTGGCTCATCTGATCAGGTTGTGCCCTCTCCTTCCCGCGTGTGTGGGAGTGACACGCAGAACCGCCGCCGCCTGTCAGGAGGGGTCCCAACACGCCGCAAGACGAACGGTCATTCATCAAACTTCACCACCCGTACTCAACCGAACTGGCCGCCTTCCAACAAGCGGTCGCACACGACAGCGCTGGCCAGCGACGCGACCAACAACAACAACAAAAATTCCCCTACCACTCTTCATCACCATCTTCTTCTTCATCTCCCGTCTACCATAATCATGTGGGCTCGTCTGGCGGTCGTCGTGTGTCTTCTCGGTCTTCTGGGCGGCCCATTCCCTGGGCCACCAGCCCTGGTGGTCCAGGCAGACCTCAACGTGACGCTGCTCCACTCGCAGGACAACTTCGGGGCGTGGTGCCGCTCGACGGGGGCAACGCACCGTGCTTGCCAGTGCCCGGCCCGCCCTACTACAACACGTCGCGCGCCGGCAGCCAGTGCTACGGCGGCCTGGCCCGGCGCAGCGGCGTGGTGGCCCAGGTGCGGGCCGAGGTGGCCAACCTGGTGCTGGTCGACGCGGGCAACGCCAACGTCGGCTCGCTGTTCTACTTGACCTTCGGGTCGGAGGTGATCGCCACCTACTACGCCGACATGGGCTACGACGCGGTCAAGATCGAGGTCCACGACTTTGTGGGGCGGGTGCCGCAGATCGCCAACTTCACGCGGCTGGTGGCCCCCGTCCCGGTGGTGACGGCCAACGTGGTCAACCTCAACAACGACTCGCGCTTCGTCGAGAACGGCGGCGTGCCGGTGCAGCCCTACGCCTTGGCGGACCTGGCCGGGGGCCAGCGCGTGGGCTACGTGGGCACGACGGCGGCCAACCTCAACAGCTTCTTCGGCGAGCCGCGCCTGGTGGACTCCACCAGCGAGCTGCTGGCTATGCGCAACACTGTGGCGCTACTGCAGAACATGGGCATCAACAAGATCGTGGCGGCGGTGAGCGGCCCGAACGTGGTGGACGACATCGTGAACCAGGTGCCCGGCATCGACGTCATCATCGTCATCTCCGACATCTACGGCACCAACCTCACCATCACCACGCCCACGTCGGGTCCCTATCCGACTGTGCGGCAGATGCCCTGGGGCCAGCCCGTGCTCATCGTCGCCACCGGCGCCAACAACGGCAAGTTCCTCGGGCGGCTCGACCTGGTCTTCGACGACTTCGGCGTGATCAAGTCGTGGAGCGGCGCGCCGATCCTGCTCGACAACTCGTCGCCGGTCGACCAGGTGATGCACGCCGACATCATCCAGCGGCAGGTGGTGGTCAACAACCAGTCGTCGCGGGTGGTGGGCAGCACGGCGCAGAACCTGGGCTGGGAGAACCAGTGCATGTTCGGCGAGTGCACGCTGGGCCTGTGGACCACCGACGCCCTGAGGCGGGCGACGCCCAACGTGCAGATCGCGTGGTACAACGGCGGGTCGATGTACGCGCCCATCGCGCCGGGCAACATCACGCTGGGCCAGGTCCAGACCGCGATGCCGCTGCTCAACTCGGAGCTCCACACGTGCGAGCTCGCGGGCGAGTACCTCTGGGCCGCGATGGAGAACTCGCTGCTGCTGGTCACCAACCGCTCGCTCAACATCAACCAGGGCATAGGGCGCTTCCTGTCGGTGTCGGGCATGCGCATGCTCTACAACCCCGACGAGCAGCCGGGCATGCGCGCGGTCGAGGTCTGGCTCGAGCAGGCCGACGGCCGCCTGGTACCGATCGACCGCGCCGCGTACTACGTCGTCGCCACGTCGCGCTTCGTCTGGGCCGGCGGCGACGGCTTCACCATGATGCCGGCCCACTGCCGCAACTCCAAGCCGCAGGGCCTCACCGCGCTCAACGTCTGGCTCTCCGACCTCGAGACCTACTCGCCCATCAACAACCTCGCGGCCGGGCGGCTCACCGTCACCACGACCCTCTCGCGCCGCGACTGCCTCGCGGCCGACGGCCAGGTGTGCAGCGGCAACGGGTACTGCTACGTGGGCGCGTGCCAGTGCACCGTGGCCGGGGCCTCGGGTCCGGTGTGCAGCCTCGACGCGGCCTCGACCGACTCGGGCTCCGGCGACCCTGTCGTCGGGCTCAATCGCGGGCATCGTGGTGGGCGCGGCGGCGGGCGGCTGCTGCGTGCTGCTGGTGGTGATCGTGGTCACGGCCCTCCTGGCATCGATGCGCAAGCGGCCTGTGGAGCAGGAGTGGATGATCGATTTCGACGAGCTCGAGATGGGCGACATGCTGGGCCGCGGCGGGTTCGGCGAGGTGCACAAGGGCCGGTGGAAGGGCACCGAGGTGGCGGTCAAGACCATCAGCGCCGAGCACATCACGCGCGAGATGAAGTCGAATTTCATCGGACGAAACATCGATCATGAGCCGTCTCAGGCATCCCAACGTCGTGCTCTTCATGGCCGCCTCCACCAAGCCCCCTCCTCTGCATCGTCATGGAGTACATGACCCTCGGCTCCCTCTACGACGTACGCCACCTCGTCCCTCACATTTCTCTCCTTTTTTCTTTCGCCTTTTCTTTTCTCTTCTTTTTCGTGTTTGGCGCTCACAAAGATCTTGTACTTCAACAGCTGCTCCACAATGAGCTGGTGGCCGATATCCCCTTCCAGCTGAAGCTGAAGCTCATGTACCAGGCGGCGAAGGGCATGCACTTCCTCCACTCGTCGGGCGTGGCCCACCGCGACCTCAAGTCGCTCAACCTGCTCCTCGACTCCAAGTGGAATGTCAAGGTGGCGGACTTTGGCCTCACCGTGTTCAAGGACTCGATGCGACGCAAGGGCGACGAACGACGCGACAGCCAGCGCAACGGCGACGGCGGTGCGATGGTGGGCAGCGTGCCGTGGATGGCGCCCGAGCTCCTGCAGGAGACGCCCGACGCCGATTTCGTGCTGGCCGACGTCTACGCCTACGGCATCATCATGTGGGAGGTCTTCACACGCAAGAAGCCCTACGACGGCCTCACGGCGCCCCAGGTGGCCGTGGCCGTGATCCGCAACGACCTGCGGCCCACACTGCCCAGCGCGAGCCAGATGACCGAGGCCGAGCGCCAGTACGTCGAGCTCCTGGGCAGCTGCTGGCACCGCGACACCACCGTGCGCCCGGTCTTCCTCGACGTCATGAACGACATCGTCAAGATCGGCAACGCCGGCGGGAGCGGCACGAGCGGCATCTTCTCGTCGAGCACCTACGGCAGCAGTAGCAGCGCCGGCAGCAGCCTGCCGGATCATCAGCAGTTCTCAAGCGGCGGCCGCAGCGGCAACTCGGCGAGCAAGAGCTCGGCCGGCTCGTCGTCGAAGAGCGACTACGCGTCGGGCGAGGTGGCGCCGGCGGCCAAGGGCGGTGAGGGCGTGCCGCGGCGCGACGTGTCGTTCGTCGTGTGCGATCTGGCGCGGTTCGACGACGTGTGGAGCCGCGACCCGGCCGGGGCCGACAAGGCCATTGGCCAGTTCGGCAAGATGGTGCGCCTGCGGTGCGCCGTGCACGGCGGACACATCTTCTCTCAGCCCAGCTTCCACAGCGGCGGCACCTTCATGATCGCCTTCTCCAAGCCGGCCAAGGCCGCGCTGTTCGCTCTCGAGTTCCAGTACGAGGTGTCGGCCCTGGCTAGCGGCGGCGGCGGCGGACATGCGAGCCTGCTGCGCGATCACGCACGAGTGAGCGTGTCGTTCAGGGCGGGCCTGACCATGGCGCCCGCCGACGACCGCACGCGTACGACCTACGAGGCCAAGGACTACGAGGACGTGCTGTGGCTCAACACCTGCTGTCCGCCGGGCGCCGTCGTGTGCTCGGCGGCCTTCCGCGACAGCTACACCCGCGCCCGCACGGCCGGCGTGAGCGAGAACGTTGGCTTTGTCGAGCGCCGCGACGGATCGGTGCTGATGATGCGCGAAGGTGAGGAGCCGGCCGACGCGGCCGACAACGAGGATGACGACAGCGACAGCGACGCCGAGGAGCACTACGACGAGCGAGACCACAGCAACGTTACGCGAAGGGACCGCGAGGCGGGCGTGTGCTCCTCGAACATGTGCCCCGTGGATCATCAACACGGACCGGATCGAGATGGGCGAGCGCATCGGCGAGGGCAACTACGGCCAGGTGCTCGAGGGCGTCTACCACGGGCGCAAGGTGGCCATCAAGCGGCTCTTCAACAGCCGACTGGACGACGAAGGCATGCGCAAGATGCGCAAGGAGGCGGCGATCCTCTCCGGCATTGACCACCCACGGGTGGTCAAGCTCATGGGCCTCTCGGTGGCCGACGGCAAGCTGCTGCTGGTCATGGAGCTCGTGCCTCGGGGCAGCCTGCGCGCGCTGCTCTCCAACTCGTCGGTCAGCTTCAAGTGGCAGAAGCGGCTGGCCATGCTGCGCGACGCCGCCGTCGGCATCGCGTTCCTCCACTCCAAGGGCATCGTGCACCGCGACATCAAGTCGTCGAACCTGCTCGTCGACGACAACCTGAGCGTCAAGGTGGGCGACTTCGGCTTCGCCACGGCCAAGCATGACAACGGCACCATGACTCGCTGTGGCACGCCGTCGTGGACCGCGCCCGAGGTGCTGGCGCCCTCTACTCTCGCCACCGCCCAGAGCTCGTCGTCCGAGCACAGCGACAACGACGAGAAGATGAAGACGAAGACGATGAAGGCCAAGACCGGCCCGATCAGCGAGAAGGCCGACGTCTACAGCTTCGGCATCGTGATGTGGGAGGTGCTCACCCGACGGACGCCGTACGAGGACGGCAACATGATGACCGTGGCGCTGGACGTGCTGCAGGGCAAGCGGCCCAAGGTGCCCAACGACTGCCCGTCCAAGTTCGCCGAGATCATGCAGCGCTGCTGGCACCAGAAGCCGCAGAAGAGGCCCACCATGGACGACGTCCTCATGTACCTCAACAGCGAACTCAAGGACTTCGCCCCGCTCTGAAGTTGTTTGTAAGTTCGACAACATCTGCGTCATCACCTCTCCTTTTTGTAATCTGTACACACACACACACACACACCTACAAGCTTTCCCTGTACCATAAAAACGCCACTTGCTTGGATCGAGAGCAGGAAGAAGGAGAGAGGGAGGTTTCATGGACTGAGCACGACGCCTGTCACCTTCGTCCAGTTGGCTGTCTTGGTGTCGACGTCCTTGAGGTTGGCGTTGGCCAAGGCTGACCCGGTGAGGTTGGTTTTGTCCAGGCAGGCTCGAGTGAGGTTGGCCTTGGTGAGCGTGCACTCGGTCACGTTGGCACCGGAGAGGTTGGCGTCCACGAAGGACGATTGTTTCAGGTTGCAGCGCGCCAGCGTGGTTGCGGACAGGTCGGCGTCACTAAACTCACAGGCAATCATGGAACAGCTTTCGAAGTGGCCGCCGGTCAGGTCGGCCCCGACGAAGCTGCACTGGCTGAAGTCGACCTCCTGGCACCGGATGTGGGACAGCGTGCTGCCGGAGAAGTCGCACCCGGCCAGCCGGACCCGAAAGCCGCCTGTAGAAGCCACCGTCTCGCCGAAGAGCCTCAGATCGGAGAGGTCGAGGCCACAGAAACGCAGCCCGCTGAAGTCCTTGTATTGAGTGGTGGCGGCGAGCAGCTGGCAGAACTGCGAGCGAGTGAAGTCCGCCTTGATCGGGCCGTTCCCCCGCGCTCGAGGTACGTCGAAGGGCAGTTGATAGAACTCGACCTCGCTCGCGAGCGCCTTGTAGTCGACGAAGCCCGGCGGGAAGGACAGCACTCCGCTGCGCATGGCGTTGAGAAGGACGCCAAAGTGGGTGCCGTCGCGATCGATGAACACGGAACCGTCGGCCATGGGCTTGAGAGCGAATCGCCCACTCACCAAGGACTCGAGCATGCTCTGCGGATAGCGCGCCAGGGTTGCCCGGCTGGTGGTGTAGCGTATCCCTCCGACATTGAGTTCTATGTAGCCCTGCTGCGCCTTCTCCAGCTTCTCCATGAAGGCTGCTTCCTTCGCCTTCTTGGCCTCCAAGGCGGTCCTTATCTCTTCAATCCGCTGCTCCAGGGCTGCCAATTCGTCTTCCATCTTGCTCGACTTACAATCTCAATCGAGCAAATTGAAAAGCTCACGCGTAAATTTTTTGTCGACCTCACCTGCGTGACGTCAGGGCAAGCCACTACAGGAATCTGTGTTGCTGTGGTGGAAGACGAAGGATCGAATCTTGATCCAGTGTCCTGTCTCATTTCACTGCCTCCAAGATGAAGACTTCCTTCCTCTTACTCGCTTTCTTTGCTCTCTTCGCCGTATCGGCGCTTGCGCTGGGTACCCCCTCCGATTTCTTCTCGGGCGCCGATGAAGCCGCCCTCCGTGCGCGCCTCACTGAACAGCTCGAGCGCCGCCAGAGCAGCGACGAGCTGATCGAGGAGGACTACTACGCGGTTGCGACGCTGGCCTCCCTCTCCAAGACCACATCATTCCCCAATTCGGCGCAGCTCTGCGGCAAGGCGTCTACGCTGCTTGCCTCGGCCTCTGCCAAGATCGTCGACGCTCAGGCCATTCATCGCGCCCTTGGCGTCATCTCGGCCCTCAAGTGCGAATCGCAGCCCTCTCCTGCCACTCTTTCGTCCCTCGGCACCAAGCTGGTCGAATCTGTGCTCGCCAATGATCAGGCTCAGCTCGCCGATCTGCATGCCGCCCTCGCTGCCCTCCAGCAGATCCAGAAGACTGCCTCGCCTGCCGTCACCGTCTCGAGCGACGTCGCCTCCGAGGTGGCTGAGCGCATCGCTGATTTGATGGAGCCTGAGGGCCTCTTCCGCGCTGGATCCAACGATGAGGAGGGTACTGCTGGCAACGCTGGCCTCGCCTACCACGCCCTCGCCCTCCTCAAGCGCGCTGCCGCCCTCAACGTCGCCCCCAAGAAGGGCGCCGATGGCAAGTCCGGGCCGGTCGACGCCTCCAAGCAGGCCGCGCTGAAGCACATCAAGACTGTGGCCGAATCCATCAGCCAGCTCCTGGCCGATGTCGACGAGGAAGACGACAACATCATTGAATTCGAAGACTCGCAGAACCCCCTGCGCGCTACCGCCCTCTTCTGGATCGGCGCCGAGGCTCTTACCCGCAGCGGTGAGTCCGTTACCGTCACTGAGGTAAGTCGTCCTGCTCTTTATTATTTTATGATGTAGTGTCATTTCAATCTATCATCTGCTCATTCATTCATCGGTCTGCCAACACAGTCTCAGGTCGCTAAGCTCGCCGAGTTCTTCCTGCGCCACAAGCGCGTGAGCAACGCCGTCGACGCCTACCACCTCCTGCGGGCGCTCAAGACCGTTGCCAGCAACGTCTGGAAGAAGTCGCCCCTCGTGGTGACCCTCCCCAACAGCTCTGTCCTCGCCTCCTCCAAGGGCGAAGACTCCCTCGTCAAGGTATTGCCCTTCTTCCCAGAGCTCTAGCCGTGGCACACCATGCTCTTGCTCTGTAGTTTGTTCTTGGTTGGCTTGTGTGGTGCGTGTGGCTCACCCACCATCGCTCTTGCGGGCATGAACAGTTCCGCGTGACCGACGTCTTTGGCAAGTTCGCCTCGAAGGCCAACGTCTACATCACCAAGGTCTACCCCACCGCCAACGAGAAGCAGGTCATCCTCCACAACCAGCAGGCCACCCCCGTCTCCACCAACGCCGACGAGACCCTCTACTCCTTCAACATCCTCGCCGCCAAGCCCGACCAGGGTGCGTGAAGCGAGCCGGTGAATGTTCTGACTCGATCGTCGACGCGCAGTCTAACCGCGATCACTTTCCCAGGTCTGTACTCGATCGACCTGTCGGTCGCTCCCGAGAGCAAGGACGCGCCCGTCTTCGGTGCCGTCGGCGTGGTGCGGGGCGTCAAGGTGGTCGTCACCGCCGATCTCTCCGATGTCGCCGTCCAGGTCGTCGACGCGCTCGAGGATGAGGACCTCGAGCAGGCCTACAAGGTCTCCTACCCCGAGAAGGTGGCCGAGGTCATCAAGGCCAACCCGCTCCAGCACGTGCTGGTGAGCTTCCGTGTGCGCAGCCAGGGTCGTCCCCTGCCCGTCCAACAGGCCTTCGTCGTCTTCCGTCACGAGGAGTCTGGCCACGAGGTCATCCTCCCCGCCCAGCTCACCGGCAACAAGTACAAGGTTCACCTGGTACGTGTTCTCTCTCTCTCTCTCTCTCACTCTCTCACACAACACAACACAACACACTACACTACACTACACACACTACACACACTACACACACGTTATTTCGTTCGCCTCTCTAACCGCTTGAGCAACGTTGGTTGTGTTATGAACCTAGAACCTGCGCGAGGCCGGCCGTGCCTTCCAGGGCCGTAGCGGCAAGTACTCCGTGCACCTCCTCGTCGGTGACGCCTTCCTCCACCGCCCCTACTTCTGGCCCGTCGCCGACGTTTTCCTCAGGTAACGCCCTTCATCCATTTTTTCATCATCATCATCATCATCGTTGTAGTTGTTATAGTTATGGCTTCGGCGGCGTGCATTGCTCAGCTGTGCAAGCTCTCTCGCTGTCGGTGACGTTCACTCACGGCCCTTGTTGCGTGTGTAGCCTCGGTAAGCAGAGGGAAGAGCCGGCCGCCCCCTCGACCGAGGGTCTTAGGCCCGAGATCCACCACCAGTTCAGGAAGCCCGAGAAGAGGCCTCCCCCCACCGTCTCCATGACCTTCACCGCCCTCGTCGTTGGCGTTCCCGTCCTCGTGCTCTTCGTTGGGGTACTTTCCGCCTCCGATCGCAACTGTTGCCCTTCTAGCAGCGAATTCTCACCCCTCTCTGTTCTCAGCTGTTCCTTGTGGGAGCCAACTTCAGCAACTTCCCTCTGTCCGGCACGGGCTTCCTCTCGGCCGTCGGCTTCCTGGGTTGCATCTCCGCCGTGATCGGCCTCTACGTGCTCTACTGGCTCCAGCTCACCATGGTTGAGACCCTGGTACGTTCTTCTCAAGCCCTTTGTGCGCGCGCGTAGTGTGCTGATCGCTAACACTGTTCCCCTCCTCCTCCCATAGGTCTACCTTGCTGGTCTTGGTTTGGTGACCATCCTCGTTGGATGGCAGGCGCTGCGCCACAGGCTCTACGCCAGGCTTGCGGCCTCGGCCAAGGACACCAAGAGGGACTAAGTGTAGGCGCCTCTTCTCCTCTCTTCGCCAGCCACGCCACGCCACACATCACACAACGCACACAAGCCTTGGTTGGCTTGCAAGTGTTCTAATTGCCACCACTACTTCCAATTACTAGTAAAGCTCCCAAACCCACTCCTGGCCCACTCTTTCCCCTGCTCTGAGCATTACTAGTCCAACGTATGTTGTTTTATTTAGGGGCGTTCCCCGTTTTCGATTGCGCGCTGCCGCCACTTCTTGGCCTTGGCAAGGTCCACAGGCACGCCCTTGCCCGTCCGGTAGCAGTGGCTCAGGTGTCGCTGCGCACGCGAGTGGCCCTGCTTGGCGGCCTGGATGTAGAGGTGGACGGCCTTCTGGATGTCCTTCTCCACCGCCTCGCCGCACTCGTAGCACATCCCCAGCTTCCACTGCGCGGACCTCTGTCCCTGTTGTGCACACACGCGGTGAGCACTTTCGCAGCAATAGGAGTTAAAAATAAGGTTCGACGTACCAGCGCAGCTGCCTTGGTGTACAACTCCACCGCCTCCGCCATGTTCTTTGCCACTCCCTGTGCCACGTAGCCAAAGAAGAAAGAGAAGAAGGTGAGTGCAGAGGGACATCTCGGAGATAAAAAGGTCTCGCACCTCTCCGTGGTGATAGCACCGACCCAGGTTGTAGAGCGCATCGACGAATCCACTCTCGGTTGCTTGCTGGAACAGCTGGAAAGCTGCGAGAACGGGTGAGGTGAGTCTCTCGCTCTCTCTTTCGCCTGCAAGCGGAGCGGATGTGGTGTGGCGCGGGTAGTGTACATTTGTCAGGATTGCGCTGCACGAGCTTGCCGAACTGATAGCAGAGGCCCAGGTAGTTCTGGGCCTCGGCACAGCCGGCCTTGCTCGCCTGCAGGTAAACCGCTGCCGCCCTCTTCTCGTCCTTCCCCGCGCCCTGTGCCACACACAGCCACCATCGCACACGTCACCGATAGCGGTAAGATCACCGCTGCTTTCTCGAGTGTCGCTCACGGGCTCAACGAGGCCGGGCGGGCGCGCACCTTTCCGTGTTCGTAGCATTGGCCCAGTCGGTACATGGCCACCGGGCTCCCCCGCATCGCAGCCTTCTCGTATAACTCGAAGGCCTTGGTCTCGCTCGCCCCCACACCCTGCAGAGGGAAACGAGCGTTAACACTCCTAGGCGCTGCCAGCGAGTGGTTAAGGTGGCGGTTGGATCGACGCTGTGGCGCGTACCTCTCCCTCTTCATAGCATTCCGCCAGACGCAGCATTCCGCCGGCGTCGTTCAACTGCATCGCCTTCTTGAACCAGCCCAACGCCTGTCGTGTACGCGAAAAGTGGTCAGCTGTGGGCGGTGAGGATGATGATGGTGACGACGACGCGGGCGCACCTTGGCGGCGTCGAGCTCGACACCCTTGCCCAGCTTGTAGCAGAGGCCGAGGCTCACCATGGCTTCGGGGAGCTGCTTGGCGGCAGCCCGCGCGTAGTACTGGGCCGCCAGCGCGTGATCCACGTCGACGCCGTCGCCCTCCTCGTAGCACTGGCCCAGACGAAACTCGGCCTGTGTTGTAACCGGTACAATCGGAGTTAAAAAAATGAAAAGAGAAGAGAAGAGAGAACAGAAAGAAGAGGTACCTGCTTGTTGCCCTGCTCGGCGGCTTGGACGAAGAGCGGGATCGCCTTGTTCAAGTCCTTCTCGACCCCCTTGCCTGTGTCGTGTTGTGAGCGAAAGAGCGAAAGAGAAGAGGCACGGGTGGAGTGGAGCTAGGATCGTACCGTAGAAGTAGCACGAGGCCAGGCTGGCAGTGGCCGGCGCATGGCTCGCATTGCTCGCCTTCGTGTAGTACTCCACAGCTGTGCGCGTTGAGACGATCAGCCATCAATGTATGGGGGGGCAAAGAGCGAAGAAAAAGAACGAATGCGGCCGAACGATAAAAAGAACGAAGACGAGCTGCAGAGGGAGGGTTAGGGTACCTCGCTTGAGGTCACGGCCCATGATGTCCCCCGTCTCGAGGAACCGGCCGAGAATCCACATGGCGCCCGGGTGGCCCTCGTCCGCCGCCTTGGTGTAGGTCTCCACGGCCTTGGGCAGGTCCTTGACGACGTTGTGGTAGCACCAGGCGAGGTTCCACCGCGCGACCGGGAGTCCCTTGTCCGACGCCTTGGTGTACAGCTCGATGGCCTTCCCGATGTCCTTCTCGCAGCCCTCGCCTGTTGGACAGTCCAGTGCCACAGCACCCGCATCATCAGCACGCAGTCTACGCGAATGCGGCGGTGTGTGTGTGCGTTGATCGTGTGTGCGTGTGTGCGTGTGTGCGCGCGTGCGCACCGTTTTGGTAGGCCCACGCGAGCGAGTTGAGGGCGTGTTTGTTGCCCTGCTTGGCTGATCGGGTGAGCAGCGCGACAGCGGCGGCCATATCCTTGGCGATCCCTGTTTTGTGTCCCAAAAGGCTTGTGATCAGGCCCAGTGGCAGGAGGACCGAGTCGTGAATGAATGGTGCGTACCCTGGCCGTTCTGATAGCACCACGCAAGGTCATTCATCGCCGCTGGGCAATCTGCACACATCGTTGATGTGAGCGTCAACGATCGAGTGGATGATGATGATGGCGATGACGCCCATGAACATACCTTCGCTGGCGGCCACCATGTAGAGGCGAATCGCCTCTCCGTTGTCCTTGCTGACCCCAACCCCGTTGAGATAGCAAAAGCCCAGCTTGGCCGTCGCCTGGTCGATAGCGCGTGGCGTGAGCCATAACCACAATAAAATAATAAATAATAAAGAATAAATAAAGAAAATATATAGAATAAATAAGAAAAGAAGTGTGAGTGGTACCTTGAGGTGGCCCAGGGCGGAGGCTTCCTTCCAGCGACGGAACGCCTGCTGCGGCGTCTTCTGGCCTCCGCGCCCCTTGAAGTAGAACGAGCCCAGCTTGTACATCGCATCTAAGAAAGGAGAAGCACAGACGTGTAAGGTTGTGATGGTGGTGGAGATCGTGTTGGGGAGACGGAGTGAAATCGGACCGATTGAACCGAGATCGGCGGCCTCCTCGAGAAAGAGCAGCGCAAGGTTCTCATTGCGCTGCGGTCCCTTCCTGTAGTGCTTTCGCGCCTCCTTCCACAGTTTCTGTTTGCAGAGAGGGAGAGTGTCAGCGTTATGAAACACACACACACACACCACGATCAGTGCGCACATGCCTTTGCTTTCGACTTGTCCTCCTCGACGGTGGTCACGTGCACGGACTCGCGCGAGTTTGACGCGTTGAACGCGCCGTAGAACGATTCCGAACTCCTCGGCTCGTCCATTCTGCTGTTGCTGCTGTTGTGTGCGGCGTCGCTTTCCCTTCGCGAGTGCTTGGCGCCGTGGTGGTGATGGTGATGGTGGTGGTCCTTCACGAATCGGTTCATCTCGTCCTTGAGGGACTTGGGCTTGCAGCCGCCGCGTTGGCTGCCGACAGACGAGCACTGCGAGCCGTGGAGCGCGTCATCACGATCACAGTCTCGGCCGCCGGTGCCGGTGCCGATGTAGCTGTGCTCGACCGCGTCCATCGCCATCGTCGTCGTGAGCATGTAGCTGTTGGCCAGCGTGGCGGGCGCGACGGCAGACGACTTCATGCCGCCTTCGCGCTTGGCCTTCTTGCGGGTCTCGTCCGGGTCGCTGTTGCCGCCACCGGCCCCGCCGCTGGTGTTGAGTCGCTCGCGCGTGTCCGACCCGCTGCTCTCGTCCTTCCGCTTCCCCTTCCCGCCATCTTCTCTCCCCCGCCAGTCGTCGTCGTCGACACGTCGCCGTTTTCGTTCTTTGCGCTTCGCTTCATTTCCCGCATCTCGACGTCGGCCCCTCCGGAGGACTTGCGCAGCGTCTTGGTCGCGTTCTTCGACGACGACGTCGACGACGACGTCTCGGCTCGTCGAATCACGTGAAGGTTGGCCGTCGATGTGTAGTGAGTGATCTTGCTCTGCAGTTCCTTGTTGGGCAGGAGCAGATAGATGCTCATGTTCTCTCGGGTGACTGGACTCGTGCCCTGAGGGTACGAGATGTGTGGTTCACACTCAGCTCATCAGTTGGTGTCACAATAAAGAATGATTGAAGATCAGAGATGAACGCAAGGACCCACCTTCTTCTTGATCCACTCTTCGATGGCTTTCTTCTCGTAGGTGTGCCCGTCTTGTCCGATGACCGGCTCACTGACGAGATGGCCAATCCCAAAAAAAGAAAAGAACGAAAGGTGCCATGTGAAAAAAAGAACGAAGCGACACGAGGCAGGGCGAGGTCGGTTTGAGGTGTACCGCATGAGGCGGTTGGTGAGCGGGCACAGGTACTCGGGCGGCACCAACGAACGTCCGCGGCTGTTCGTACCGCCACCATCGGCCGCTCTTCCCATCGACGGATCGGACGAGCGGTCGTGCTGGTTCTGCGATTCCTTGCCCTTCGGGGTGGTGTGTCGGTCCTTGGGCTGTCGCCTGCGCCCAACATGCGGTCAATAAATTCAAAAAAATATTTATTCATGTTTTTTTAATTTTATGGCACAAATAAAATGTAAAATAGTTGGTGGAGCGTACTTGGGCTTGTCCGAGGCCTCTAGTTCAGTGCTGTGTCGAGCCCTCCAACAGCGCATGATCCCACTCTCTTCTCTTTCGGGCCGTTGATGATTGATCGATCGCTATTCCAACGCCTCTTGCATTCACCAACGCTTTGCCGCTCCCTTCAATCTCGCAATCCGGTGAACAATCAAAAAAATAATCCTCTGACGAGATGAGATGCTCTCTTGCGGTAGTGTGCTTCCTCTTCTTCTTCACAAGGGGCCGACAATGACAGACAATGTAGGCCACCACCTCAACCAACACCCCCCACGTCCTCGCGCCTCCGGAGCCGAGCTCGACGGACTGCAGTTTTTTGAACGAGTATCTGAAAAATAGTATGCATTCCTCTTCCGATTGGTGGAGTGAACTAAAAGAAAGCTCCAAACGCCAAAAATTACGGGAAATTGCCCAGCGCGGAGAAGGAGACGAGGAGGAAGGGACAACCAAAGCAAAGAAGACAGGGCGCGCGCCACGAGACGTGAAGCAAGCAACGAGGCGCCTCAGAAGTCAGGAGCAAGAAAGCAGCAAGAATCGAAGAATACAAAAGGAGGTTGGATTGTCGCATTAGAGGAACGGCCGTAACACGCCAACAACACGCGGCGCCCACGATGCACCATAGGGCTAAAGAAAGGAGTGAGGGCTCTCGCGCTCCACGGAAGGGGCTGAGGTGCACCTCACTCGCACTCACGAGCGCGTGCCGCCTACGGGAGGTAGGTGTCACCGCCGGGCCTGCTGGTGAAGCAAGCGTACATCGCAGAAATCTGCAGATAACGAAGCGTGAAACGGAACGTGAGTGAGTTGCATGTGAGGACGCCAGCCTCGTTACAGCGCCACATGTGTTGCAACGTGCGACGAGCGTGGCGGAAAGAACGAAAACGAGTAGGATTTTGGGGGGGGGGGGCGAGAGGAGAAGAGCGGTGTGGCCACGTACGTGAGCGCTGTAGGCGGAGGTGAAGCTCCTCTTCTCGGGCTTCTGGAGGTTGCCGGCGACGAGGTGGAAGTTCTGCTTGGTGTTGCCCCAGTTGGCTACCTCGCGGTACGACCAAAACTTGTAGACCCCGTGCGGGTGGTCGGCCTCCACGATGCTTACGCCCTTCGACGACACCGCGAACCACACGCTCTGCGGGTGCTCGTTTTGCTGCATGCGTCACACAAACAGTCAGTGAAACGCACACGCAAACGCAAACGCACACGCACACGCACACGCACACGCACACGCACACGCACACGCACACGACATGCCACACACGGGGAGAGGCACTTACGCGAGCAGGGAAGAGGGCGGCGCCGTAGAGCGGGAGATGGGAGGCGACGCCGAGGAAGGAGCGCTTGGCGGTGATGATGGGCAGGCCTGCGAACTCGCCGTAGGCCTCCTCAATGTCCGCCGTGATCAGCTGGGCCTCCTTCTTGTTGGCCAGCGACTTGCCCACGATCTCCGACAGCACGCCACTGTTGTGTGCGGTGGTGCGTGCGTTTCGCGCGGTTAGCCCAGTGTCAAGGCTCAGGTTTTAACTCCTATTCAGGTTCGGAGTGAAACGCGTACCTGTTGATCGAGGCGGACGAGTCGGAGGCGCGGAAGCGGATATGGAGGAGACAGGCGCCGAGCTTGGCGATGTCCTTGTGGGAAGCGGGGAGCTGGCCCGACAGGAAGTCCTCGCAGACCTGCGAGAAGAGGAAGTCGGCGAGCATGTCGTCCTCCTCGGATAGCGCCAGGTCGTCGTCCTGCTCGAGCGGGAAGAACAGCTTCTTGCGCATCTCGAGCGGGGCGTCGGGGATGCGGTTCGACGAGTTGTTCTTGTCCTTCTTCTGCGCCTTCTCCCAGCGGGCCAGCGCATCGCACACAAACATATCATCGGCAAGTGGCACCTGATCGTGTGTGTGTGTGTGTGTGTGTGGTGTGGTGTGGTGTGGTAAGTGCGTGCGTGCGTGCGGTGCGTGTGCGGTGGTGAGTGTTGGTTGCAGAAGGCCAATGAATAGGGAGAGGGAGTGTACCTTGAGACGGATTTCGTTCTTGGCCTGCGGCGTGATCTCGAAGAGACCGAAGCTCTTGGGCTGGTTCTGGAACCGGAGCTGGCGGATGACCTCCGGCACGACGTCGCCGACGGTGGTCCACGCGTCCACCAGCACGGCTCGGTGGCTGCCGTTGGGCAGCGCGACGCGGCACATGATACGCGAGCGGTTGCGCAGCGCTGCACAGACATCAAGAAAAAAGAAACATGTTAGAATTATTTTCTAATCGTTTCGACAATGATTTGATAAATTCAACTTGTGCGGACGTACCGGTGAGCTCGGCGTGAGACGGCGCCAACTCGCGCTCGCCGACAAGGATCGTGTTTTGGAGCCTGTCGACCGCTTGCTTGGCATAGTAACCCACCTGCGGGGAGTGCGAGCGCATGCCATTAGACGATTAGGTCGTGCGCGCTGGTTTTGTTTGTGTGTGCCATTGGACGGGCGACGACGAACCTTGGCGTCTTGCTCGTGCTCTTCGAGGCGCTTGTAGAGGCGGTCCAGCATCTCGTCCTGGGGCAGGAAGCAACCGGCGCAGAGGGCCAACAGCTCCCATCCCTTTTCGTTGCTGCTGTCGCGCGGGTTCTTGTTCGTCTGCTTCATCAGCTGGCAGTACAGTCTGTGTACACAAAGAACGAAGAACGAAAATAACGACGGGTAAACGTCAGTGACGGTGAAGAAAGAACGAAGGGTGCGGAGAGGAGGTTGTACTCGTCGCGGAGCTCTCTGTTGTCGATGGCCATCTGAATTGTCTTGGCCGGGAGCGCGTCGTACTTCGACTGGCTCAGGCGCGTCGGGTAGTCGCCCATGTACTTCATGACGAGCTGGAACATCTCGACGGCCTGCTTGGAGGCCTCGGGGAGGAGCTGGACCAGCGAGGCCTTGATGGGCTGTGCCGCGAAGGAGAGGAGCTGCGACACGCTCACCTGCTCGAGCTTCTTCGAGCGGAAGATGCTCGTGCCCTTCACCTCCATCTGCGTGCGGAACTTGCTCGTCTCCACCGACGCCCTGAGCACCCGCGGCCTCGATCAGAAAACACACCACGCGACACGACACACTGGCCGGGCACACCGCACACGCACACACCACCGCACACGCACGGCCGCACATTGCACACACCCACACACCGCACACAACCATGTAAGGAAAGGAGAGCGCACCCAGCGGCGGCGGTCTGGACGTCGGGAACTGCGGCGGCATCGGATTCGGGGCCGCGCGCGACGCTGAGGCGGTTGGACTTGGCCATGCGGGTTGTGAGGTACGTCGACTGGGTGGGCGCCTTCTTCCTGCCCGTCTCCGTCGTCTTCGGCCGGGCCACCTGCGCAATTTGTGCACACAAACAGACGTCAGTCAACCTTCTACCACACCTCTCGTGGACCACGAGGCGACGACGGGCGGCACGTACGAGCATCTTGACGAGATCGCGCGGGAAGGCGCCGTCCTTGCCGTTGGCGAAGTTGAAGCCCTTGTACCAGCCACTGAACTCATCCTTCTCCTTCACGTTGATCACGTCGCCCTGGCGGAACGACAGCAGCGACGGATCCTCGGTCTCATAGTCCGAAATCGCCCTGAACCACAAAACAAAGAGTTGAATAATTCATAATTTGACAATAAATAAACAAATAAATAAGAATACTAATCATAATAATCAAATAATTGGAATTTACCTGGCCCATTCGGAGGAGGCGGCGAGGATGCCGGTGTAGTCGCGGAGCAGGCGTTCGACCTCGCTCGACTGCTCGCACTTGAGGTCGAGCACTTCGCGGCGGGTGCCGAGGGAGAGGGTGAGCGAGGTGGTGGTCGGCGTGCACTCCCAGTTGAGGATGTCCTCGTAGGGCAGGTAGCTCGTCATCACCACCTCGCCCTTCTGGTCGCGCGTGACAAAGCACACGCCACGGCCCGAGATAGCTGCACACGACACGACACGCATACCACACGCACACGACACATCAGAGATATATGATGCAGAGAAAGAAATGAAGGTCAAACGTACCGAGGTAGCCCTGGTCGCGAACAAGGTTGATGATGTTGTTCTGCAGCTCCATGGCGAAGAGGGCCGCACCGTAGAGCGGCAGCTGGAACACGATCTTCAGGTAGTCGATCCTCACCTATAGGGTATGGCATATGGTGCACGGCATCACACACGCGTGGGCTCACGGATCAGTTCGGCCGACCGACGACTAACCAAGCAGGACACGCAAAAGAGAGGTGAGTGAGGCAGGCGTACATCTCGCTCGGAGCGGCCCGTGTGGGTCTTCTGCTCGGTGGCCATCAGCTTGCTCCAGTCCTCCTGCTGGAACTTGTACCGAATGTACGCCGGAATGTACACACCCCTGCCGGTCACGCAACATCATCACTTGATGAGCTGTCCGCACTACATTCGACACACACACACACACACACGACACACACACGACACACGGACAGGCTAATAGTACGTTTGCTTGTCGTCTACAGGTTCACCGTTGTAGTTACCGATGTCGGAGTGGAGCTTGAGGCCGGCCAGCTTGAGCACCACCTCGCGCGTGGTGGGCAGGCGGCCGGTGCGGATGTCCTCCGCCGCCTGCGCGAACAGTAGGTCGAGCGAGGACTTGTCGAGCACCTGCGGGTTGGGCACGTCGTCGGTGAAGTAGAGTCGCTTTTTGAACAGGATGCGCATGCGCAGCTGCTGGTCGCCCATGGCGGAGCGCAGCTGCTCGAACGAGGCCAGCTCGTCGCTCATCTTCTCCTCGTCTTCCATGAGCCGCTCGATCTGGCTGTACGACTTGTACAGCGCGAAGCCCTTGGCGAACTGCATCTGGAGCTTGGTCACGATCTGCTGCTTGAGCTCGGCCACCGTCGCCGCGCTGTCCAGCAGCAGCGCCTTGACCGTACCGTCCTGCAGGAATGTGATGAATGTAAGAAAATCAGGACTGCCAGGAATGTGCACATCGCTGTAGCGTGCGGGCAAGAAGGTACATACCAGGAAGAAGACGCGGAGCATCATGGGCTCGCGCTTGCGGATGGCCTCGAGCTCCATCAGCGAGGGCACGAGCTTGCGCTCGCTGGTGGTCAGCAGGCGCGTCAGCGACTCCTTGGCGAAGATGGCGTGGGCGGCGAAGGGCGAGCTGGCGGCGGCGGCCTCGTCGAGGAAGCACACGAAGTACTTGAGGAACTCGACCGGGGCAAAGGTGCAGCAGCAGAACATGATCAGCTCCCAGCAGTGCTCCTCGTGCTCGGGCGTCGGATTGCCCGTCACCTGCTTGATCAGCTGGCAGTAGATCTCATCCCGCAGATCGGGAACCGACAGGCCGCGCTGGATGATGTACTGGACCACGGCTGTGTGCGCACACGACACACAACACACAGTCCGCGTTTAGGTTTCACTAACGCCTTCTCGGAGTTGAAAAGAGCGCCAACGTACAGAGATTCTCGGCGAGGGTCTTCTTGTGGGTCATGTAGATGTGAATCTTCCTCGACACCTCGACGGCGTTCTTGGCATCCTCGATGTTGAGCTGCAACAGCGAGGCGCTCAGCGGTTTCTGTTGTGGTTGGTTGGTTGTGAGTGATGGAAACAATGCGCAGGACAGACGTGGTAGTGGTCGGGACCTTGGTGTAGGTGATGAGCTGCTGGATGGTGTCGGTCTTGTGCGGGCGGAAGTGGCGGGTGGCGAAGTCCTTGAAGTGGTAGCCGTACAACGGCGTCGACAGGAAATCGAGAATGCCGGCCTGCGCGGGCGGCGGAGGCGGCAGGCCCTCGGGCGCCGGGGGCAGGTCCCAATCGGGCGGCGGCACATTCAGCGGGTCCAGCGCATGCAGCCACCTTAACACAGCCCAAGCGGGTCAGGAATTTGAGTCACGCTCCACACCAGGGTTGCGGTTGGGCATAAGACGTACGCCTCCTCGAGGGACTCGCTGTCGAGCGACGCCTGGGCCTCGGCCGGCACCTCCTCCACGGCGAAGTTCTGGGCCGTGGCGCCTCGCTGTATGGCCCTGCAGACGAACAACCGAGAGCGGGTGAGCGATGGTGCCTGGGTGGCGACGAGGGGTGATTGGGGGGGGGACCCCGTACTGGTAGTCGGCGAGGGTCTCGCTGGCGGGCAGGCCGAGCGCGGCCTGGTCCCTGCGCTGGGCCTCCTCGCGGAGCCTCTCCATTTCCCTCTTCTCCTTCTCCTGCCGCTCCTTTTCCTGCTTCTCCTTCTCGGCCTTCTGCTTACGCTCTTGTTCCTACATGTGCGTGTGTGCGTGTGCGTGTGCGTGTGCGTGTGCGTGTGCGTGTGCGTGTGCGTGTGCGTGTGCGGTGCGCGTGTGTTGTGTGTGCGTGAAGGTAAGAAGACTAGATGTGGGCGTGGGTGGCTGTAGAAGAATGGCGATGAGAACCTGACGAAGCAGTTCCTCCTGCTCGCGCCTCTCGCGCTCTTGCTTGTCCTTGAGCTGACGGATCTCCTCCAGGCGGCGCTGCCTCTCCTGCTCCTCGCGGACCAGCCTCTCCCTCTCCTTGATCGCCAGCATGGTTCGCGCAGCTGCGTCACCACGACCCAACATTTAATTACTAGTCTCCAACATCGAACGAATAAAACGAAAGCGAAAGGGAAAAGCAAAAGTGCGGAGGGGAGGAATGCGCACCGGCTTGCATGGCGAGAACGCCCTTGCGGATAGTCAGGAACTTGCGCCGAGCAAAGACCATGCGCGTCCCTGGAGCGGAGGGAGCGATGTGAGAACGTGCGTGTGCGTGTTGCCCTTTCCTGGAATGCGAATGAACAACGACGTACAGGTCTGGATGGTGATCGAGGCATCACGGAGGCGCGTGTACTCCACGCGAGCGACGCGCTTCCGGTAGTCTGTAGGTGTGGTGTGTGTGTCGACGTCAGGAAACCACAAAGGCCGTGCGCTCCATGGTGCGGCGGCTACGTACGCGTTTGAGCGGTGAGGGCGCCCTTGCGCAGAGCCGCGAAGTGGGAGCGGGCAGCGTAGCAGCGCCAGGTCTTCTGGATGAGAAGCACGCTGGCCAACAGGTGCTCGTTGCGGAGCTGCTCGAGGATCGTGCTCTGCAATCCCACGCCACCCCTCAAATCAGTCCGCGCGCCGTCGTGGTGTGCGGCAAGAGCCTCAGTGGCCCACTACGTACCTGCTCGTCGCGCATAAAGACCTTCGTGAGGCCCAGAGTGTAGTGGCCGGGAGTCATCCTGTACGAAGCGGCCTAGTCATCGAGAACGATGAAGCACCATTGCGTCGGTCAATCGAAACAACAACAAACAAAACAAAACAAAACAAAACAAAACAAAACAAAACAAAACAAAACAAAACAAAACAAAACAAAACAAAACGTGGAGACAATGTACGTCGAGGATCATGCTGCAGGCCTTGCGGTCGTCCTTCTCCCACGCGCTGGAGGGCGCCAGGAGGCGGTAGCGGTCGCGGAAGGCCACGAACTCTCGGCGGATGGGGAAGCCCAGCTTACGAATGCGGATCGTCTCCAGCATACCACAGTACCTCAACTGTGCCAAGACCATGTCATCTACACACACACACCACACACACCACGAAGCTGGGCGTCAGCACGTGCGCGTGCGCGTGCGGCGGTGCGTGTGCGTGCGTGCGTGCGGATAGGGGCGTGTACTGTCCAAGAGACTGGGCTTTTTCTGGGGGTTGGGCTTGAGGCAGCGCACGTAGTAGGGGTAGGTGGCCGACAGGGTGGCGACGAGGTCCAGCAGTTGGTTCTTGAACTGCGCACCGACCGTGGGCGAGCGACCCTTGCCGCCGCGGCCGCCCTGCGCCGCCTGGGCCTGGGCCGCCGGCATGCCCTCGGGGAACAGCTGGGCCACATGGGCGATCGACGCGCCCGCCAGCAGCGCCGACGCCGACTCCGGGATCGTATCGCGGTTCTTGTCTGTCATGCACATGACGTCAGCATTCTTTTCATTCCGTGCGCCAGCGTGGTGGAGGGTGACATGGTACCGAGGAAGCTCTTGGTGGAGTAGGCGACGTCGCCGGCGTAGTGCCGGATCACGAACTTGTCGCCGCGGGTCTTGGGCTTCTCGTAGTAGGTGTGCTTCTCGTGCGCCTTGTTGAGCTTCTCCAGGAACGTGCCATCCGAGCCCTGAAACATTGACATTCGCACACGAATTGAGGCCGACGTAGGTTCGCGACGCGATGCGCTTGCCTGTGCTGTAGATCAGCAGGTGGTGCGCACCTTGGGGAAGAAGCACTCCTCGTCGAGGAGCGAGAGGACGCCGAGCGGCTTCTCGATCAGATCGATACAGCCCTGGTTGTCGTTGAACGAAATGGTCTCCCACGAGATCCTGAAATAATGTGGTGTCAAACATAACATGTTAGTGGCCTTGCCAGTACACTGGGTGGAAATATAAGACGAGTGGGCTACGGGGGGAAAAACGCACTTTTCGCGTTCGTACTCCTCCTGCTCCTGCTTGAAGATGTGCTGGTTGAACTGTTGTTGCAGCTTCTCGTTGGCGTAGTTGATGCACAACTGCTCGAAGCTGTTGACCTAGACTCGCATCATTGCACACAAAACCAACACGTGACGCACGTGAGGTCAGCACACGAGTTTCGATGGAAATGCGCAAACCAATTAAGAAAGAACGAACCGTGAAGTTCTCAAAGCCGAAGATGTCGAGCACGCCGATGAAGGAGCGGGCGTTGGTCGAGGCCGACTTGGAGATGGAGCGGTTGATGCGCTCGACCAGCCAATTGAACTGACGGCCGTAGAGGGCCTTGGCGATGGCGTCTCGCACGTCGGCGGCCTCCTCGGGCTTGAGCGGCACCCTGAACACCTCGTTACGGATCTTGTTGTACCGGACGGTCATCGACTCGGCGAGCTTCTCGGCCGACACGCCCAGGTTGGTCGCCACATGTTGAAGCGCTAGTGAACACGACACACACACACACACACACACAACAACACGACACGACACACACCATGAGCGTGCGTTCACTTAAGGTTTTGCTTGACCATGCTGGTATCGGAGTTAAAATAAAGCGTACAGTCGGTGTTGACGACGGTCGAGCCGTCGCCCTGCGGGGCGAAGCGGATGTTGCCCATGTGCAACACTGCCGCGACCACGGCCCAGATGTCCTCCTCGGGTCCGATGCCCAGCACCGACAACGCATTGCGCACCCTGAACGATGGAGAGGGGGTCAGCAAGAAGAAAACGCGCCCGAAGGACGGCGGACGAGGCAGCGATGGCGGTGGCGGGTGCTTACTCGGAAAAGTCGTTGGCATCGTCGACGTGAGGGATGGTGTGACAGCCGCTTTGGTTGATGTAGTGGAAGTCCGTCGCCGCTCCGATCTTGTATCGCTCTGGGGGGGCGAGACGGATCAGTTCGAAAATTGATTTTAAAAAACGAAGCGAACGATTTAAGAACGAAGCGCGACAGGAAAAGGAACCTTTCTCCTCGGGCGACAGGCCGGCGCAGAACTGGTAGAAGATGTGGTAGTTACGCTCGTCCTGCGCCTGGTACACGATACGCGACTTCTCCAACAGATCTGTGTTGCGAATTGAGATTGAGACGCTTTGAGTTTCGACTCAAGCTGTGTTGTATTCTCGAGAGAGAGAGAGAGAAAGTGGGCAGGGGAAAAGAAGAGGTGCGCACAGTTCTCGATCTTGGCGCCGGCGATCGAGCCGCGCGGGTCGAAATCGATCTTCATGTACTTGCCGAATCGAGACGAGTTGTCGTTCCTCACCTGCGGAAAGTAGAGTGACGACGAGCAGTGATGAGACACGCACACGCACACGCACACGCACACGCACACGCACACGCACACGCACACGCACACGCACACGCACACGCACACGCACACGCACACGCACACGCACACGCACACGCACACGCACACGCACACGCACACGCACCGTCTTGGCGTTACCGAAGGCCTCGAGGATGGGTGACGATTCGAGGATGAGCTGCTCGATGAGTGACTTCTTCTTGTTGGCGGTCTCGGGCGCGCTGTGGGCCTTGTTGACGCCCGAAGTCTTGAGGGCCAGGTACTGTAGGAGCAGCTTGGTGGCCTCGGTCTTGCCGGCGCCGGACTCGCCGCTGATGATGACCGACCGGTTGCCGCCGTCCTCCATCATCGTCTGGTAGGCCACGTCGGCGATGGCGAAGATGTGCGGTTCCACATCGCCCAGCGGCTTGTTGTTGTAGCGCTTGGCCACCTCCGCTGTGTAGATAGGCTGCAGGCCGCGTGTGTGCCGTGTGAGTGGTGCGTGCGTGCGTGCTGGGCGGTGCGTGCGGTGCGTGTCGTGTCGTGTCGTGTATTTGTGGCGTAGGTTGGGGGGAGGCGTACGAGGGCTTGGTAGGGGTTGACGGAAACCAGGATAGCGCCAGTGTAGGTCTACAAGAAGAATAAATAAATACAAATAAATAAATAAATTCAAGAAAAATAACGAGTGCCAACCACAAATAATATACCTCAATTATTAGCCTAATAACAATAAGGCCCTTATTCATTTTAATTCTTTAGACGACACGAGCCGTGCGAAGTGAGGCGAATAAAAAGAGAAATAATTTTTAAAAAAGAATATAAGAAGAGACCGAAAGGCGCGTTGGCGAGGAGATTTTGTTGTTTTTGAGCGTACGTAGATCTGGTCGCGGCTGTAGCGAACACCAAGGTTCTTGAGGATGGTCTCCTCGCTCATGGTGTCCAGGTGGATCATGTCCTCGATGCCCTGCGCCTCATTTCCCGCCGTGATGTTCTCCATCTTCGCTTTCAGATCTGTGGTTGAAACAAGACTCACTCAATCCTACGCTCCTCGGCTTCAATCTAATCTCTCTCTTCCACAAGATCGAATCAGGAGATGGTGTGTCTTAGAGTCCGTGCGGCTCTGTCGCGGTATGTTTCTTTCTCTCCGCAGAAGACACGCAAGGCCAACAAGACGTGTAGCCAGGCAAGTCGCCGGGCAGGATATTAATTTGTTTGTCGACAACAAAAGCTCCTTGGCAACGGCCACGCAACTATTTGGGGTATGTGGGAAATGCTGTCGACATACGTGCTGTGCTGTGTGGCGAACACGACACGACACGAGGATGCCACTACTGCCTGGTGTCGAACTGGATGTGCGACTCGTAGAAGGCGATGAGCTTTTGTGGCGACTTGAGGGCGATCAATTGCGTGGGCACGTAGGAGCAATCGTCCTTCCCCAGCCTGGGCATGATGATACCATGGAAATGGTGAGGAAGGCCGTTTTGGCGATGAAGATGAAGGAGGTGAAGGTGCGGGTGACGGCGTACCAAGAGACGTAAGCGCAGAGAAAGCCGTCCTTGGATCGTTGTATGCCCAGGATGTTCTCGAGCTCGTCGCCAAAGTCAAAGCCCACCTTGGCCTCGGTTGCTTCGGTAGTAGTCTTCGTGTCGGACGCGGTACTCGTCCTGGGCCTCTTAGCCTGAAGAAGAAGAAGAGACGCCACAGTCATGAACCCGTTGGTGAGAAAAGGAAAGAGAAAGGGCACTCCCTTAAAGTGGGTGGATCTGTTGTTACCTTTGGGCTACCGATGCCCTCGCTTGTGTCCTGCAGGTCCATTCCATCTGTGTTCGGTTGGTTCAGAAGCTCGTCGTCATCGGCGGTGGACACCGAAGAAGCCGACGTTGTCTGCGGCTTCTCTGTTTCCCCTCCCGCGGTGGTGGGCTTGGCGTCGCCCGTCGACTTCCGCTTGCGCTTCGCGGACCTCGCCTGCAGATCGGCCTCGAACGCCTGAATGAGCTCTGGAGAGAGAGGGAGAGAGAGTGAGTGATCGGTGGTGCAGCTGCAGTGTTAGTCCTGATTGCCTCCCTATCTCGGGAGTGGTGGGTGCTCTGCTCACCGGTGCAAAACACGTCTTCCTGCTTCTCCCAGGTGTTTGAGGCCTCCGGATATCCCTCCCACTTTATGAGGTACTCCACTTTGCCCTGTGTTGTGACGTGCGCACAAAAATCACGAGAAGCACGAGAAGCGCACAGCGTGAGCACCAAGTGACCAAGTCGTGGTGAGCTCGCTACACACACACACACACACACACTTGGGTGCAGCACGATACCCTTCGCTTCCTCTTGCCCACGATCTTCTCCACCGTGAACACGTCCCCCTTTTCCTCCTGCATTGTACAGCACGGCACACGACGCGATGTTAGGTAGCTGGCGCATCACGTTGCCGCGACGAGTCGCGCTGTACCGGTTCAGCACTCTCAGCGCCCTTGCCGTCCTTTTTCTTCTTCTTTCGCTTCTTCTCCTTGGCGTTGTTGCCACCGGCCTCTTCGGCCTCGGCCTCGGCCGCAGCCGCGGTGTCAGTCTTGTTGTTTCCCTTCTCCTTCCCCTTGGCCGTCGTCTTGCTCGTCTGGCCGCCACCGTCGATGGTCTCGGTGGGAACAACTGCCAAGGCGACGGGTGCCGTCGTCGTCTCCGCCGCGGGTGTCGCAACAACAGCGTTCCTGCTCGCTGGCTCTGTGCCGTCCGTCGCTTCTGTTGTGACTACGCTCGCCGGCGCCTCAACACGAGCCGCCGGCTGCTCGCCGCCGCTCTCGTTGCTTATGCTCTCTGCGACGGCGACCGGGATCGAGACTGGGGTCGGGAGAGCCGCGGCCGGCGGGGCGGTGACCGCCGCCACCAGTGCTGTTGGTTCCTTCTTGGGCTTCTGTCGCTCCCGCTCCCTTTCTTCCCATGTGGGTCCGGCGGCCCCTCGCAGCGTGGAGGCTTGCGTCAGCAGTCGTTCTACGTCAGCGTCGCTGTGGTACGGAAGCCCGACCGTGGCGGCGACCTCCCGCCATAGGCCGTGCCGCTCAACCTGATGCACACGCCGAAGTGGAGGCAATTTGGCGGCTTGCCCATTGTGCAATCTCTACCCCCCCCCCAATATATCACAGATTGATGCGCAATCGTACCTCCACCTTGCCTCCATAGCGCACAACTTCCATGATCTGCACATGCGCAGTGATTCAACACAACCAAATCAATCAAATCAATCAAACCTCTGAGATTAATCGAGTAAACGCGTACCAGGGCCGTTGCTTGCGCCTGGGTTAAGATCACCTCTGTAGTGGCCGTGGACTCCACCCCTGTCATGCTCTCACCAACCGGAAGAGTACCCGACGAGGCCCCAATCGAAGATCCTCCCTCCATCATCGACGTCTGCAGATTAACGATCGTTTTCTGTGGACAAGGCCAAAGGGGAAAAAAAGAACACCACCGGTTGGCCTACCAGGCGAAGTAGGCGTTGCTGGTGGCCTGCCACTCACTGGTGATGCTCTTCTTCCACCGGGTGAGCGACTGATGCTGGACATACCCGCGCTTGTCCTGGCGGTACTGGTCTTCGCCCAACTGATTCCGTTGGGTGAGCCGGCGGTACCTGCGCACACGCTCTGTCGTCAAACCACTGCACACTCGAAGTGCTGCAGGAGCCACGTTTACCGTTTGGTCTGCGTCTTCTGGCCTTTCAGGGTGGCCTTGTTGGTCTTGAGCAGCTGGATTTGACCGAGCAGCAGGTGCTGCCAGGCAGTATCTGCGCCGCAGCTCCCCGCCGGCAGGAGCTTCGTAGCCTCCCGCACCTGCTGATGCGCCTGTTTGCACAGGTGCGTGTCGTGTGTCGTGTGTATCGCGCGTGTGTGTGTGAGGTCAGTCAGTTATTCGCATAAGGCGGGCGTAAGCCTGATCGCAGAAGCGTGCCTTGAACATGGGCCAGAATTGGGAGCCGAAGTAGCGCTGCAGGAAGCTCAGCACATGGCGCCAGCGCCACCCGTCGAGCTGGTTAAGGTGGATCGGCCCTCGCTCGCTGATGGTCGAGTAGTAATACGGGTGCTGCGTCTTGAAGATGACGTGAGTCTCCACCTTGCGCGGACCCGGCGTCCCCGCCGCCGACTTCGATGCGTGCTGCTTCTGTCGATGAAAGTAGTCCTCGCATCCGCTCTCGTCTCGCTTGGCCTTGCGCGCCGTGGCCGTTGCGATGCCGGCGGCAGAGCCCGCGACGGCGGCGGCCGAGGTGGTGAGACTGTCGACCAGTTGGGCGGCGAGGCCGCGGAACCAGGCCCGCTCGCGCTTTTGGCTCAGCCTCCGTTCGCGTCCGCGCACCCGCTCGCCTGCTCTCGCCCGCGCCTTTTCCATGCACATCGCCACCAGGCGGTGCTTGTCGCCGTTCGTCATGACGTCGCTGTCAAGCGAATGTTGCTCATCATCTTCTTCATCTTCGTCTGCATCATCATCACCAGAGCTGAGAGCGAGGACAGTAAGCACGACGGCCGCGTGCATTCGCACTTCCGACGACGCTGGAAAGAAAAAAAAGAGCTGAGGTCAGCGCATGTGTGCGGTGTGCAGTGTGCGGTGTGTGCGGTGTTACCGGTGATGTCGGTGCTGGGATCGGTGTCGAGCAAGACCAATTCGACGAGCACGCGCTTGTGCGGTCCGACCAGCTCGCACACGAGCTCGTTCTGCGGCAGAAGGCTCAGCAGGAAGGTCCACACGCGCAGCGCCTCCGCCAGTTCGGCCGCATCGATCGCTGGAATCGCCCGGCTGCGTCGGCTTGTGTGTCGCCTCCCCTCGGGTTTCTCTTCGCTGTCGCTTTCGTCCTCCGCTTCATCGCCGGATGGCTCATTCTCTGTCTCTTCGCTTTCGCTTTCGCTTTTCTCTTCGCTGTCGCTGTCGTCGTCACTGTCTTCGTCGCTGCTGTTCTCCTCTCTCGAGTCATGCGCGCCGTAGGCCGCCCAGAGCTCATCGACCTCGGCCCCATCGCCGCGCGCACCGTCGCTCCGCAGATAGCACTCGGCCACGAACCGACACACGTCGCTCGTGATGCGCGCATCATCCAAGATGAAGCACACCACGGCCAGCGCCTCCAGCGCCTCCACCCGCAGCGCGCTCCGCCTCTCCCTCGCCTCCTCCTCCTTCCCCTCCTCCGCCGAGTCCGTGTTGTTCCTCTCAACGTCGTTCACCGTGCGGATCACGTCCATGAGCAGGTCGCTCAGCGCGCCCTCCGCGTCGGCGGGCTCGGCGTAGGCGGCGCGCGCCTTCGTCCTGCTGCTGCCGGCCGCCGTCACGGTGGTCCTGACGGGCTGCGACGCGCTGGCGCTGCGCTGCGCGGGGCTGGACGTGGTGGTCGCGGGCAGCGGGGCGTCGGCGATGAAGCGCCGCGGGAGGTTCTTGCCGCAGATCACGCCGAGCGCGGCCACCAGCTGCACCGACTTCATCTGCACCTCCCACTCGACATCGACAGCCTTCTGCTTCCTCTTCTTATTCCTCTTCCGCTCGTTCGCCGCCCGCTTGACATCTTCCTCTTCGTCGTCATCGTCAGCGTTGTCGTCGTCATCGGCATCGTCGTCGTCATCGTCGTCATCGTCATCGCGGCCGCTCGCCTCTTCGTCCGACGATGACGATGGATCGCTGCAGGGGTGGTGCTGCAGTGAGGGCGGGGAGCGGCGGAGGGTGGGGCGCAGGCGCGCCTTGACCCACGCCGTCAGCTCGCCCACCCTCTCGTCCGCCGTCGTGGTGGAGACATCGTTGTCGGCGGCCGTCAGCCACTCGAACGGTTGCGTGAGCAGGGCCCGCGTCAGGCGGCCCACCATCACCTGGCCCACGCAACAATAAACTTAATTAATGAATTACTCTCGTATTTATTTGTATTTTAAAATACAAATAAATAAAGTTGTTGAGAAATAAATAAGTAATTAAGTTTTTAAGATAAATGGCGGTGGGTACCTTTTGGCGTCGTGGATCGGTTTGGGCGAAGAAGGTACGCCATGCACTCGGGCCTTGGGCCTGGTCGCCCTCGTGGGTGGCGAACTGCGGGCTCACGTCAGCAACGTGCCGCCCTTCCCTTTGCTTCTTCTGTCCTCCGTGTACGTTTTGCCTCGGCTGACGACGCTGCTGGACCACCGCCGGCACAGCACCCGCCGCCCCTTTCTGACGTCTGCCTCCTCCCATTAGTGCTTCTTCGCTTTCGTCGTTCTTGCAAGTTACGTTCTAGCTCGTTGCCCTGGTTTAAGGTGGCCGGTTGATCGTGCAATAAAGGTGCACAATAAAATGCTGAGTTTCAGGCAATTTTCTTAGTGGCTTCTGCTGGTTGCACTCAGGCTGGAACGGTGCGAGGAACCCAGTCTGCTCGACCCAGATTGCAATCGGCCGACATCACTTCTGCACCACCGCAGGCGTACACATCAGAACAAGAAGCACAGCGAAGTATGCAGCGAGCAGTTGGCCTCCGAAGCCAGTTCCTCGTCGCGAAGAACTCGACCGCCGCCCTTCCGCTCTGGGCGCGGCGCTCGTTCGTGTCCGAGGCCCACATCCAGGCCGAGCTGGAGGCGGCGCGTCGGGTCAAGGCCCTCGAAGAGAAAAACGCCCGGGATCGGGCGACCATGCTGAGCACTACGCCCGCGCCCCCACAGGGCAAGCGAAGCGACGAGGCCCCGGGCCAGCCCGCCCGTTTGCCCTCCGCCGAAAACAACCACCAGCCCGCGCGACCCAGCGCCCAGTAAGTGCTGAGCACTGAGCACAACATCATCTTCACGCAACACAAAAGATGAAGGTGCGAGTTGTCGAATAAAAGATTAAAACTGCGCAGCATTGCGTTGGAGTGCAGATGTTGGTTTATGAGAACGAAAACTGGGCGAGTTGGGTGGTGATGGACTTGGCCGGGGCCGACAGGATTAGAGGTCGATGTCACCGTAGGCGAGGCCGTTGGCGTTCTTCTTCTTGAGCTTGATGTGGTTGAGGGTGTTGTTGTAGAAGGTGTTCACCTGCTCGGCCTTCTCCGCAGAGTTGCCGTCAGCGCCGGCCTCTCCGGCCTCCATGTTGCCCAGGTTGGTCTTGATCAGCGCAATGAGACCGGTCAGGTACTTCGGGGCCACCTGCACCACAGAGAGCGAGCCCACGGGTGAGTCCGCATGAAGACCAAAGCGGAGGCGAGGGGAGCGAAAGAGAGAAGACGCACCGCTTCGTTCTTGGCCTCGAAATAGTACAGATACTCGTTCAGGATCTCGACGAAGAGCTTCACGTTCATGGAGGAGTCCATGCAGGCATCGGCAATGCGCAGCGACTTTTGGAGGCACTCCAACACGCGCTTGCCCTCCTTGAAGCCCTCACCCTGCACACACGCATAATGTTATGAGTACACGGATGGTCGTGCGCGCGGGGTGTTGGGTGGTCTGGCATGACATCTACCTCAGCGTCGGGTTTCCAGAAGAGGTGGGAGCACATGTAGACAGCGCGACACTGGTCGTGCTTCTTCAACAGCTTGGCGGAGTGCACGGCGGTCTTGGTGGACAGGGTGTCGTAGTTCTCCTCCCCGAATACCCGCATCGTCTGCAGCGTGCCTGCACGTGGGGTGGGGTGGGGGATGCAACGGAGGACCATTGATCAGCAACCCACCGCCCACTGCGCGCGCAGAGGCCAGAGGCAGGCCGTACCGATGATTTCGGTCATGGCTCGGAACTGGGCCTTCGATTCGGCGACTTCGCTCTCGTAGATTTCGTAAACCTGGCATTGGGTGGAAAAAAGAACGATGAGCGAAGACGTCAAGTAAGCTTCACGTGTGGCGTGTGTGTCGTGTGGTTTACCTGTGTAAGGAACTCGTATGCGATGGTTTCGAATCCGGCCCGGGAGGCGGCTTCGGCGCACTGGAGATATAGGCGCATGGCCAGCTGCTTGTAGTCCGTCCGCGCGAGGGCCGTGACCGTCTCGTGAGCGAACTTGAACACGCGCTTGCCGACCTTGTTCCACTCGTCGTCGCTGCTGGCGTTGGCCTGGAGCACGGCGGCCAGGCGGAGGGACCGGAAGACGAGCGGGGGCAGGGTGAACCTGATCCTCTTCATGCCGCCCTGGCCGAAGACCTTGCGCGCCGTCGCGTAGATCTACGCGTTCCCACAAAACGACAAAACAAATACCAACACACATCGAAATGAGAATTGAACCGAACATGGAGACTTGTGCGAGTGTAGCGGCCAGCGCATACCAGGAAGAGCTTCTCGGCGTTTTCATTGTCGAAGAGGTGGATGAGAGAAGCCACCTTGTTCTGGTCCTCGTCGAAGTCCTCCTTTAAAAAACAAACACACACGTACCACCGTCAGCTTCAAAACAGAAACAAAAGTAAAGTAAAATAAAAGGAGGGGGTGGGACGAACCGGGTCGATCTCGGTCTGGTCCTCCTCGTCCTTGAGAAGAGGCTGAATGGCCAGGAAGAGCTTGGCCACGTCCTCGGCCTCCGGAATACGGGTCTCGTTGGCAATGACGTTGTTCAAGATCTCCAGCGCAATCTTACGTCTGCGACGCAAAAAAATAAATAATAAATAATAAACGTTGAGTCGAGAAACCAACGGGACGAATGGGAGGCTGGCTACCTGTTGGCGTAGCCGAGGTGAGGGATGATGGTGGTGTAGTTGTCCAGCTTGAGGAGGACGAGGACGTTGTTGTAGATGGAGAGCGGGATGTTGAGCAGGCTCTGGATGTGCTTCACGCACTCCTTGCCCGAGTAGTCAACGCTGGAGACGAAGAGGGGAGAGAGAGAGAGAGAGAAGTGTGAGAGAATGGAGAGGAGCGAGGAGAGAGGAGGTCGGCGTAATGCACAGGCTTGGGGGGTTGGCGGACAACGTACCCGTCCTCCTTGAGCTTGGCAAGCAACGTGGTGGTGTTGTTGAAGACCTGGTCGACGTACTCCAGCTTGTCGGGGTAGACCTTGAGCGACAGGTTGAGGAGCGAGACGTACAGGGCGAGCATGTCCTCGGCAGTCATCTTGGGACGTTGCTGCATGTTTTTATATAACAAGAAGAAGAAAACATGTCAAGTTGAGAGCGCGTCAGAGGCGCTGTGGGCCAGGCCATTCATAGTAGGTGGTAGCTCATAGGTCGCGATTAGTACCTCGATGATGTTGGTGATGGCGCTGGAGAAGATCTTGAAGACGTCGATCTCCCGGGGGAAGTTGGTGGGCTCCTGGGCGGCAAAATTGGCGAGCCTGTCCAGCATGCTCACCACGATGGACTTGACGTCCACGGTGGGCTGCAGCTTGGCGCATGTCTGTGTGGTCACAGGGAGAAGAAGACAGAAATGTATCAAATTTATACTACAATAATAATGATTCGAATAATAAGAATAATAAGAATAAGAAAACCGCTCGACGGACGTACATCGAGGAAGGGCTCGAGGGTCTGGAGGTGGAAGTGGTCGGGGAAGATCTGGATGAGGATCTCCATGAGGTACTGCTGCGCGATCTGGTCGCGGCAGTTGACCACCTGTTCGGTGATGCGGGGCAGGACCGCCTGACATAGTAGAAGAGGAAGAAGAAGGCACCGCGTGCCACTTTACACTTGAGCACCACTGCACCAGATGGCTCAAAAAAGGCGAGGTGCGCGCACCTCCTTGTAGATGGCCACGTCGACGCCATCGAGCTGAGAGAGGCGAGCGAGATTCTTTCCGACGAGCAGACGCAGCTCGCGCCTCTCCTGCTCCCTCCTCGCCTTGTCCCTCACGGGGCCCTGGTGCTGCATCCTCACCCACAGCTTGTTCATCTCGGTGAAGTTCTGAAGGATGAACGATATCGAATCGTTCACGTCGCCGCCAGCCCTACACGATACATGACAGAAGGAAAGGGGGGAAGGTGAGCCAATTGGCGACGACACAATGATGGTGACGATGTGGTGGTGCGATGATGATGATGATACCCTTCGTAGTCGGAGCCGACGTCGGGCAGCTTGTCCTTGGTCATCTCCGAGAGGTAGGTGCGGAGGAAGAGGCCGCGCGTGGGGTGCTGCACGCCGCGGCACATCTCCACGAGATCCCTGAGCACGTCCTTGGCGGGAGCCTCCTTGGTCCGGATGTAGATCGAACCCACCGTCACCAGCAGGTACCTGTCATGTGCACGCGAGTCAATGGGCAGCGAGGTCACCATCACTCACATGAGAGTCGCGCGCATGAGCAGCGTCGCGAAAGAGAAAGTTGAAAGATGTGAAGAAGAAGGGGAATAAGAAGAGGGAGAAGAAGAAGAAGAGAGCAGGCATGGCCTGAGAAGAGGAGGGGTGAGGGAGAAAGGGAGTGTGCGTACAGGCGAGGAAGAATATTGCCAGCGTATTGGACGATTTCGTAGAGCTCGCTCAGCTTCTTGCCGCTCTGCCTTTCCTCACTAAGGAAGGCCTCGAGGTGTCGCAGCTGATCGAAAGCTTGCATGTCTGTTGCAAAACCAAAATGGTGAATAAATGAATGGGTTGAAGAAACCGGCGCATTGGCAAATGCAGAGAAGAGGCCCTGCGGCAGCGTGAGGGGGGGGGACGTACACAGCTCGTAATAGTTCTTGGGGGAGAGCAGAGAGGTCCTGAGCTCACAAATCATGGTCGAGGCGTGCTTGAGCGCCTCCATGAGCTTCTTGTTATCCTGTTAATTGGGCGATAGGGTAAGAATCACTCGCAAAATTAATGAAAATTATCACTGTGGGGGCGCACCAAGCAGCGCTTCATGAAGAAGGCCTCGCGATTGAGGGTCGCCTTGGCCTCCTCGAGGACCTTCTTCTGCTCCTCCTCGCTGGGCAGAGTGTTGAGAGGAACCTTAGGCTGAGCCTTGCCACCCTTCTTCGACGCCTAGAAGGCAAACGGAAGAGGACGCATTCAGCATACAATCGCGCATTCATTGAGAGAAAATGGCATCGAACTGGGCAGCCGCCCTGTCCAACACGCCAGCAAAGGGAGGCGAAGATTACCATGGGTTGACAGAAGCGAATGAACGGCTTTAAATCTACTTCGCCAGATCGAGGAAAATGCACACGGCCCAAACAGCCAAGTCAAAAATGTGGTTTTGGTCGCCGGTAATTTCCCCCCGACACCGAGAGAAGCTTTCGTTCGCTTGTTCTCACTCCCAGTGCTCCATCTTCAAGGAGCAACCTGGAAGATCTCTCAAGCGAGATGATGGCAAGGCGATGCAGTGTACAGCGTTTACTATCGTCGATTAGAACTAGTTCCTCGACCAGGTGGTGCGTGGAGGCGCTTATTTCTCCCTGGGGTTGAAGCCGCCCTTGCTCTTGGGCAGGTAGGCCTTGGCCTCATGCAGCTCCCTCTCCATCCACCACACACCGCCGTGCGGGAGCGAGTTCTTGGCCTTCTCGAGGTAGGCCTCGGCCTCCTCCACCCGCTTGCTGGCCTCGGCAAAGGCGGCCTCGGCGGCCTCCTTGGCACGGGCGGCCTCCTGCGCGGCGGCCTCGGCGGCCACGGCGGCGCGCTCGGTCTTCTTGACGGCGGCCTCCTGGGTGATCTTGGCCTTGCGCAGCGGCAAGGGGTCCTCGGCCAGGTGCTGGGCGAGCTCGTTCTTGGCCTTGTTGCGCTGCACGACGCCGCCCTCCTCGCTCCTCTTCTTCAGGTCCTCAGTCTTGTGGTTGTAGGCGTCCTCCTGAGCCTGGGGTTTGACGCGATCGCACGGATTAGCGTGTGTGTGTCGCTCCATTTGAGGATTATTGTATCACGATCTTACCTTCAGCTCGGCGAGGGCGGCCTCGAGCTCGACCTTGGCGGCCTTGAGCTCCTCCTCCCTCTGCTTGGCTGAGTGGAGGGCGGCCGTGGCCTCCTCCTTCTTGCTCTCGGCCTCGCTGAACGCGGCGTTCACCTCGTCCAGCATCTTCTGGGCCTTGCGGATCTCCTCCTGGTCTCCCTGCACTGTGTCGGGTGCAACGCCAACGCGCGCGTGAGCGGGGCCGAAGTGAGCACTGACGAGGAGGTTACGACGGCGAGCGTACCAGCGTTCACAAGCTCGTGCCAGTCGACATTGTACTTGAAGGTGAGCATGTGCGTCAGAGGCACGCGCTTAAACTGGCCGGCGCTGATGGCACCGGTGTTCCTGAGCCGGTCCCTCATGGCCTGCAGCGGTGGCGTTTTGCCAAGGTCCCAACAAAGAACGAAAACGAAAGCGATGTGTCAAAGAACGAAGGATTGAGGAGGAAGAAATCCACGCGGGGGGGGGGCGAACCTGAACGGTCATGGACTCCTGGAAGTGCTCGAGGAAGCGATGGGCCTGGAACTCATCAAGATCGCTGCCCGCCGCCTTCTTGTCGGTGTCGAGCTCGATGCACTTGGCAACGAACTTCCAGAACTTCTCAGCGTCGTCCTTCGTAGTTCCCCAGAATCTGCCGCAGCCAAGAGATGAAAGGTAAGGACCACACCAATCTTGCGGAGTGCGGGGGTGGGGGTGGCGAACGCGTTGAGGAACCACACGGCCTGCTCCTTGTAGGTCTTCTTGCAGAGGCTCTCAAGCTTCTCCTTGTCGTTCGATCCCTGAAGAGACATCTTTATTTGTTGTACAGAATCTAGATTGTTTCGGATGGGAGTGACGAGCGTCTGGTCGGTGTGTGGCAGGTGGGTCGGACGCCCACCACAAGAGCAACCACCAATCAAGTAGAGCAACTAGATTGCTTTTGCAAACGTATTTGAAACGCTTTTGAAACGTTTCGGTGATTACTAATTAATTTGTAAAAAAACAACACAAATCGAGTGCCAACTGGAGGAAGAGATGAAGGGGGCGAGGAAGTGGGTGTGGTTGTGCTTCCTCGGGGCAATCCTGGCAGCGGTGCCCGTGTGGCGGCAAACGACCTCCACATATCGTGCCCAGCTGCCATGCAATGAAGGCCAAGCCTGGGCAAATGCCACAAAAGAGGTATTCATCCCCACAAAGATTTTGCAGCTGGCCTTCCAGATTCATCTCGACTCTTGACTCCATCTTGTGCGTGACCTAATTCTGCCTCCAACTTTTCGGCAGCACATGGATTGGGTGATCGAGCTCGACATCGTTGTGCTGTCACAAGATGGCGCCACGGCTGCCGCACAAGATTTTGCCACACAGGCCAAGACGCACCTCGAGGCCGGTCTCAGCGAGCGGGCACAGCAGGTGCGGCCAGCAGCTGGCAGTAGGCTCGAGCCCGAGTCCTCCTCTTCCGAGCCCGACCGACCCAGGAGCCAGCGCGAGAGCGACCCGCGCGTGTCCTACGTCTACCGCGTCACCGCCGCCGCCGCGCCCCTCTCTGCCGATGAGTGGCGCAGCATCGCACAGGCTGCCAACCTAAGAGTGGCGGACCGTGCGTTGATCAAGCACGTGCGACCCGAGAAGAGCGGGCGCTACACGCTGTTCGTGCTCCAGGGCGCGGATGTGCTCGCGGCGGGCCGCGAGCGAGAGTGGGTAGTGGGTGCGCACAGGCATGCCTGGTTCACCACCGCTACCTTCCCCGGTAGGACGCCGCCCCACACACACACGACACACACACGACACACATCATCCCCTTTCAGTTCACTCGTGTAGCCATCTCACCTTCTTTCTTCTCGTTCAGACCCTCGCGGAGTGGCGCAGAGCATCCAGAAGGCGGTGGAGACCTACCTCGTCACCCCGGTCGAAACGGAGGAGCAACAAACCGCGACCCACCAGTTCCACCAGGTACCCAAAACTACGTTGCACTCCTTACGTTCCGTGTGTCTACATGCGCTGTGTTCGGTCAGTGGTGACCACACTCTTTGCAGGTCAGTTTGCCGCCGGCGCCCGAGTATCGGCTCTCTTTCTCCCTCTTGAACGCCAACTCGGCGCAAGCGTTCTACTCGTGGGCCTTCGACAAGGCCGCGGAGGGTACGCACACAGACTTTGAATCGCCTGGTCTCGGTGGGCGCCGTGCCCCCCTCCTTGGGCTAAAGGACCCCCTCCTTTGTGTCCAGCTTACCTGCTGCCCTTCCTGAACGACGTCTCGCTGCTCGGCAACTTCTCGATCGACTCCCAGGTGCGTGCCCCACGTGTATGCTACAAGCCCGTTCGCTGCATTGTGGTCGCCTCACTTCTTTCCGCCCGGCCGTGTGCGTAGGTACTGCACTACGTGGCCCTCCCCAAGCAGCCGCTCTACGACGAGCAAGCCAAGGCGTACTACTTCACGCCGGCCATGCTGTCGTACTTCGTTCACCCGAACGATCTCAATTCAGGTGAAGAAGACAGCGCTCGCTCGCTCCGAACAGAACCGTCTGACTCACGTTTTTTGCTTCTCTACTCTTAACAGACTTCACCGTTACTTCGGAGGTCACGCTCAACTTCATGGTCTACATCCCCTCTCCCGACCAATCGCCTCTCTACATTCGCTACGACGATGGTAAGTTGGGTCCCGCCTTCTTTCTTTCCTTCGTAGCGAGCCATTAATGGCTCCTCTCGTCAACCCGTTTAGGTACGTACTCGGACACGAACGCCTTCTTGATCCTGCGCACGGGCGGCATCGTCATCTTCAACCCCGAAGAGAAGGTGCGCACTCGTGTGGGTTCAGCGCTGGGGCTCGGGTGACTGACACTGTGACGCCACGGCCCAGAACACCACGTCGCCTCTGCGCACCCTGGAACCTTCTGAGCTCTACGGACCCATGTCGGTCTTCGTCGAGCAGCTGCGCGAGCTGCTGGGCGTTCCGGCTGCACTCTTTCCCACCATCGACACGAAGAAGGGCACCGGCGCACCGGAGGTCAAGGAGGGCTGCGAGGACCTCGACGTTCAGTTCCTGCCCTCACCCTCGGGCGTGTCGAAGTGGGAGCTAGACGTGCTCCTGCGCCAGCGGACCTACGAGAACCTGGTGAAGGTGCGCACGCATCGGCTCCGCTGTTGAATTTGGTGGATCGATGTGCTGAGTGAACTGCCACCTTGCGCGCTCTTTGGCCAGGCCAAAACGAGCATCCTCACGCTCTGCCAGTTGGTGAAGAAGCAGACCCACATGGTGGTGCACGACCACATCAAGGACAAGCTCCTCTCCGCTTTGCACAAGCTGCAACTCGCGCTGGACCACTTGGAAGGAGACCGAGACGGGTCGGGGTTCGACTACGCCACGGCCCACCGTCACGCACTCGAGGGTCTCAAGGAAGCCGAGAGCGCCTTCTTCGACAAGGAGATGGTCTCGCTCCTCTACTACCCGCCCGAGCACGAGGCGGCGATCTACATTCCCCACTTCCTGCCCGTCTTCTATCCCATCGTCGTGGGCCTCCTGTTCGAGCTCAAGACCGCCATCTTCAAGCGAGTGCGCAAGTGGTGGCGACGACGACAAGCGCCCAGCCCAGCCCCAGTCACGGAAGCCAACGACGAGACCAGCGAGAAATGATTTTTTTATTGTTTTGATTTTCTGTCGACTTTCTTGGCCTGTCCGCCAATTGTGTGAAATCCCGAAAACACATCAACTACCAATCAAAAAAATTCGAGAGGAGATGACGCTGGCATTCCAGCGGTCGAGACAAACATTCGACACAGTCTCCGTAACGGCCACACAAGCACCTCAAGCACGAAGCATTCCAAAGTTGGCGGTTGAGAAGGAAATGGAGAGAAATACAGCTCACACGCTCGATCTCGATGGCGAAGCCACGAACACCACGACACAGACCACTTGCTCATGCTCGTGTTGTCTTATTGGGTGCGCGGGTCTGAGGACCAACGCAAAGATCGATGCTGATCGACAGGAGAAGATCTTGTCCGCCCAGTGCGCCATATGTTTGGGTATGATTAGATCCCTCTTCCCCATCCGCGCGCGGTCTTATTTGAGTACTCACGTAGTCGTTGACAGATGTGCTTTATGAACCGGTTACCATCACATGCGGGCATACCTTCTGCGCCAGCTGTTTGCTCAACGTAGCCGACAAAAGATGCCCCGCTTGTCGCGCATCCTTCGCCGAGTACCCGAAGATCAACATCTTCATCGGGAATTGGCTTCACAAAGAGGTACCTCCACTCGCCTCCAACAGTTGGTGTTCCATCATCTCACATCAATTGTGCATAATTTGCAGCTGTACGAGGAGGTGTCTCGCAAGCGAAACGAGTACCTTAGGGAGCTCTGTCGCGAGGTCGCCGAGAGCGCGGTAGCACCGCATGCTACATCAGATGAACCCATGTTCGACAACGAGAGGCTGCTGCGCGAGTGCAACAGAAGAGAGGAACAGCATCGACGGCGCATGCGGCAGGAGGTCCACGAGACACCAGCCCACGTGCATCACCCACCAACTGCCGCGATAGAAACACGCACGGAGCGCCTCCATCACGAGGAGCAGGCGCGACGAGAAATCGCATCCGCCTTCTCTATGGATCTCGTCTTCTAATCCAGGTGATCATCTGGATTAAAATCAAATAATAATTTAAAAAATAAATACAAATCCAAATAATTCAAAAATAATTTCGGTGTTGGGCAGAATTTGGTTGCGGGGGAGAGCTGGAAAAGTGGTTACCCGGAAACATGCCCCAATGTAACCCACCCCAGATTCGTTGAGCTCGATTCGTGCAGCCCTGGTTTGAAAGTGCTGCGAAGCTCGTGAAAGGAAGGGACAGAGCCGAATGGTAGCGCGCCAGGTGGGCAGATGAGGGTCGTGGTCTTGGCCCGATGAGTCCTCGGCTCCCAGCCACGCGGCCCTCTGCGCGCTCAGTGGTCGGTTGGTCGGCCACACCCCCTCAGTCCCCGGAAGGGGTGCGCCACGTAGGTGGCCACCGCCCCCGGTTATCTTTTTCTTCTTACCTTCGCTCGACACAGCACCAACTTGTACACCACCAACCCACACAGCACCCCACCTTACTACATCAATCAACAAAGATGGCCTCCCTTGCTGGTGTTTCCGACCGTGAGAAGCTCGACGCCCTGTGCCAGAAGACGCACAAGGAGCAGGCGGTGTGGTTCCTGAACGCGTTCTGGGAGACCTTCGCCCAGGCCGAGGCCGAGAACGTGTGGAAGGTCGTCCACAAGTGCTTCGAGCTCGACGCCGCGGGCAAGGAGGGCAGCCAGCTCGACGAGCTCCAGGCCCACCGACTCCTCGAGTACTGCCAGGACACGCACACCGTGGCTACTCTGAGGGAGAAGCTGAGGGCCTCGGGCGCCATCGAGGGAACCCCCAAGAAGGTCCCCCTGACGCACATCCTCGTCACCAAGCACGGCGTCGACTGGCACGCCCTCATCCACGCCCCCCAGGGCTCGAGGGAGGAGGTGGTCAAGGCCGAGCAGATGTTCTCCTCCGTCCAGGCCCTCTTCGCCTCCGCCGCCGCCAAGCAGGCCCAGTCGGTCGAGGCCCTCGCCGCCGCGTCTGCGGCCGAGGCCGAGGCCAAGTCCCGCGAGGATGCGTCGAAGGCCGCAGCCGCCGAGGCCGCCTCGCGGGAGGCCTCCGCCAAGGCCAGCGAGGCCGAGGCCCGCGCCAAGGAGGCCGAGGCCAAGGCCAAGGAGGATGACGTGCTCGCCGTCAAGGCCGAGCTCGAGGCCGCCCTGAACGACCTCAAGGCCCAGGAAGCCGCCCACAAGGCCAAGACCGACGAGCTCACCAGGCTCAGCGAGGAGGGCAACGTCGTGGCCAAGAACAAGGCCAAGGCCGAGCTGGCCCAGCACCTGGCCCAGGACCCCCTCGCCCTCCAGAAGGCCAAGATCACCCAGGAGGTGCTCGTCAAGAAGGCCGACAAGGCCGCCCAGGTCGCCAAGGGCGCCACCGACGAGGCCTCGCGCGCCAGGGCCTCGGCCGAGGCCTCTGCCAACAGCGCCTCGCAGTCCAGGGCCGCCGCCGACGCTGCCGCCAACCAGGCCGCCGAGGCCACCGCCGCCGCCCAGGCCGCCCGCGCCGACTCAGAGAAGGCCAAGGCCGCCGCCGAGGCCGCCGTGGAGGAGGCCAACAGGAAGATCGCTGAGGCCGACGCCTACCTCGATGAGGCCAGGAAGAGGCTGCCCCTCGGCGCCAACTGGTGGATGGACCGCGAGCTCACCGAGGCCAAGGCCTACCTGCCCAAGAGCAAGGGCGGCATCTCCAAGAACTAAGCTAGATCTGGATCTCTAAGGCTTACCCCCCTTCGCCCTTCGAATGTGGAGAAAGATTCGGCGGACGATCCACTCCCCTTTTGTACCTTCCTGTTTACTATCGCCGTTGAAGCTTATAAATAATACCACCTCACCACAATCTTCATCATCTCCTTCATGGTTGAAAATCATTTTTGTTTTGTTTTAAAAAGAGGGAAAAGATGAAAGTTCGACTAGCAGGAAAAAAGAAGTTGTTTGAAGAGATCCGGTGACGACCTACAACGTTTACGAACACATCGCCGTCTTCTTCACCAAGGGGCTCCACCTCACGCGAGCGTCTCCTCCTTGGCCTGGAAGGTCGCGGGCTCGGGGTAGAACGTGGGCTCGTTTTCCTCGAGCAGCAGCTCCTCCTGTACGCGTACAGAAGAGAGCCGTGCGAGTGAGCAACAAGAAGCGCTCGATAACGACTGTTGGGCCGGTGGGTGGAGGTGGTTGATGATATATTAGAGTGCGCACCAGATGCTGCATGGCTTCGAGGCTGAGCACGAGGAGGTCGTGGTTGAGGATGTCGAAGACGTTGCAGCCGCCCACGGGCAGCACCTTCACCGACGGGAGGTTGTTCGACGCTTTCCGGAAGGAGTCGTCGACGCTCTTCCCGTCGATCACCAGGGCCTTGCTCCAATCCTGATGAGCGCGTTGTTGTGTTAACACAACAACACCATGATGAAGGCGATGAGCATCGCGACCATGCCTTGGGGGTAGGCTGGGCGTTGTGTGTACGCACCTTGCCCTCGACCACCCGGGCGAGGTTCTTCGTCTTGGCCTCGTCGACGTGGGTGCTTCGCACGATCTTGAGCTTGCCCTGGGCAAACTTGAGCGAGAGGGCGGTCTTGAGGCCCAGCTTGCGGACCTTCCTCAGAAGCGGAAAGTAGTAGTTGCGCGGCTTCTTCGCGTGCGCGTGACCACCTGATCATGGCGCGCCAAAGGCATTCTGAATCAGTAAACGACGCGCCACGCGTATTGCGTGTGTGTTGTGTGCGTGTCGTGTGTCGTGTGTAGTGTTGCGTGTGTTGCGTCGCGCGCACCTCCCACCCAAAGCGGCGAGCGGATGCTGCCCTGCCTAGACCGACCGGAGCCCTTCTGCGGGCGCGGCTTGCGGCCACCACCGCGCACCTCGGCCTTCGTCTTGGACTTGTGCGTGCCCTGCCTCCTCTTGGCCAACTGCCACACCACCACCCTGTTGGTGGGAAGAGATGTTGTTGTGAAAACATGCATCGAGAGAGAGAGGAGACAACAAATCGTGGATGCGATCTCGATTTATGTAAAGGGCAATGAAGAGCGTACCTGTGCAAAATGTCCCGGCGGATGGGAACCATGAAAATGTTGGGATTGAGGGTCACCGAGCCGAGCGGACCTTGCTGCTCCTCGTTCAAAAAGGACTCCACCGGGAGCTCGAGGGTGGGTGCCCAGCGCTGCGTACCATCGATGAGGCCAGTTGCTCCTGCAAAGAACAATCAAATCGCCCAATTAAATTTCTTCTTCTGCCTCGGTTCACAGATGCGAGGGCCAGGGTTGTACGTTGAACGACGGCCGTAGCCTCCGCTTCATCTTCAGCAGCATCAAGCTCAGCGTCTTCCTCTTCATCCTCTTCGTCGCTCGCCGCGGCCTTGTTGTGTTCTTTCTGCTCTTCCTTCACGCCTCCAAAGATGGAAGAGGAGGGGACCGAGGAGTGTACACCCATCTGAGCCAAAATGGGCGACATGCGCGGATAGCGCATCGAAATGAGGGGCGTGCGGCTGGCGATGAACCGGAGATGGCCGGCGGTGGAGGAGGGAGAGGGCACTCCAAGGGAGAGGGCAGCAGAAGAAATCAAGCGCTGGTTTGACCTGGGCGCCCGAGCGCAATGCCTGCCTGCCGCCTTCATTCCAGGACCAATCTATCAAGTTACCGATCAATGCGGTGGGAAAAAAACAATCTAAAAAGAAACACTCTGCTCTGATGACGTCAGCTTAGGAAAATAGAAGATTACTTGAATTTATATTTGTACTTTATTCACAAATAAATTAATAAATAAATAAAGAACACAACCTTGCCTCCTCCACTCCACTCGTCGCCCGCAGGCGTGTCCTCTCGTCCCGTTGTTGTTGTTTACATTGTTGTGTGCCTTCGATCGTTTCTCGCTCGTAACGATTCTCCTCTTCTCGTGCTCTCCGTGCGTCGCGATCGGCTCCTCGCGATATTCATCGATGTACGTGCTCGAGCCTTCGTTGTTTGCCTCTTGACCGTTCGCGACGTATTAGTCCTCGTTGTTTCTCCTGTGGCTTGTTCCCGGTTCCTCTTCTTCTTCTTCTTCTTGTTGTCGTTATCGCAGTTGTCGCTATCCGCATTCACCGTGCGCTGTTCACTGCTTGTCATTTCCCCTTTCGCGCGTCGGCACGATCTCGAAGCTGTCCATGATGCTCGAGAGCGAGGTCGCGCGCTCCAATCGCTTTCGTCTTTCGGTCGGATCCGCGGCACCGCCGCTGGTGGTCATCGTGCTCGTGTCGCTCCCATCGTCGCTGTCCGACAGAGTCGCCGACGACGTGGAGGATCGTAGCGAGTTCGATCGGCTCCGGTGGTTGCTATGCTCGGTGTAGAGCTTGATGCCCGGGAAGGGGCCGTGAACGATGGCGCCCAACTCGTCGACCGCCACGCCCTGGCCCTCGGGCAGCGCTTCATTGTAGAACGGAACACCGGGGAAGGGCGCAGCGAGCTGCTCGCCGCCGTCGCCGTTCTTGCTGGCCCAGAAGGCGGCGATGCTGAAGCCGTCGGCGTTCTCCCGGCAGGCAGGTTCGAGCGACTGTCGCCGAATGAAGGGCCGCGTCGCCCTTCGACTGCCGCGTCGCGACCTGGGCGTAACATCTCCTCCGCCGCCGTCGTCCGACGTTTGGCCGGCCTCGGCTTCGTTGTCGCTACCCTCCCATTCGCGGTTGGCGCTCACCAGAGCCGCCGCTGCGGCCGCCGCCACAGCTTCCATGGGGTCCTCGGGCTCATCCTGCTCCTCGGGCTCCGTTTCGCTCGCGGTCGTCGAGAGCTCGGCTACCGGGCGGACGATCTCCGGGCCGTCATCCTCGTTGAAGCTGTTCTCCGACAGGGAAAGGTCGCGCTGCACATGGGAAACAAAGTCGAGAGGGCCATGGGTCAGTACAACCTCCATGCGCAGCGTTGTGCGAGGAAACGAACAAACGCACCGTGTCCTCTGAGTCGCCACTCTCGGTGAGGCTGGAGATGGACCGCGTGGCCTCGTCCAGGCCTCGCTCGAGCAGGAACGGGATGTTGGTGAACGAAAATCGGCCGAAGGAGTTCATGGCCTTGATCTGATCGTTCATCGGGATGGCCGACGGAGAGACCGAGCTGTGCTGGCCATCCGACTTCACCGATCCGCCCTGGAAGGAGCCCATCGAACCCGAGTTGCCGTACAGATCCGTTCGGTCTGTCGTTACAATAGCAAGGAGGAGCCAGCAGCGCGTCAGCAAATAAATAAATATATGCAGATTGCGCTACGGTCGGTGGTGAGTGGTAGGTACCCCAGAAGTAGCCCGTGTCGTATTGGTCGGTGGGGCGCGGCATGAAGATGCCCGGCTTCTCCAGCAGCGTCTTCCAGTTGACACCGGCGAAGAACGGATGGTTCTTAATCTCATCCACGGCTGCACACCGGGAAACAACACAGTAAGGCACCAATCGCGCGCGGGGAGGTCGAAGAGAGGCGAGAGGGATGGCATACACTTGGTGCCGATGCGTTGGTTCGGGTCTTCGCAGAGTAGCCGCTTGAGCAGATCTCGGGCTTCGGGAGAGATCTCGGGCGGAAGCTCGACCCAGGGAACATCTGCGAACATTGAGCGGATCAGAGTCCATCCCCAAAGCGTCGGTGCGGTTGAAGCGAGGAAGCGAGGCTGCGAGGGGGGGGACGCGTACTGCCGCTGAGAATGTTCTGGAAGATGTCCTCCGGCGTTTCGTCATTGAACGGCGGACAGCCGGTCAAGAACTCGAACATGATGACGCCCAGCGCCCACCAATCGAGCGGCGCGGCGTGTCCTGTACCCAGCAAAGCCTCCGGCGCCTGCGACGACACACAACCAGCGTGAGCGCAAGAAGAATAGACAAAGAAGATCACACGACGTAGAAAGAGGCGAGGGATGGATGAGTGTGCACCAGGTAGTCGGGAGTGCCCACCACACGGCGCGAGGACCGAGTGTTGCGTCGCGACGAGCGGCTTAGGCTGCGGTCGGAGACGGGCGACGGCGTCGGGTTGGGCGGGGGGTTGGACGGGACGGCCGTCGTGTGAGGAATCATGACAAAGTCCTTCGTGCTGCGCAGCAAGTTTTCGTCTTCGTCCTCGTCTTCGGTCTTCATCGCCGTGGACGTGGAGTCGTCGAGCAGGCCCAGGTTGCTCAGCCCAAAGTCGGTGAGCTTCACATGGCCATCGTTGCCGATCAGCATGTTGTCCGGCTTGAGGTCACGATGGATGATATCGCGCGCGTGGAGATACTCCAGAGCCAGCACCGTCTCGGCGATATACTGCCGCGTCATGTTCTCGTCGAAGTACTGCAGGTTCTGCAGCAGCGACGCCAGATCACCACCGTTCAAGTATTCCATCACCAGATACAGATATTTCTGTAACACGCACACAACACACACACACGACAACGCAACGCACAGGATGAGTACACACGCGGGGAGGGGAGAGATTGAGTGTTAGGAGTGAGTACCTCGGACTGGAAGGCGTAGTAGAGCTTGACAACGAACGAGTTGTTGTTGCCCGCCATGATGTCCCTCTCGGCCATGACGTGTTCCACCATGTTCTTGCGCACCATGTCGTCCTTCTTGAGCATCTTGATGGCGTAGACGTCTCCAGTCTTCCGCTTCCTCGCCAGATACACCTTACTGCGGACGCCCCAACAACGAAATGCCGAGCGTGAGCAACCACAATGCCACCATCACGGGCACGCGCTGAGAGGGGCTTACCCGAAGGCACCGCGAGAGATCATTTTGATCTTTTCAAAGTCTTCAATCGTGGTGCGGCTGGTGCCTCCGATGCTGCCGGAGCGCTGTCGCCTGTTCATGGGCGCGTGGGCGCGATCGGCCTCCGTTTCGTGGTCTGGCTCTCGCGGCGTCGGCATCGGGGACGCCACCTGAATCACAAGCACGACGACGATGATGAGCACAGCGTCGAACGGGTTCGCTTCAACTGGTCATGGTGTCGCTGGGCTTGGGGCGGGGTGTACCTCGTCATCTTTGACACCGCGGTGTCCGTTTTTGCCGCCGAAGATGGAGAGGATGCGCAGGAGGCCGGTCTTGTTCTTCTCGGGATCGAACTTGGACTTGATACTTGCGGGCATGTGGCTGCCGGGCGACTCGGTCAGCGATGGCGGAGGCGTCTTGGGCGGCGGAGGACACGCGGAAAGCTCATCGAGCTGTGTGCGTCGCAGACGATGAACAGAGGCACGATGCGTAAGAGAGCGAAGAATTGCGAGAGCGGAGAGAAGAAAGAAGTGGGGGTGGAGTGAACGTGAAGAAGGGCGTCCTCGCACCATTTTGACCATTCGCTTTCCAAAGGTGACCTGCTTGACGTCCCCCTTGGTGAGGCCCTCGAGCTCCTGCAGCAGACCCGAAATGTGCGAGTCGAGCGTCCCCTCCTCGAATCGATCGACAGAACGCCTGCACGGGGGGGGGAGGGAGGAGGTGAGCACCACCAGCTTCTCAATTGTGGGGAAAAACGAGGGTGAGGGTACTTGGCGAGAGCGATGATCGCGGCCAGGGAATCGCGGGGAGGCCTTGGGCTGTCGGAAGGCCTAGCAATGGGTGAGTGGGAGGGGGGAGGATGAATGCGAGGCAAGGGGGGTGAGCCCACGAGTTTGGGCGAGAAGCATGCGCTCCGGGAGGCAAGGGTGTACTCGCTCATTTCGGTCAGGTCGGACATGATCTGCGACAGGAGCTGGATCTTGGTGTCGGGAGTACATCGGTCCCGCTCGCACTTTTGGAAGATGAGCTGGCAGTAGGTATTGTGCTCCGTCAACTAGGAAGTGGAAGTGGAAGTGGAAAATGGGGACCTGTCAGCTGAAGAAAGATGTGCTGCAGTGTCGTGCGAAAATGAAGAAGCAACGCACCAGATCTGCCTGAATCTCCTCTTCGCACAATCGGCACACGACGTAGGTCCTCTTCTTTCGTCGGGAGCCAGAGAGAGGAGTGCCAGAGTTGCTGGAGGGGTTGGATCCGAGCGAGGGGGACACGGGCGCGGATCGGGCCGAGTGATTGTCGCCCGACTGCACCATAGAACAACACAAGAGGCGTGAGGCCGGAGGACACGCGCGCGTGGAGCAACGCACAAACGCGCGTACACGGGCACACACGAGTGCCGTACCAGGTTTTGCAAGACTTCGCCCAAATGCGGCGAGGAGTGGATCTGGTGGAGGTTGCTTGTATGCAACAAGGGAACTGCGACAGCGCGAAACAGTGCAGTGTCAGCATTTGCCTTGGCTACGCGACGCTCTTCCAACGAAGGAAACCGCATATGGAAGAACAACGCGTACCCTGGTGGATTCGAGTTGCTTCGCGTGTGAGCGAGAGCGGACGAAGCCCGATGGAGAGCCTTGTCCTCCTTGAGCTCCTTCAGCGCAAGCGAGGGCACCACATGGCTGGCTGGACTCTCCGTCTTCACGGGACGGACGAGCACAGCGTTGGCTGAGTTGGATAGCTTCTTGTGAGCCTCCTCCTCCGCGGCCAGCGCCATGGTGCGCGACTTCTTGGGCTGCGGGTCGTCGGGGGGCGACGGCGTGGGCGAGAGGGACGACGTCGGCGAGAGCGCGGGCGACGTCGCCTTTGGCGAGAGCCGCTCGCGGGGCGACACCCGCGGAGAGGAGCGACCCTCGATGGAGAGCTTGGAGGGCTCCCTCTCCTTTTTGCTCGGCCCCACAGGCGCCACAACGGGCTCGGCCTGGGGTTCCTTGGGCTCGGGCTCGGGCTCGGGGTCGAGTTCCTTGTCCATGGGGACAGATTCGCCCGGGCTCGGCTCCTCGTCCTCCTCCATCACCAAGTTCTGCGACGAACGAGTGCGCGAATGAGAAACCACGACGACCTCAAAGCATGAAAGGAAAGGCGGAAGGCCGGCGGAGCAGTGGGTCGGTACCTCGTGCGATCCCGTGGTGATGGTGCCCACCTCTACCACGAGCGAGAGCGAGCCCCCCACGGCACCGGCCAGCAGTGTGCACATGGACATGAGTGCGGCTTGACAGAAGGGCTTGTCCTTACTGTCCACATTCTGTTCACCACACAAACACGTAGACATTGTGACATAAATGAGCTATCTCTTCCATGACATAAATGCACGAGTGATGCGGGAAGTCGAGGCGTACTCTGGGCACGGAGAACTCTGAGGACACGCTCAGCGTGCGAGAGTGGTGTCCGACCATACGCGAGCATGGGGAGAACAGGAAGAGTAGTCGCTGGGCCAACTTCTTGCTCTCTGTACGTGCCACGCACGGGTGAGCGAACATAAATGTCAAAGAGTTCGAGCGGCACGGCGAGAAGAGAGGAACGTGTACCTCCGTAGGACGAGTGGATGATCGATTGAATGTCCTCGATGACGTACATACACTTGCCACCCTCCTTGAGCTCATCAAGGGTCATGGCGAGGATGCGTTCAGCGATCTCCATCACACGGTCCAAGTTCTCCTTGACAGTTCTGTGCTTGTCCGTTTCGTATTCTTTGCTGCGAATGCCTGCGATGCAACGTTGGTGAGCGTCATGGACCAACACCACATTGCCAGCAATGAGGAAAGCCTGGTGCCGGCGTATACCTCGAAGCAGCTGCACGATCTCCTCGTCGACTTGCTTCTTGGTGGCCTCCAATCGCGCCTCAAAATTGAAGGTGGAGAGCGTGAGCGAGCGCGCCCGTTCGATGTCGTGCACTCGCTCCACTCGTCGGGTACCGTCGCGCTGACGCGCCAGCTCCTTCTCCTGTTTGGCCGCTCGCTTGCGCTCCTTCTGTTCCTTCTTCTCCCGCTCGCGCTCCTCCTCGCGTCGTCGTCTCTCGAGCGCGATGGGTGACGTGTTGGCCGGCGCCGAGGCGGCCACGCTCCTCTCCCGATCGAGTTCCGTCACGTGATTGTCACTATCATCCTCATAAGCGAATATGTCGTCCATCGCGTGCGCCCTCTTCGTGCGCACGTTGACCGCTTCCGAGTCACGGGCGAGACTCCGCGGCGAGGCGGGTGCTCGCACGCTGATACTTCGTTTCTTGGAGAAGGGGCTCTCCAACCCCCGATCCATGAAGTTCTTGAGGTCGCTGCTGTTCTTTCGAATGTGGTAGCTCTTTTTTCGTATGCGGCTGCGTTGGTGGGAGAGTTGTGGCCGAGGCAAGGTAGTTAGCCAGTGGCACACTGAGCTGATTTTCGAGGAAATGAACTGAAAAAACGAAAACAAAAAAAAACGCGAGTAGTACTTTTCGATGGACGAGAGCGAGGAATTGAGGCTCGACTGCTGGGCAGCGTCAACGAGAGCACGCAACCACGACTGGTAGTCTTCCCGCGACTCGGCATAAAGATAAAACGTTGGCAAGCCTGCGTGAACGAAGTGAACACGGCCACGTGAGACCTATGCCGGACCGGTCTGTGCGGGGGAACGCACCCTTGAAGGCGTCTGGTCGAATCTCCATGCAATAATTGATCTCTCGCTCGGGTGCCTCCCGCACCACGCTGCCTCGCAGAGGAACAATCCCGACGGGTTCGTTTGACTGCACAACAAACGGGGTGTGAGCATCACAGGCGTGCACAGATGCGACAGCGAAGAACCGCGCAGCGCTTGTGTCGTACCTCTTTCTCTCGCATGTAGTAGAGCAGATTATCGCACAGAACGAACCAGCGCTGGAGTGGCGGTGAATCACGGAATCACGGCGGTGAGCGAAATCAAATCGTGGAGGAGCCGTAGACCGAGGGACTGACTGTACCTTGCGCCAGCTTCGCACCACATGCCCCTCCTTCCATAGGAATCCGGCCTTATCTGGATTCGAGAAAGAGAACTGGCCAGGCTGTTGTGTTGCGCGCGTCCAAAAGAAGGAGATGCTCTGATTAGTCGGACTAAAAAGGAAAGGAAACGCAATCCATCAAGCACGTGGCCTACCAACACCCTGGGCCGATATCACACAAAAAAGCATAAGGGTGTGTGGAGGTACGTTGATTCCCGGATCGAGCCAGCGCTTGAGGATCTTGCTTCGCGCGATGGCGTCCACCTTGAGCACCTCGGTGAGGTACTTGTCCAGCAGGCCCTTGCGCTCAGAGATGACCTTGGGGTTGGTGGATGAGTTGCGGAAGAAGTTGTGGTGCTTGCCCGGCAGGCTGGGCAACTTGTCTCTTTCGCTGGGGAACTTCTCTCGCAGCTGTGGCGCCCACACACGCAAGGTGAACAGGACACACACGCGTCAGCAAACCAGGCACAACGCCAACAACGTAAAACAAATTAAATACATATATATTTATGTAAACAATGGTGTGTTGGGTGTTGGACTCAACACAGTTGCGTGTGCCAATAGGAGCACAGCCACAACGCGCGAGATATCGGGGCATCACCATCATCACACCAACGCCACGTTGCTGTTCTGTGGGTTGGTGGACAACTAAATGCACAACTAATGTATAAATAAATGATTGCTAATTTGGAGCCAAAGGAGAAGGAACAACAAACGGAAGTTGATGATGGGTACCTTGGCATCAAGCTCATAAAATTGATTGTAGCGCCTGAACACCTTCCATTGCTTGCGTCCATCTCGCACGGCGATCAAGTAGGCCTGTCGTTGATCGTTCCCATGCACAGCGTTAGCAGATTGCCAACATCACCGAGAATAACATCAATTAACATCAATTGGGATTTCCTTAATCCCAATAAAAACCTTGCAGAGGGGATGCCAAGAGTGCCACGGGAGAAGTTGACGATGATACGTACAGCAAACGGTGTGAAGGATGAATCGAGTCTGATCTCATAGCCGGTGACGACCAGCTGCAGCTTCTTCGGCTGCGATGAGGAGACCACCTGCTGTAGCATCGGCTTGCTCGGTGGCGATTTGCTTTCCATTCTGTTGTGCTTGGCCTCCTTCCTTTTAGGACTTGATCAAGCCTCAATCTCTGGGCGACCTTCAGGCCTAAATCGGCGGTTCTAGGAACTGCCCACGATTGCCTTTGCTCTGCTCCTCTTCCTTCTTCAATTCCTTATGACTTTTTGCACCAAGGGGAGGGCCGGCGACGAATCAATCGCGATCGGGCCACTGCACTTTTCTTTCACCTCTTCCACGATGTTGCTGCTGGCCGCGAGATGATCTGTGTGCCGTTCGTCTTCGTCTTCCTTTTCCTCGCTACGCGCAAAAAAAATAAAATTTCCGTGGCGCAGTTTCGGTGTTTGGCCGTACGAGATGAAAAGCCCCGCAGTGCCTGGCCAGGCCACCTGTTGTGCAACCCGACCTCGGTGATAGCACGCGTGCGGCGATGACAAGCGGCAACCACTCGCCCTCTGGGCAGCACACGACGTGCAAGAGAGAAGATGGGTTTTTTTTTGGATGAGAATATATTTTGAACACACACGGCAGGGCGCAGACAACAAATGGTACAAGATGATCGGCGGCCATGATGGGAGTGTGATCAAAATAGAATTACAAGGCACACATAATTTATAGTTCCACTTAGTTCCTGACTCCCTGCAGGTGGCAAGAAGAGAAGAGCGTTAGTGTCTCGCTTGACTGGAGGCCACGCAAAGTGGTAGGAACGGTGCAGTGAGCTTATCTCGAGGGCGGAATGGAGCGTACCCTCGAAGCCGCGGCCTTACCGCCAGCATCACCGCCAGACTTGTAGTTCTGGATCTTCGTCCAGTCGATCTTGGTGCGGGTGATGGGAAGCACTCTCCTCAGGGCCTTGAAGGTGGTGTCACCCATGGTGTTGTAGCTCGTCTCCAGAGACTTGTGGAAGTTGGACTCGGCCTTGTCGATGGCCTTCACAACGGCGTCAGCCAGACCACGGGCATCCTGGAGAATGGCAAGAACAAGAGAATAAGCAACGCGCACGCCTCGAGCAAACAAAAAAATGAAAGGGAAAAGAAAGGAGGGATACTTACACTGCCGGTGGCGCTGATCTTGACGGGGGTCTCAGTGTTGAGCTGGACGTTACCGTCTTCGTAGTAGTGGACGTTGACCTTCAGCACACCCGAAATGTCGACGTTGCCACCGCTGGGGGAGAACTTGCAAGTCCACACAGCCCTCCAGCGACCGTTCCTTCACGATTGAATGTTCGCATTCCTTCAGCGACCACGCAAAGAACGAAAAAGATGGATTGCGATGGAGGGGGGGGCAGTGTACCAGAAGTTGTTGGGGTTGAACCTCGCAGAAGAGATGCAGATGGTGACCACCACAGAGCCGCCCTCCTTCTTGCCGTAGATGGTGGCAGTACCGTTCTGGTAGTGTTCGTTGGTGTACTCGGTTGCCTTGTCATCAAAAGCGGCCCTTTTGAAATTCAAACGCGTAAAAATTGGGCGAAGGTAAGCCTCTCGTTGCGCGGCACAAAAATGTAGAGCAAGATTATGGCGTTACCTGAAGGACTCGACGCTGTTGTCAAGCTCGCCGCTGATGGGGCGCGAACCAGTGACTTCCTGTGATCCACTTCTCGTAAGTTACTGCAGCCAACACGCAATACGCACCACGCGCCACAATTTGCAGTGTGTACCTGGCGAATGTGGTCGAAATGGACGACCTGGCGCCCGCGGGGGTCGAGGTACTCGCCGTTGCCGACCTCACCGAACTTGGTGATGAGGAACTTGTGGGGATTGCCAGGGGACTGCATCTGAAGCATCTGGTCGGTGTTGTACTCCCTGAAGGTAGCGGGGGCCGAATCATTGAGGATTGACTCATCGGGAAGCAGGCCACGGACATCTATTTGGGTGAGTAGTCGATCAGCGATCATGCAATTAGAGAGAAAATGGCAAGGGCTGCCTTCACATCAAACATTTTTGCCCGAAATTGCGAGGCAGCGAAAACAATAACATAAATGCCAAATGGGCAAGGGGGGACGCCGTACCGGTCACGACCTCCATGAACTCGCCGGGAGGCGAGTTCAACAGGAAGTTGGTCACGATTTCCACAATCTCCTCCTGAGTAATGTCCGACATGATCGCAGCCTTTGAGAGAGAAAGTTGATTGAGCTTCTCTTCGAATGCAGAGGAATTCAAGGGGCCTGAACCTTGTTGTCGTGCTTGCGTTTCGTCGCACCACAGCCGAACCCTATTTGGCTCTTGGCCAATCGATTTGGTTTCCACAATTCCTCCATTCACAGCCGGCCTTTGATTTCGGCTCTGCCTGCAGAATTTGCGCTCCTTTTTCTGAAAAGAAATGCAGCGACCAAATCAGGACAAAAGGGAATTTCCCTTTTTTGTTTCTTTTCTTTGTACCCTTCGTGCCGCTTGGTCTTAGCGGTGTCTCACCATGTACAGAGCCCATGCACTCGCGTTGTTCGCTGCGGTTCTGGCAGCGCTGGCTGTGGCCAGTGGCAGGAATGACGAGGACTACTTTCGTGGGCAGTCCAACGCCATCTCGATAGTGGTCGCCACTCACAACAACTCCAGGTGAAGTTGGCCCCACAGCCCTGCAGGCTCTCTGGCCACTTCCTCTTGGCAGCAGGGAGTCGCTCTGGCTGACAGTTCTGGGCTGGCAGGTACATCACCTCTGCTCTGGAGAGTGTAGAGGAAAGCGTGGAGCTCTTTATTCGGGAGAGGCAGGAGAAAGGCCTCAGCGGTGTGTCTGTGCAAATCATCATCCGTACGTTCTGCCGCCTCGTCGCCTTGGCCAGCATTGCGAGTACGTCCTAATTTCTCAGCGCTTGCGTACCGCAGTGGACGACAACTCCAGCGATGACACTGCACTCAAGGTGCATCGCTTCATCAAGCATCGCAAGCTCGTAGTGGCGGCAGAGAAGCGGGCCGTCGGACTGGGTCTCTTCCAGTCGTTCTCATACCACGGTTCGTGATCCTCCACTGATGATGGTGACGATAGATTGTAGCCTTCCCACACACCGCCTCATCCTACAAGCTCCTCAGTGCCCTATCCCGCTTCGTCCTACTTCGGGCAGGAGGTCAAGTACCTGGTCATTGAGCTGCACACGACGTCGAAGAGGTGCGGCGACTGACCTGTTCTGGACCAATCTCGAGGCCTGACCAACCTTCTTTTCTGCAGGGTGGGCCACGGCACGCTGTTCAACTTGGGCGTGGACTACGCAATTGGGGAGATGCTGTTCTTCATGGACGGCGGAGGTGAGTCGCATCAGCACTGCTGCCGTGATGGTAACACAACTGACATCCTAAAAGTCATGTACAACAAGGAGCACGTGCGTCAGTGCTATAACGCCCTCCTGGGGTCCACCAACGCCTACGCCAGGACCGGCTTCTCCTTCTCCAAGGCAGAAGAGGAGGCGCTCTCGAAGGGAGCCCAGTTCGTGGAGCGGCCGGTTGGCAGTGGGAAGGCGTTCACCCGCCAGGAACTATTGGCCGAGCAAGCGGCCGAGAGTGTCCTACGGCCCAGCAATCTGTGCGTGTGGCGCAAGGTTCACTCCTTCATCGAGGTACACAAGGCCACTCGCTTGAAGTCAATTTGTGTTGTGAGGTTCATCGGGGCGGTGATACAGGGCTTTCCAGAGTCGAGCGTGTGGGACGACAACATTGTTGAGCTCGGTAATGCCTACATCGCCAGCCTCGGTGTCGGTACGGACGGGTCACTCGCCTTTCTTCAGCCAAGCTTGCCTCAGTGTGCCAAAGCGTGAGACTGATCTCCTCTTGGCGATGCCCAGGCTTCCCGTGGTCGCCTGTCGTGCCGGCCACTGTGGAGGCTATCGGCAGCAATGCACCTGGTGCGCGTTGTCCCCCCTCTTCTTCTTTGGTGCCCGCCGAACATTCGTTCGTCTTGCACTGCACGTCTCACTCTTGTTTGCTCAGCCGTGGCTGCAGAACTTGCTTCGTCAAAGGCCTTGGTTCGGGATCGGGTGATTGCTTCGCACATATCTCACCTTAACTCCAAGCTGGCGATCTATCACAAAGGTAAGTCAGACCTCCTTGCGACCACGAACGTAGACACCGATCTCATCACCCAATTCGCCCTCGGTGGACTTGCGGCGTTTGCGTGCATGAATGAAGGCGGGGCGCCTGAGACGATGGACCCGCGGTGGCGCATCCACTCCGTGGCGCTCAAGTCGGTGGGTCTGGAGTTTGTTCACCTCCACAAGCTCGACACCCGTAACAGCAGGCTGCGGTCCATGTTGGGCTTGGGGCAAATCTACTTTGCCTCGGGCGACGCCGTGGGCACCGCCGCTGCCTACAACGTCTCGAGAGAGTTGGTCTACCCCGCCAAGTACGTAGCTTCTCTCCTTTCTCTCTCTCTCTCTCTGTTCTGGCGCTCCAAGGGCTGACTTCTCGGCACAGGACCGCGGGCAACGGCAGAGTGGTGCGGACCAGCACGCTGGGGAACTGGCCCATCAGCCAACACATCACCATCGTCCAGGACCCGTACCGCGCCTAAGCTCGCCATGGCCTCCTCCAACGAGAGACTTGTGTTTTTCTCAAGGCCGTGAAGATGATTGTTTTTGTACAACATGCCTTGCTGCTCCGCCACAGCGGCACAAAGGGGCGAAGGGATGCGTGGGGAGAGGGAGAGATGGCTTATGTATGTATGTACACCATGCCCTGTATAGTATGATGCATGTATCGTCTCTATGCAACTTTCTTTTTCTTCTCTCTCTCTCTCTCTGTTCTCGAACGGTCTGAAGGAACGAGGCTCAGCGAGTATCGCTATAGCTGCAAGGAGGCACTAGTCGCGGATGCGGTAAACGGTAAACGGCAGGCCATTCGAGGAAGAGGAGACACGACGATGACGACGACGACGTAGAGTGTCTATCTAGTAGTCTTCGTCATCGTAGGAGTAGAGATTCTGCGGGTTCGGGTCCATCCGGAGGGGTGGGCTGTCGTGGGGCCTGTCGTTGTCGGACTTCTTCTGCAATACACCGCGGTGAGCCCTCCCAACTCCCGCGATTGCGTGTGGTGTGCGTGTGCGTGTGCGTATGTGTGTGTGTTACCTTGTCGGTGGGGGAGTCGTGGCCGAGTCCGGACGACGAGGCAGAGGAAGAAGAAGAGGACGAGCCCTTGCCAGCGAGTCCATTCTTGTAGTCGCCTACGAGACTGTCGATGAGCACCATCTCTGTGAAGTTGGAAGGGAGTGTGAGCCATAAATGCAGCACGGCCGAGTGAGGCAAGCTGGACGAAAGAGAGAAAGAAGGCAGGCACGTTACCAGTCTTCTTCTCAGCGAACCGCATGGGAGTCGATATCGCCTGGTTGATGTGGTCTGGAGAAGGAAGAAGTGACACACATACGTCGGTAAAAAGGGTGCAATAAGCATAAAAATCTTGGTTGGCGGCATACCCTTGAGCTCCCTGCCCATGGAGCCAGAGGGGACTCCCTCCTCCATCTCCGCTGGCCCCCAGGCCGAAGGGTCGAGCACACTGCATCGCGCGCGCACATACGTATGAGACCACCGGGACGCCGATTAGAGTCGATTCAAAGCAAAGGACAGAAGACGTTGCGGTAAGCAGTTACCCAGAGTTGGTGGTGCCGCCGGGCTTGTGTTTGGCTTCGATCTTGCTCTCCTCGTGGATGGGCTCCATCAGCTGGTGGGAGAGCGTGAGCGTGCCGTGCGCCGGCTTGCGGTAGGTCTTGAACGTGAATTGCGGTCCGGCCCACAGTGGCCGGAAATGCGGCGTGTGCGTGCATATCTCCACGTTGGAAAGCCAACTGAATGAATGAATGAAAGAGAGAGAGAGAGAGAGGAGAGTCGAAGTTGTGTAAGCCTGCAATCAACACGCAACACGCAACACGCAACACGGTGGGAAGACGGTGACGGTGGGAATACCTCGGGTCCTTGGACGACTTCTCCTTGGGCTTGGTGGTTGGTTGCCCGTCGGCCGGTTCGGCCTTCTTGGACTTGACCCGCGTCAGCAGCTGAGGCCAACTGCTTCGCCGACAGACGTCCCAGTAGAAGGTGGGCTCCACGGTCAACTGCAGCGTCTTTGGGTCCACGTCCGGCCCGGGCGCCGGGCCGTGCGGCCGAAGATTGTACTGGTTCAGGATGCCCGCGTGGGTCACCACCAGGATTTTCATCTTTGACGGCGTGCTCGTGATCATGGCCGCTGTTGTTGGCTGGTGCGTCTGGAGTCAAGCGAGCGGGACACAGACAAAGCTCAGCGTTTGACTTACTGTGTGTCGTGTGTGTGTGTGTGTGTGTGTGTGTGTGTGTGTGTCGTGTTACTTACCGTGTTCTCCTCAGGAACGAGTCCAGCCTGCTTGATGCGCTCCACTACGCTCAGGACCATGTGCTTGGGATTAAGCGGGTGGTTGAAGATGAACGGCGCCTCGTGGCTAGCAATCGGCTCGGACGGAATGTGGGTGTGAATATTCACAGGACCGCCCTCGGGATTGATGGCGTAGATGTCTGTACCGTCACCAATGGGTGAGTAAGCAGGGGTGTGTGAAGCTGTTTTTTGGGGAAGTGCGCTCTTTGGCAAGAGGGTGTATGTGTCGTACGTGTTGTTCCGTGCGAGGTACTGACGGCCATCCATCGGCTGTCGTTGCTGAACGTGATGTCCGTAATAGCGGCACTTGTCCGACCGCGAACCAGGGTGTAGCTGAACAACAAAAGAGGAACAAAAGAAAAGAGAAGGCAATTGCTTAGTTTGAAGCCAGCTGGCGGAGACGGAGAGGGGTGGCGCGCGTACAGAGGCAAAGCGTTCTCGTGCAGAGCACCCGACGATGGACGTATCTGGAAGATGTTGAACTCGTAACCGCCGGCTCCGGCCGTCACCAACAGGGTGCCGCTCGGGTCGAACGCCAGATACGACAGCGGCTCCTTGTGTGCCCGGAAATGAGCGACGGTCTTGCCCGTGCACACATCGTGCACGATCACCTGTAACGAGCAACACGCACCACGCGAGGGTGAGCACAGCTCGAAGCGAACAACTGCGCAGAGGACTACTGCGCACTCTGGACGACAGACAACGTACGTTGCCAAAGTTGGCGAGGTCCTCGGGCGTGAGGGCGGGGGCCGCAGGTCCAGCCGGCTGCGATTCGGGCGAGAAGTAGCTCGACATGGTCTTGTAGCCGACGTCGCTGAGGTACTTGGCAGCCTCGACCAGCTGATCCATGGTGTTGCTGGTGGGATCCTCGTCCTTGATGCTCTGCACCTTCTTGCCGGGGTAGGCCAGCCACCGCGGACCCAGCGCGATGAGCGATGACGGCGACGAGGGCTTGGTGCGCATGGAAGGCGACGAGCGCCCGTAGGCCCGCATCTGCGGCAGGAACTGCGGATCCTGCGGATGGTACGGCCGACTGAAGATCTTGTTCATATTTACAATGTCGAAACCGTAGATGTGATCGTGCAGCGCCTACACGCGTTCCCGCACCAGCACAGTTAGCAAGAGAGAAGAGAGCTTCTACGTAGGTACGCTTGATGCAACAAACAAAGAGAAAAGAGAGGTGCACGCACCACAACCAGCATGCGCTTGCTGCACAAAATAGAGTACACTTCCGATCGAAAGCGCATGGTGTTGATGTAGTCCTGCTCACGCAAGGAGTACAACTTGACTGCCGTCTTTGCAAACTTGGCACTATCCTCGGCTGACCTATTGGTGACACCAATGGTGATGAGAGCGCTTGTCTTCAAACCGAGGGGCGCATTGATATCGATGCGACCAGCGAACGAGCTGGCACACGATCAAGTCAATTCAAGCCAAGATGACGTACGCCAAGGCGATCAGTGGGTGCTTGTCCGTCAGGCGTCCCTTGGGCGTCCCTTCCGGTGGAGTTTGCAGGAACTAGGAGAAGAAGACGCGCCCTCGCGGTTAGTGGGTAGGGCAGCGCGTCACTGCGTGGTCAGGACGCACCTTAAAGCACTTGATTGCGCCTTCCCTCTTGGAGACCAGCTCGCAGATCAAGTCTGGCTGGTCTTCGATGTCCCAAATCTGGAACCCGTTCACAAAACTCAAGAGCAGGCACTGCCGGCTGAGATCGATACGTGGTCAATTAGAGAGTGTAGAGATTGGAGAGGCGGGAATGTGAATTACCTCTTGCCTCCTTTCTCATAATTGTCGAATCCAACCCAGATGACTTTGTCCCGCTCATCATGAGGCTGGGTGCTGGACAGCTGCTTCTTCAAGCCCGAGGGTATGTAAGACGAAAATCCCGACACGTACGTCCCAAGGCTCTTCAAGTAGGTTTGCTCGCTGCGCAATTAAATAAGTAGAAAATGGTTAATAATAAAAATGTAATACAACCACATAAAATGCAAAGCAACAGATAAAGAGAATGAAAGCAAATAAATTGGCAAAAAATAATAGCTGTGAAGATGCGATGCAAAAGAACAGCTGATGATGGCAAAAATCTAAATTAGAACGCCACGAACCTGGCTTTGCGCTTCTCTGCAACGACGCCATTGTACGACATAAAGGGTTCCCTTGACCAAACGTATTCGTTGTCCTTCGCTTCCAACAGCAACAATCCACTTGCTTACTTTGATGATTGTTTTGATTTTTTACGAACCAACCGCACAGAACGCCACGTTGGTTGTGAGCTTCAAATTCCCGCTTGCTTCCTTGGGCCGCGGGACAAGGTTCCACCGAAAATTCTGCGCTGTATAGTTCTGACCAGCCGTAATCAATTAAATCAAACAACAAAATTAGCGAAAAAAAGGCATTTTCGCCCATTTTTACTTGGGCTCAACAACAGAGCATGGACCGATTGGTTGCTGGCGAGCTTCTTGTTGGTTACGACGTCCCGGGCCTCACAGCTTGAGGCGGGCGATGTCCTCGGCACGGAATTCCACACGGCGCGCAAGCACTTTCCGCACCTGTTACGCACCGATGGCAAGCATACGCCACACAAAGCGACGTTGACAAAAATACGGTGTTGGTGGTCGCATCACACTTACAGTGCTACTAAGGCCCAAGAGAGCTCCTAAGTGCTTAGCGTACCTCTCCTGGCGTGAGTCTCAGTTGCAGGCGCGCATTCTCGTCCCAATACTCCATCACCTCGCTCACCTGCACAGGGGGATTCGCTTAGCTTGTGTGGGGGTCACCAGCGGCTGCGGGCTTACACGGTACCTTCTCCAAGTTCAACAGGGAGGCGATCTGCGAAAGACGAGCAAACTCGCCCCGCACCGTTGTGCCCGTGAGTTTCGCGGCATTGTGCGCCACCGATGTGAAGTAGCTGACCAGGCGTCGCAGGTCCTTATCGAACTGCAGAGCGCCCATCTTCATTGGGGGGGGGGTATTAGTGAGTACACGACAGCTATGCAGTCCCGAATGGTCGTAAAGGCGGCGTACTTGGTTGAAGCGCTTCTGGAACAAGGCCTTCTCGAGACGTGTGGCAATGTCGTGAATAACGATGTGGACCAATCCGTCGTAGTTGCCCTCGGTGAGATGCATCTGCGCAGAGCTATGGTGAGCCAATGTAAGGGCGACACGCGAGTGCATGCAGTCAGCACCTTGAAGGGCGCAAACAGGTTGTCCAGTCCAGCCGTGATCTTGTAGACGAAGGGGTCATTGATTTCATACTCGGCGTACTCGGCCTACGTTGCATACGACAACGTTAGCGGTGGCTGGGAGAGAGGTAGCTCGCACGTTACTCATAACTCGGAGAAGCATACCTCGTTCAGTTGATAATTCACGGCGCTGAAGATCTCAATCAGTGGTCGAATCGACGGCGTAATGGTCTGCGCCACCTGCTCCAAGTTGTTCTGTGTTGCGAGAAGCAAGTCAGCCGAAACGCGCGATGAAAAAGGAACAGGGAGTAGAACGTACATGAAGGAGTTGCTTATAGTTTCGCGACGTCTCAAGGAGGTCGTGAATACAGGACTTCATTTTTTCCTGCAGGGCCATAAGCGAGAAAGCAAGAGAGTTAGTGATGTCTTCGTTGATGTCCGGCGTAGCGTGTTTTGCGTACCTTTTCGACGGGGTCGGTGAAGATGTTTGATTCTTCTGCTTCAAGGTTCGCCTTGAGCTTGAGAATGTACTCGCAGCTCACTTCGATGTTGTTCAGTACGATCTAGTGGCAGCAAACGGGATGTTGGTCGGTTGTTATGTACATCAATGAGGGCAGGTGAGTAAGTGAGTACCATGTAGTCTGTCCGATGGTCACCGGTGGGACCCTTGCCGGCACTGTATTCAGCCAGCATGGTTTGCAGGACCTCCTTGTAGTCTATGTTGAGCGTCGTGTTGATCATGTTCACAATCGCGCACATCGAGTTGACGTTATGCGTGGAGAGTGCACGCTGGGTGCAGCTCTGCGCGGAAACACAACGTCAGCAGTTGTGTAACTTTCTCCCGACACAAATACGCCTCTCGGCAACAGGGGCGGTACGCACTTGAAGCACAAAGAAGACGTAGTCCACCATGGTCGTGGTAATGCTCTCCTGAGAGTGCGAATCCATCGCGACAGCCTGTGGTTGGCGAATGACAGGTGAGCTATCTAGAGCAGGTGAGAGTTAACATAGTTACAACACTAAAATCGCTACCTTCTTCACGCTTTGGATCATGTAGTACTCCTCGAGCTTAATGTAGTGGCCCATCATCTCCTGCATCGACCTATTGAGCTCGCTGCAGTGAATGAGACCATCTTGCATGCTCGAGGGATGACCCGGGTGCTTGGGCGTTTGTCCCGCGTTCTCCAGACAGAGCCTAATGATGTAGCCCGAAGCACGACGCGGATACATACCGGGGTTAGTGTTCACATTCGAAGGTTCTCCAAAGTGGCTCGACGTACCGTGCGCGAGTTCGAATGAAGCGATCGTAGACTTCGGTGCGGTGATTGAGGATGGCGATGGTATCGAGCAATCCGGCAAGGTCTCGGGGATCGATCGCATCCCGAGCATCGGAACCTAAGCGCATGTGGCCTTTTAAATTACATCGACCGCAAGGCAATGCGCAGGTGGGTATAGATTAATAGGTATGTAGAAGCAACTGGCACTATGCGCCTCATCATAAAGAGCCACTCGCTTACCAAGCATACGTCGCTCCCTCCTCTCGGATCTGACAATGTCATCGATCTGTAGGCCAGCAAAGTTACTCGCTATTTAACAGACCTAACACTAGCTTGCGGGAAATAGAATAGGCTTACCATCTTGAGCATGTTGGTATCCTGACTGAAGAGGCTGAGGATCTTGGTGGAATGGACGTCGCATTGTTGCTGCAGGTTCTTGATTACGACCACCATGCTGCCCGGACCTGCTCGATGGGAGTCGCGTAGTTTGAGTAAGCGCCACGGCGCACAGAGGAACAGTGTCACAGCGGAGGTGCCGTACCAAAGTGTTCCTCAACGAGAGATTGCTGTTCGTCGATGATGCCGGCGATGAACTCATACAAACGTGCGAGCCCGTCAGCGTACGAGAGTTGCTCCCCTCCGCTAGCCTCGATGTTCTGGGCCACCGTAGCTGGTCCATCTGACAAGAGAGTACGTGTTTGAGTCCATGGACGTCTGTGCGTGCACGCAAGAAAGAACGGAAGGCTAACCTTTCGGTCGAAGCAGGTTCTTGATGATGTAGTCAGCCTCGGTGGAAACCAACTTGCGGAGATAGTGAGAGTATCTGGTGAGACCCTCCTCCTTGAGGCCCAGAGGCGCGTAGAGCAGACAAAACCTGTGGCGGAACAGCAGCACCTCTCGCATTAACCAGAAAAGCTGATGCGAACGTCAACGAATCGGGTTGGCCTACCGAATGATGTTTGGCTGATCGTCAGCGCGGATGGCTTGCTCGAGCTTTTGCTTGACGATCTCCTTCAGCTTATTCTCGGCCGTCTTGAGCTGGTTGCTGGCGGTCTCCTCCAGGACCGACTTGTCGCCTGGCGGGTCCAACACACGAGAGTGTTAGCCAAGGGTGTCACCCTAGCATGCCACCGAGTTCACTGAGAGCGCAACAGCGTTACCAATGGTAAGGTATCTGCCGATGTGCGAAGCTGCCGTTTCGTAGTCCTCCTTGGCCATGGCGTCCTCCACGCCACTCACACAGTTCTTCACATCAATGATGTCATGCAGCTTGTTCATCGTGAGCTGGATCCGCTCCTGTGCAAGGTGGGCGAACATGACGTACATAAAGCTATGTGAGTGCACGCCCAGCTTTCGTGAGAAGAAAAGTGAGGCACGAACCCTGGTCGAGTCGAGGTCCCTAATCTTGGCAGAGACAGCGTTGGCCAAAGAGCACGTGTTGCTGATGGTGGAGAGCAGACGCGTCGTCTCCTTCTGCACAGGCTTTATTCGAATCCTGCGAATGTAAAGGGGGGTGAGTCGTGATGAAGGATGCAGGGACCAGCGACACCATGGTAAGGTAGGGCAGTACGGAATCTCTTCAACTGTGGCGAGGGTGGACTCCACCTCCTCTGCGTTGAGAAGAATGTTCTCCAAATCTGTGTGAATTTGCTTCTCTTGGTCGAGTGTAGCCTCGAGCAGGGCGCGAGCTTGCTCAATGTCAGTGACCATGTAGAGATCCTTCAGCACGGGAAGCTTTGCATTCGTTCCCATTTTCGAAGCGGGTCCTGCCTCCATCTTGCTTGCGACGTGTCAGGCGCAGACCTGTTCTGTGTTCGTTTTCCCCATCTGTTTCCTTCTCAATTTCCCTAGCGGGTATATAGCACTGGGCAAACTTGAGTGCTGGCCTCGCGTCCTTGTACTCACCCACTCTGCTCCAATCTTTCATCGATGCCACGGACATTGACCAACTTCTAGACGCACATCTTGAGGTTTTATTTTTGATATATTTCAAGGCATCGGGCGGCTGAATGGCTTCGAAACACAACTCGATGGTGCCCAGAGGCAAGACGCTCAAGCTGGGCCACGTGTGGGTCCAGAAACTCGGGGCCATCGGCAGATTTAAGGAGCGATTTTGCGTATTGACAACCAACAACCAGCTCGAGTACTACCAGAAGCAAGAGGTACTTATTTATTTTTTAAGCATAAATAAATAAATAAATGATAGATAATTTCGCGTACAATATTATCACTGATGAAAAAAGAGCTATTATTTACACTCTTCGCATTTATTCATTGGGCAGGACTACCACGTGCACAAGGTGAAGGGTGTCATTCCTGCGCTGGACACCTGCGTCATCGATGTGCTGGTAGCTCACCCATTTCTTCTTCTCTCCCCTACATAACGTTACACTCACACCTCACGCTGCCGCTTTGCTTTCTTTCTTGCAGGCAATCGACAAGAAGCAGTCCCACTCATGGACTGTGTGCAGCGCCGGTGGGTTGTCGCTTCAGGGGTCAGGCGAGCCTGTTGCTGAGTACCGATTCCTGCTGGCCACTGAAACCGAACAGGGTGCGCGGTTGCTGCCAAGGCAACACTCTCGTGCCACGACCTGACGCCTCACGCTCTTGTGCTGCGTTCTTTTTTGTCGTCCACACAGAGAAAACCAACTGGGTGCTGGAGATCCTCAAGCTGCGCCAGGTCGAGGCGATCATCGCCTTGCTGGACCATGCCACTCTGCACACGTATGCAGCGCACGCACTCTCGAATATTGCCTCGGGTCGCGATGGTACGCGTAGTGCCATCCAGCGCTGCAGCAAAGCAAAGCGAAGCGATCGCCGTTCTTATCGCGGTGTCTTTATTCTTGGCCTGACTTGGTTGTGAGCGAACGGCAGATGTAAAGAAGGAGGAAATTGTACAGAGCGCAGGGCATCTGCGGATGCTCCGCTTCCTTAAGGATTGCCCCGACGATGCCAAGCTGCACTCGACCATTATCTACGCCCTCTCTCAAGTCGCCCTGCTCGGTACGTAGTGAGAGTGCAACCCCGACCCGCAGGCGCGACCAGTGCACTCGCAGCTGCGCGCCACTCATCCGCATCACACTCGGACAGAGGCCAACAAGGAGGAGATCGGCTGCTCGTGCTTCAAGAAACTGTACAAACTATTTACGAAATCTCCCAACGAAAGCGTGCGCGAGTACGCCCTACAGACGATCGCCCATCTGGCCACCACACGTACCCTTCAGCCCCAGGGCGCCTGCACTGCAATTGTATATGCATACGAGTCGAACTGACTTACCCCCTCCCCTCTTTCTTTTGTCCCACCAGCACACAACCAGGACCGACTGTGGCTGTCGGGCATGGGCGACAGCCTGAGCCAGTTGGTCGGGGCGAAGGACAGTGTACAGAGTTCTGCCAATGCCACGCTCAAGTTCAAGGGCTACGCGCTGCTTGCGTTGGGCAACACAGCCGCACGAGGTACTACTACGACGACTACACTGCGCAGCGTTCTAGTCCCCCCCCCGCGATTTGTTTGCTGATCTTTGAGACGGTTACAGAGGTGTACGCCTGGCGCGTCTCCAAACTCATGGAGCACATCCCCGAGCTCCTCTACCGCGAGGGGGAAGAGGGCGCCTCGAGCACCTCTTTCGAGCGGGATGCGGCCGAGTGTGCGCTCATCGCCCTTCTCAACTGCGCTTCGCATGGTACGCTTTCGTGTCATATATACTGTGGCACAGCAGCTGCACTTCAAACGCTTCGCCACCAAGTTCGGCGAAAATGAGTGCAATATGGTAACACCTAGTCGGTTGCATGGTGGATCGAGCAGCGTCCGTCTATCAGGACGAAGTGCGCGACAAGACTGCTCAACTGCTGCACCACCTGGGCTCGGACTGGATGCTCAAGTCCGACTACAAGCGGATCAGACACCTGTCCCTGCGGCTCGCCGCCATCTTTGCGCGAGAGGGTACCCTGCGCTCTTTTTTTGCGTTGCGTCGTTGTTTGCCCTCAAGTGCTGTCGGCATTCACACCCCTGACTGGACCCCCGATTCATTGGCCGCGCGCCACTGACATGCATGCGCAGAACAAAACAGGAAAGCTGTTGCGCAGGCTGGAGGTCTGGGCATGGCCCTGGAGATCATACAGGGCGGCGAGAGCGAAGACTTGGCAAAGCTCCGAGAGGACTCGGCGCTCGACTCGGCGCTCGCGCTTGTGAATCATTTCGCGCAGGACGAACGTGCGTGATCACACTAGTGACACCAGCTCGGCTGTCCAGTCACCCACCTGCCAGTCCTGATAGTGCGTGGTGCTCGTGTGTGGAATGTGTAGGTTTCATCGACACGGTGGATACGACGGTCAACATCGCCACCCTGTTGAGGTGCGTGGCTTCGTGCGCGCCCGACCTGTATGCCCCCGCAGCGAACGTCCTGCGGCAGCTCTATTTTCGGCGACCAGGTACGTTGGAAGCAGAGTCTATCGACGCTCCCTCACACCGCTCACGAGGCCTCGTGCGTGACAGGCGAGGCCAAGCAGAGCCAGACGGCATTTCTGGACCTCTTCTGGAGCCTTTGGCCGCGATCCGCCAAGCAGTCGTTCACTTTCGGCAATATCGTGGCGCTGGAGCACGGCTCGCAGGGCTCGGTCGCGTTCAAATTAGCCCCGATCGCCAAACCGCTTCGCGGGAAGATCATCTGCGACGTTCTGCAGGTCGTGGAGATCTCGACGCGGTGCAGCGTCGGACTGAAGGCGATGTGCTATCCTACCACCAACCAACAACCAACCGGCAGCCACTCAACCGCGCAGACCACCGGTGCGTCGACATTGCTCGGCGGTGTGGTGTTGGTGGTGCTTGCTTACCCATTTTCTAATAGACAAAGCAGAGCTGCAGCAACAGGCTTCATCGCCGGCTAGTCCTGGATCCAGGGGCGGTCGGCCCGACGGTGCCAGCTGCTGGCTCGAGCGCCTGGTGGACTGCGTGAAGGCCTGGTCGGAATCCGACGCCAAGGAGGAGATTCGGGACAAGGCGCAGGAAATTGACGCGCTGCACCAGCTGTCAAAGCTGAAGGCCAGCCTCGACGGGGTACGCTGTGCACAGCGTCAACTCCTCCGACCTTGACTCATTTCCGCATGTGTCGTGTGTGTCGTGTGTTGCGCAAGCAGCCATTTGGTTCGCCGCGCAGCAAGCGAAGTCCGACACTGTCTTCATCGCCGAAAGAGGCGTCGCCCCGGCTGACGCGGGTCAAGAAGGAAAAGGCCTCGACCTGGTCCAGCGCTGTCCCCACCAGCCCGCGCGGCCAGGGGCCTCTCACCAGCCCCCGCGGCCAAAGCCCCAGCCCGACCGCGAGTCCCAGACCCAGAGGCCAGAGCAAGCGAGTCTCACGCGACAAGAAGGAAAAGAAAAAGAAAGCGAAAGGCGAGAAGAAGGAAGCGGAGGAAAGCGACGACGTGATCACCCTGCTCATCACCACCTTGAGCAACTGTTCCGCGCATGGTATCTGCCCCAAACGTGTTGCGTGTAGCTCGCCTTTTTCTCAACGAGTGAGTGATGGACATCAGGAGCGGCGAGGACGGTTTTGGGCTCGGCCAAGGCGGTGTCGGTCATGATCGCTTGCATGCCGTCGCTCGGCGATCGGAAGAAGGCCTTCATTGCCTCCACCCGCTTGCTGGCCAACTGCATGCGATTAGGTGCCACAACGCACACACACACACACACACACACGGCTCGCTCACAATGAACTTTGGACATGGCGTGGGTGGGCAAGTGGTGGAGGCCTAACACGCTTTTTGCACCGTGTCGTCACTACTAGAATCCTGCCGCGGCGAGGTGCTGGCCAACTCCCACCACCTCAAGTACCTGGTCGCGCTTCTGCGCGACGTCAACGCCTCTGTGCGGGCACGAACACATATTGCCCGCGCAATCGCTTCCCTCCCCTATTCTGGTACTCTTTTTCTGCTCGTGTGTGCGTGCATGTGCGGTCGCTCACGAGGCCATGAACAGGAGCCGCCGTTCTGGCGAAGCACGAAGTCGCTGAGCAACTAATGAAGGTGGCCGCGACCGAGTTTCTCGAGGAGAAGAGGAAGCTGCGCAAGAAGGAGAAGAAAAGCCACGGCTCTCTCGTCGATCACCACGCCATTTGGGTTCAGAACCTGCTTCTGGCTCTACGCAACTTCTCAGCCTCCGGTACGCCGACCTCCCGCACGTCCACGCCAACCCATTTCCTGACCCCTTTCTTTTCATTTCTTTTCTTCAATAGATTTGCTCTTCCCTCAGCTGTCGTCGTTTCAAGTTCAGCCTGGTGGTGCGCCGGCGGAAGAACCGACAAGCGTGGCCCAGCCTCACCACCAACAGGGTGACTCAATTCACAGTGACGGAGGCTCAGCGGCAGCGCCCTGCCGTTTTCTGTTTCATGTTTTGGCGCGCGCTCTGGCATCGCTCCTGACCGACACCTCTCGCACGCATCTGTTGGCTACCATCGGCCATTGTCTGGCCCGAGAAGAGGAAGAAGGTACTCACTGGCGGCCCTCCCCCATGTTCGCAACAGTGCCAAACTTCTGCGATGAGCCATCGAGTGGTAATGACTCACGCAGCCCGCACCGCACAACACGACCAGGACGCGCTGAAGCTGTAGGCTTGCGAGAGGCGCTCGGCCGGAGCGGTGCCTGGGATGCGGTCGTGAGCCAATTCTCCGCTCCGACAGCCGACACTGTCCAAATCGCGGCGCTGCGCGTGCTGGCCTTGGCCGCCGCTTCCATCTCTGGTACTCGCGAGCCACGCGTCAATCCCGCAGCTCAAGAAACAGCTCCGGTCGTGTGCTCACCCCGCGCACGCATAGGCAAGGATCGCACGCTGTGCGCTGTTGAGGGCGTGGACCAGTTTTTGAAGAGCGACAACGAGCGGGTCAAGGAGTACGCCGCTCAGGTCCTCAACTTCAACTTTCTGAGTACGTCCTCCCGCCCCGCTAGACGGTCCATGAACAGCACCACGACGACCTCCGTACGTGTGGCCGACGACGTTGTGTGTGTCGTGTGTGTGTCGTGTGTGTGTGGGTGTGCTGGGTGCAGAGCACAAGCGAGCAAGTGTGACCTCGTCACTGCCCAACGTGCGTGAGATGTTTGCGGTCATACAAGTCTCCCAGAACCCGGTCGTGCTCGAACAGCTTCTGGAGGCGCTTCACCGATTGCACCTCTACACCGACCGGGTACTCTTCTCTATGCCCCCTCCCTCCTCAACCTCTGCGCCTGGTGGATGACCCATCTCGAGCGGCAGCTAACTTGTTGGAGTACTACAACGTTTTTTTTTAATCACGGCCAGGCGGACGACGTAGCGCTCCTCCGACGGGCGGCGGTCGATCATGTGGCGGTTCTGACCTCGCTTCTCGGCGATCCACACACCAAAGCCATCCGCTTCTACGCATCTAAGTTGATCATCAGCGCCTCGGTCAATGGTAAGCGCACACTCGAGCAGATGACCAACCTTTTTGTCATGGTTCCTAATTGGAGGTGTGTTGTGTGTGGCTTGTGCTCAGATGATGCCGAGGTGGCCATCGGGAACCCGGCTTCGCTTCTCGCGTTGGCTTCGCTCTTCAACAACCCCGGGGTCACTGTGCGGCAGCCCGGCGAGTGGTCGCTCCGTGTACACAACGGCATGTCATCTGCTCTCTCTCCCCCCTCTGGCCTTTCCCGTGCTCGAGTGGTGCAACGCGACTCTAACGATTCAATGGCGGCTGCAGCCACCGAGAACCGGTCACGCCGCAAGCGAAGAAAAGAGGCGCAGCAGCAGCAGGGGAACGAGGCGGTGGTGGCAGCGAAGGCAAGCGAAGAAAAAGAAGAGACCGACGGCGGTGCCAAGCAGTACGAAGACAAAGACGAAAGCGAAGGCAGCAGATCTTCTGCAGGATCGCGAAAGAACGAAAAGGAGAAGAAAAAGCAGAAGAAGATCAAGAGCAAGAACAAGGAAAAGGAGAAAGAAAAGGAAAATGAGGCCCATTGCCGACAACAGCACCTGCTGGAGCTCTACGTGCGAGGGCCGCCCGGACCGACGCTGGCCTTCGAGTTTGCGGCCGAGGAGCTCTTCGTCGAACAGTCAGCGCGGGCCATCGCGCAGGGCAGCTACGACCAGACGCTGCCGGAGCCGCTGGGCTCGCCCACATCCATGCGCGGGCGTGACGGGGCGGCCCAGCAGGGACTCGACCTGCCCCTGGGGTCCGCCGGCGGGCAGGGCGGCAAGCGGGGCTCCATTCACAAGACCCGACTGATGACCCTCACCCAGCTCAACCCGAGGGACGTCGCAGGCTATCTCGATCACGGTTCGTTTTGCGTGTGCCGTGCGTGTCGTGTGTGCTGCGTGTGGTTGCGTGCTGATCTGTTCTTGATTGGCAGAATCCCAATCGCCGCGTTCGGCGGGTAGGAGCGACGCTGCCGCGTCTACTCTGGCTTCGTCGCCGTCGTCCGAAGGTGGCGACAGCATGTCGCCGCGCACGCTGGCCGCCCGGCACCCGCGGCTCGGGCTGCAGGGCAAGCGCGTGAGCTCGCGCAGCCTGGGGAACTCGTCGGGGGGCGGCAACCTGCGGCGCAGCATCTCCGAGCGCACGTCCAACGAGATCCGAACGATGCTGGTCGGCCGGGCCGACGACGACCCCACGGCGGGCAGCACTCCTCGAGGCGACAGCGTAGAGGCGACGAGCGACGGGCAGAGCGATGGAGTGTCGACAACGACAAGCGACAAGTACGCGCAGGCCGCAGCCGAGACCAGCCCGGCGTCGGCGAAGGGGAAGAAGAAGGAGAAGAAGGAAAAGGACATGGAAAAGGAGAAGGAAAAAGAGAAGAAGCGGAAGACGCGACGGCTGAACGTGTCGCGATCGGTGCGCAGCTTCGATCGTATCAACAACGAGGGGACGAGCAGCTGCGAGGAGCTGATGAGCCGGGCCAAGCGGGTGGACGATATGAAGGCCGCCATGAAGCGCAACGCGAGCGCCTCGGCCGCGGCCTCAGCCGCTGGGATTCACGGCAAACGCGTCTCCCCGACCACCTTCCGCCCCTTGGGCCACGATGATGACGGTGACGATGATGATGACGTGCCGGTGCTGCCGCGGGAGCGGAGCGGCTCGGCGAGCCTCATCGTCGGCCCGGTGGGCAAGAGCCTCCACAACTCGCTGCTCGACGACATGCACAAGCGCAGCAAGAAGGCGGCGCCCAAGAAGGAGCTGAGCCACTCCGACGGCAGTCGGACGGTCGAGACCCCCGCAGCCGCCGGGAGCGATGGCGTCGGCGTCGAGAGCAGCAAGAGCAAGGCCAGCAGCAGCGAGAAGAAGTCGACGACGGCGACGGCGACGATGGCGGCGGCGGAGGACGTGGCGGGCGTGGAGAAGGTGAAGAAGGTGAAGAAGGGCGCGTCGGTGCGGGAGAAGCGGAGCAAGAAGCCGATGTCGGCCCGAGTGCTGAGCGCCGACCACGGCCGCACGCAGCAGGTCAAGAAGGAGGGCGAGAACGGAGACCGCAAGCGCACGCACAGTGACAGCATGCTGGCACCACCGACGACGAAGAAGGAGGGCTCGCAGCAGCAGCGGCAAGATGGCGACGAAGGCGAGGAGGGCGAAGCGAAGAAGGACTCGCTGGCGGGCCGGATCTACGGCGAGAAGCAACTGCAGGCCTTTGTGAACTACTGGGGCATCGTACACCCGGAGTTTGTACCGCACGGTGAGTCGCTGCTCTCCTACTTGCAGGTGCGTACAGGGAACGCACACGCACACGCACACGCACACGCCACGCACGCATCGCGTGTTTGTACTCACTTGCCGGCTGCGCAACACAACGCACAGGAAAACATTTTGGTCACCGGCCACGATGACGACATCGAGCTGAGCGGGGTTAAGGGTGACGACGACAATGGCCCCAGCGGGTGGGCGCAGGCCAAAGGCGCGGTGGCCGCGGCCAGTTCGCTCACCATCCAGGCCGACAAGCAGACCGTTTCCTACTGGCCCGTACGCACACGTCCTCTGTCCATCTTCTGTCCACGCACGCACGCACGCACGCACGCACGCACGCACGCACGCACGCACATGCCGACGCCATCTCTCTGTTAGCGCGTGTTTGGCAAGGTGGGGAGTACGATCAGCGCCAGGCCCCTGGCGAGTGCCACTACCACGACGGCGACGACAGCTACGGGCGTCGCCGATGCCGGCTCTGCCGAGCTCAGCCTTGGCGCAAAGGAGGCCGCCTCTTCGCCGGTGAGCCACACCAGTCCCTGGCCCTATTTCGAGATCCTAATCGTGAATCGTGGCTACTACGGGTATGGCCCTTTCAGTCTTTGCTGTTGTGTATTATTTTATTATCATTATTATTTATGAATGATTTATGTTAATATATATTCTTATTTTCATTTGTTATTACTTGTTTATTATTTATTATAATTTTTGTCTGCAGGTCGATTGCAGTCGGTTTGGGTGCCAAGAACCATCCTGCCACGGCCAAGCCCGGTTCTGTGCTCGGGTCCGTACCCCCTTTTTTAGAGTCTCTTTAGAACTGTCGCACTCGCGCGCACCCTAGGCTGACTGTCGCGCGCATGGCTTGCGAATTGGCTTCGGCGCAGGTCGTACGGTTGGCACGGCGACGGGAACAAGTGGGCCCACGGCAAGAGCTCCCTCTACCCGGCCAATGCCGAGTCATGTACGGCGCCTCCTCTCCGTTTCCGCTCCACTCGATCAGTAGGTTTCGTTGAGCTCAATCGCTGTCGGCTGCGTGGCGTGCACACACAGTCGACGAGGGGGACGACGGCTCCGAGTTGTACTTCAACACGGGCGACGTCATCGGCTGTGGCTTCAACGACGTCACCTCGGAGGTCTTCTACACCAAGAACGGCCTTTTCCTCGGTGCGTCTCCCTTACTTCGCGCACTACTACACAGTCGACCGCAACTGCGCCGTCGATTTTTGGGTACTTACGGACGCGCTTCTATGGCTGTCGCCAGGGGTGGGCCACACGGAGGTGTCGATCCAGCCTTCGGAGCCCTTGTACGCTGTCGTCTCACTGGCCGGACCGCAGGAAAAGGTCTGGGCCAACTTCGGCCAGGCCCCGTTCCTGTGGGACTTCCAATACCACCAGGTACTCCACGCCCACCTCATTCGTCTTTCTACGTAGAAAGCAGGCAGAACTCGAAAGACGCTGACGAAACGCACACATCGCGTTGGCGGCAGACGAGCGCTCCGTCGTTGCATCACCGCTTGGCCCAGTGCGCTTCGTCGATGCCCGGCCTGGCTCATCTGCTCGGTATTCGCTTCGCACCACACTTTTTTTGCACTCCTTTCCCTTCTGGTGGTCTGATTTTCGTTTTGTGTGCGTGTGTGTTGTGTGCATTGTGTGTGTGTGTGCGTGTGTGTGTGTGTGTGTTGTGTGTTGTGTGTTGTGTGTGTGCCTCGGTGCAGCCAGGCATCGTGTGCCCGCACACCAGCAGGCCCAGCTCTCGGCACGACAAAACTCGCTTGACACGCCTCCCTCGTTCTTCCTGAAGTCAGCCAAGCTCTCTTGACACCAGAAGAAAAAATAAAATAAAATACAAGTTCTTCTTTCTCATCATCACCATCACCATCAGCAGACAAACCGAAAGGGGACGTGCAGGTGGGTAATGATGGAGGAGGCAGGGCCGCGACTAGGACGCAAGGAATGGCAGGACGTTGGCCAGGAAGTACTTGTCAAAGCAGGGCGAGGTGTAGTCCTCGTGTATGCAGTCGGTGGTAAATCGGTGCAGCTTGCCGGCTTGATCCAGCGTCCTAACCACCACAATCGCCACCATCAGCGTGACAACACACCGCACACGCACCACCGCACACGCTGCGCACACGACGTGGGTGACTGAAGGTGCGAACGCACACGAACACACGAACCTGAGACCGATGTAGTCGAACTCGTAGAAGGGCTGCTTCTCGAGCGGCACGACCTGGCTGTCCGTGCCATTGGCGTAGGCGCCAAACCAGCCCGTCTCCAACGGGATCAGCACCTGACCAGACGGACCTCTCTCGTCAATCGCAGTGGTGGTGGTGGTGATTGGGGGGGGGGCACATGGGTGGTTGGAAACGTTACGGTGTCGGCGGTGGAGTAGCTCATGACAAAGTTGTCGAGGGCGAGAACGTTCTTCTTGTAGGTGGGGTTCTTGTTGGACCCCTCGTTGTTGATGTCGGCGAGGAAGATGTTTCTGTCCACGTACTTGTCGAGTGCGAAAGGGTCTGAAAGGAGTAGAAGGAGAAGAAGAAGAAAGTAAGTGAAGGGTACATTGTTTCTGGCTCGGTCTGAAGAAGAGAGGAGAAGAAGAGAACATTCATAGCAAGCACACGTGCATACCGCGCCAATAACCAGCAAAGGAAAGCAGGCTCTGCGCCCAATCCTGGTAGACGCAGCAGTCGGCGATTTCATCAAGCGTCACGTTGAGATACTCCCAATGCCCCACCTGCACCACACAAACATGGTAACAGATGAGTATTTTATTATAATTATTATATTAGTTTATGAAATTGTATATTATTTTTGAACGGAAAGATGTAAGGCAGGACCTCGGGAACGCCGTAGACGCCCATCATGGGGGCCACCCACGAGATGAAGTTCTTGACAGGCGGGTTGTTGCAACGCTCGAGATAGCCCCGCAGCAGGATGCCACCCTACACTCCCCGAACCACTTTAACTACATGTTGTGTGTGTGTTGTGGTGTGTGTGGTGTGTGTGGTGTGTGTGTGGTGTGTGTGGTGTGTGTGTGTGGTGTGAAGTACAGGTGGAGCTTACCTGCGACACGCCCATCGCATTGATGCCTCCCGCAAGCTTGCTATCCGCAGCGAGCGCCGCACAGATCATCTCGACCTGTGTGCCGCAATGGCCGCCACCACCCGAGGACTTGTGAGCCTCACTCAACAAATGCACTTCCCTCCCACACCACACACACCTCTCCCAGTCCGTACTGACCTGTTTGTCGCTGCCGGTGAAGATGGAGCCGATTTTCGAGCCGGTGACCTCGAGGGCGACCACGTAGATCCCGGGAAGGTGCTGCTGGACGAGCTCTGTGATGTGCTGCATCTTGGCGCTCGTGTCGGCGATGCCTGTTGGGCGCCCACAAACCTTGAGGTGAGGGCCTGTCTTCTTTTGGACGAGCGCCAGGGGCGAAAAGGTGGTGTTGGCCAAGTACTACTCACCATGCATGAGCACAAGGGGGGTGTAGGCGGAGTGGCTCGTGGCGATGAAGGCGAACACCACAAAGATTGCGAGCCATAGTGAAGAGGCCATGTTGCTGCAAGTGGTGGTGGTTGAGCGGGGGGGGGGTTAGTGCACTATGCCCTCACCGAACGCCCCTCGGTAAGAAATGAGAAAGTGAGAAAGAGGTCCTTGCGCTAAGCTGGCAATGTACCTCTGGAACAGACGTGAGGAAGTGTGACTGAGTCGCTGGTGTTGAGGAACAGCGGAAGCGTCTGTAGCGACGGAGACTTCGCTGCCATGGACAACGTGTTGAAGATGGAAGAGCCTCTTTTGCGAAGGGACACGCGCCAACTCCACGGCGTATTGATTTTGATTTACTTTTATTTATGAACTTTGGGGGGGCTACTGAGGCTGCTGCAGCTTGGTCTGCATCTCGACGATGAACCTGCGCTTGGCCGCCTGCTTTTTCTGCATCTCCTCAAGGTTGGCCTCGAGCTTCTGCAACTCACCCTACAACCAATAAAATTAATAAAATTAAAAAATCGCGAAGCCTGCCATCTCGCGCGGGGGGGGGAACCTGAAGGAAATCGATTCGCTTGCCCACATTAGACGCAGCCTCCTTCTTCTCTTGCTTGACGAGCACCGGGCCGATGAGCTTATAGATGCGCGCACCCTCGTCATCGTCAGCGATCAGATCGAGCTCTTGCTTCACCAATTCATTTTCCTTCATCTGTGCCACGAGCTGCGCGCGAGTGTTCATCGTCTGCTGCGCCTCATCCTGCATCTTTCGCAGGAGCTTCACCTCCTCTTCGAGTCGCTGAGCCGCTGCCTGTGACATCTTTCTCGATCAATCTAGGTGATCCAGACTTTTGATTTTCACAAAGAAAATGGGAGAGAAAAAAAACACAACCCACGCTGCATCAGGCAGACACCCACTGCAGGCTGGAGAACTGAGCGTGCTCGGTGAGCGCTACGACATTCTGAGCGAGATCGTCGAGGCAGGCGTTCAACTTCTCCAGCTCCTTCACCCTGTTGTCTTTCTCGCTCGCCGCTCTGAACGTTCGTGGGTGTTCATCACGCATGGCGCGTGGTAAGTGTAAGCTGTGTGATGATGACCATGGCGTGTGGTTGAATGAGAGGTGGGTGGCCGTACGCCATGGCAGTGTGGATCTTGAGGTTCACTGCAGCCTTCCTCGCCTTCACAGCAGCACTGGACCATTCGCTGCGGTGAGATACTAATCATAAAAGGGCTTTCAAAGACAGGCCCACCTGATCAGGTTTTCCTGGTCCTTGAGGTGCGGGCTGTGCGCCGAGAGGGCGTTGGCCGAGTCCACCAGACTACCCACCACGCTCGACACCTCCTTCGAAATGTTGATCTGTACTCGAACAGTAAGCTCAAGTCTAAAGAGAGAAAGAGAAGGCAAAGAACGAAAGCGAAGGCAAAAAAAGGGGGGGGGGCAAGTACCATGTCTTTTTGGGAGTGCGAGGAAGTGGCAGTTGCAAAGCGGTCGAGAAGGTTGGCCAACTCACCGGCAGTCTCCAGGAGCTTGTGGCGCGGCGTGCCAGGCTCGCCAGCTCCTCCCAACTGGGCTGCCTCAACAGCATCACGAATAGTGTTGGCCGCCTCTTCCATTTTGTGTTGTGGAGCTTCTTGTTGTGTGACCAAACCTAATTTCTCTTCTTTCCGCTTTTTCTTTTCTTGTGGTGGCACCAAGAGGCAAGTTGCTCACAATGATTTGTAGTAGGTCTGCAGAGTCTCGTGGATGGTCGAGAAGGAGGGCCGTTGACTGGGTCGGTCGAGCCAGCACTGTTTCATGAGGGTCGCCAGCACCTGAGAGAACGCACAGTAATGAGGCGATGAACGAAAGGGAGCTCAAAGGGTGATGACACAGCTGACCGAGTCTCGTTCCACGTACCAACGGGCAAGCGGGGGAGATGGGCAGTGTCTGCTGGTCCTGCGACACGCGGAAGGCCACGGTGAGGTCGTCATCGCCCTCGAACGGCTCTCGTCGTTCCCACAGCTCCCACAACAGCACACCTTCAAAAATTGAGATTGAGATTCATTCATCAGCCAGCGCTCATGCAAACGCGACACACAAGGCACACACGGGACGCGTACCAAACGACCAGGCGTCGCTGCCCTCTGAATACTTGTGCATCATCGCGTCTGGGCTCATGTATCGCACTACATGCACGGCACCATGTTAGCAACACGTCCACGTCATCATTGGCCTTCTACGTCGACGGATTCAGGAGGCTGTGAGTGAGTACCTGGCCCGATGAAGGACGACGTCCCGGCCGTGTGGGTGTAGACGCTCTCCTTGGTCTTCATGTGGCAGAAGGCGAAGTCGTTGACGTAGGCCCGCACGCCATCGCCCAGGAGGATGTTGCGCGACGAGATGCGCGAGTGGAGCACGCCCTCCTTGTGGAGGTGCAGAATCCCCGCGGCGGCCTCCATGGCGATCTTGATGACCTGCTTCCAGGTCAGGTCGAGCCTCGTCTTGCCCCGCAGCGCGCCCTCCAGGCTTCCGTATCTGTAGTACTGCGTGACGATGCACACGTTCGGCAGCACACTGCAGTCGCGTCACGCACACTCAGCCGGTGAGTGGAATGTATGGAATGAATGTGGAATGTGTGCGTGGCGTAGAGTACCAGCAGGCGCCGATGAAGGAGGCGAGGGAAGGGTGGTGCGACAGAACGTGCAGCGCGGCGGCCTCCTTCTTGAAGAGATCCACGGTCTTCTCGTCCATGTCGTCCTCGTCGAGCTTCTTCACCGCCACCAGCGCGCCTCGCCATCGGGCCAAGTAGACCGTACCGAGCTGGCCCGAGCCCAGCTTCTCGAGAATTTGGAACTCGTTGAACATGATCTCGCGGAACTTCATCGTGGCCTTGGTCTCCTCGATGCTGAGCTTCTCCTGCTCGGTGACGCCGCCGGACGAGCTGCGCATCGACGACGTGACGGTGACCGACATCGCCTCCTTGGGCGTGGGCGCGTAGGCCGGGTTGATGGGGCACGAGGCCTTCTGGCCAGCTCTCTCGACCTGCACCGCAACAGGGGAGGAGGACACGCTGTCCACGTAGCCGGCCGAGAAGTTCATGGCCGTTGCGGGCGACGACGATGATGAAGGCGATGTGTTCGTGTAGCCAGCGGAATTTCCTGAAAGCGACGGCGATGATGGCGATGGCGACGGCGACGGCGGCGATCGCGACTGGAACCGCGACTGCAGCTGCTCAAGCGCCCGCGAGGCCATTGGGGAAGCAGTGTTGGTGTAGCCGCTGGTGGTCGCCAGAGGTGGTTGCTGGTTGTCAGAAGTATGGCAAGTGATCCACGAGTTGATGTCCGGCGTCGACGTGGCGTTGATGTAGGGGCTGAACGTGGAGAGGACCCCGCCGGGGCCGCCGGAGGGGAAGAGCGGGGACGATGGCCCCGATTGCTGCAGCGACGACATGAGCGCGTCCGACCGCGCGAAGGCCTCCTGTGCGGCCTTCAGTCCTAAATCGCGTTGCCCGGCGAAGATCTGGTCGTGGCTTACGGGCGGCGGCGGCAAGGTCGGGCCGGGGAAGGTGAAGAGCGACGCCGGGCGCCACGGCACATGCTCCACCTTCGACCCGTCAGGTCCCGTCGACGTGATTTTCACCGTCCCAGCAAAGTTGCCCTGGTGAAATACAGCGCTGCCGGCAGACGGCCGAGCGTTGAACGCCCGGGGAATATTCATCAACTTGTAATACCTGCCGGCGGTAGGTAATGTAATGCGTGTGAGTAACATTTGACGTGTGGGGGGGGGTGTATGTCGTGTCGCAATTGATTGCGCGCGAAGGGGAGCAGACCTGGAGGCGATGTCGGAAAGCTGCTCAATGAACGAAGGCGGAATGAGGGTGGAGTAGACCGGGTCGGTGTTGTACTTAGACAGGAACTGGTTCATCTGTTCCTCGAACGCCGGACCCTTGGACGCCAGCACATCGCAGTTTTGCGCGTGAACGGCCTATAGTGATCGAACGAGTTAGATTTCACACCCAGGGATTCGGAGCTAAATCTGTTTAGCTCCGAATAATGCTGGAGGAGGCAGGCGCACGTTTTGGACGGCCATCAGCTCAGATTTGAGCCTCAGATTGGCGATGGCCTTCTTCACTTCATCCTCGCGCAGGATGGAGGGCGCTTCTCGCTCGTACCTCGAAAGGAGTGCCTGCCTCATATGGTTAGCGAGTCCATGTCAACGCCACTACCGCAAGCTTTGTTCGTTTGTTTGATCTTTCTCTAATAACGCACCTCGGACTCATTGAGAAAGACACGAGCTGCCGGCTCCTTTGCATAGGCCTGCTTGAACCTCTGTATCTGTGCCTTGAACGCCGCACCATGCTGGGAAATCTTTGGGCCGTCGCGAACGTTGAGCGCCTGCGTCGCGGTCACGCTGGTTTTGGTATTCTTCTCGAAGAACACGGCACAGGCGGGAATGGAGGGACGACACATTACCATGCTGAGGCGCGTCATGTCGTCCTGCTGCCGAATCTTGGCGATCTCCTCCCGCACTCTGCTCGCCCGTATGATGCCATCGCCCTCTTGGTGCAGTCTTCCCAGAAGCTTTTGCGCCTCGTCGAGGAAACTGCCGGCCAGCGCCTCCTGCACGCAACAACGCCCACGCCCACCCACAACACGACCAACGACACGACACGGTGAGCGCTCGCCATAAAGAGGAATGCGCCGATGGATGAAGGAAGGCGGCGTACCCCTCCGTACTGTTGTGTGAACGTCCTGATCTCGTTCTCGAAGCTGTCGCCGTAGGTCTTGACCGCTTGCGCATCGCCTTGCGCCAACGCCTGGCGCCAAATATGTGTGACACGGGGAGCGTTGCGTGTGAA